CTAAGAAATGTATTGGTTCTGCAAACGGTTAAATCCTAGATCTGCCCCTGCTGAGGAATGAATGGCATGGTTTTTTTTGCTGATTTTCAAAGAGTTAAACTATGTCAGCTGTTTGTAAAATTCTCATCTGACATTTTACGTGACAGATCCATTCTGCATCTGTCACACCGCTCCAGGCTCTATTCAATTCAGTCATGACAATATGCATTTTAACATTGGCCCTAGAAGAACACACCTACTCCCTGCTGCTGATACCGTTAGACAATATCCAAAGACACACAGTGAAAGCAGAAGTCTGCGCACTGATTTCCGCTCAGTAAAGCCAAAGGCCCACTCTTCAACTAAATCAACCCCATAATAATGACACGCTTGGTAGCATGTAAGTAAACGCAAGCACTAAGCTCAGGGAGCGATCAGAACGTAATGTCTTCAATAGTGTGTCTGTTCTTAACACTTTAATTGCCAGGTGTCAATGCACTGAATGCCCTCATTAACACCAAGGGGTTAAATGACTACCACACAGCTAAGCCTGGTTTTAAAAGTCTAGGATTCTACAAGGGCATCCCGTAAATCCCACAGTTCATAAAGAGTGCCAATGCTTTTTGTAGAAAAAATAAAAAGCCAAGAATTAGTACAGTTATTTTTTATTTATTTTTTTATTACTTTATTTATTGCAGTTTTGTCATAGGTACAACAGCGTTTTTTAGACAAAGTTATGCAAATAATCAACATAATAGGATATTGAACATTTTCAATTGTATACTGTACATATCAGCGATCTGTATGGGCTATGTACGAGCCTGCTCGTGGTGTGGATTGTGACTGGCCTGACCTTCGTGCTTCAGCCGTCAATAGTGTTATTGCGTAGGAATTGGACCCAAGGGTCCCGTGTGTGTATAATCTTGGTACTGGTGTGTTAGCGAGTAGCATGTCTCTTCTAGGTTTCTGATGGTTTCTACTTTTTGTAGCCATTCCCGCGTAGTGGGTGCATGTGGCCGTTTCCAAAGGGCAGGGATGAGTTGGTTGGCTGCCGTGATGAGGTGTATCAAAAGTGTTCTCTCGTGTTTATGCATTTTTGGGGGTGGGAGGAGAAAGAGGTATGTATCTGGGTGTAGTGGGATGTGCGTCCTGAGGATCTTGTACAGTGCCCCTGAAATGCGTGTCCAGTATTTGCGGATCTCGGGACAGGTCCACCAAATGTGTGTGGTCGTGCTATCGGTTTGATGGCATCTCCAGCATCTGTCTACGGTTGTGGGGAAGAGGCGATGGAGTTTCGACGGTGTGTAGTGCCATCTGGCTATTCGTTTATAGTTGCTTTCCTGTGCTATCGTATTTCTCGATGTTTTGTGTATTTGTCTGAAAATCTGTTTCCATTTATTTTTGGGTATCTCTAGCTGTAGTTCTCGTTCCCAGGTGGTGGTGAACGTTGGTAGGTTACGGGTGGACATTGCTTGGATAACAGTATACATTGTTGAGATGTTTCTTTTTGAGATCTTGTGTGGAGCAGTGAAGTTCAAATGCCGTGTGTGGTCGGCTCTGTCCCAGTGTTAGTGGTCCCGAGTGTATAAAGTGCTTTAATTGGTTGTATTGGAACCTTTGTATTGGCGTTGGGGAGTCGAGAAGGTCATGTATAGGTTTGATCTGTTGTTCCCCCGAGTCAACTAGTATATCTTTCAGCGTAAGGTATGTGCCTGTGTGAAGGTGTTTCAGAGCCTTGCCCTCTATCCCCGGTTGGAAGAATGGGTTATGTGAGATCGGATAAAGTGGGGACGGGTGAGGTGAGATTTGATCGTTGGGTTTGAGGGTCTCCCAAATGCGTAGAGTGGGTGTGATCGTGGGATGCGGTCCTTTTATCAGTAGTGGTTGTCCTGTTTTGTGCCATGGTATTGTGTATATGGGTGCTCGGAAAAAGGTGTCTTCGATGGCTACCCATTGTTTTACCTCTTTTGTGCATGACCAGTCATAGAGCCTGGTCAGGTGGACCGCTTTATAGTATCTGCTTATATCTGATAGACCTAGGCCTCCCTCGTCTTTCGGACGTGTAAGTAGTGTATATGCTAGTCGCGGGCTTTTGTGGGACCAGATGAAGTGTGTGAATATCTTGCGTACGGTGCTGAACCATACCTTCGGTATTGTTATGGGAAGTACTTGGAGCATATACAAGATCCTAGGTAAAACATTCATTTTTAGGATGTTTAGCCTGCAGAACCATCCAAATTGTGGCTTATTCCAGGCTGTAAGGTCTGATTGGATCGCTTTTTGTAAGTTAGGGAAGTTGCTTTCGAATAGGCGTGTTGTATCCCTGGTGATGTGTACCCCAAGATATTTAATGCTATGGGGGGCCCACGCAAATTGATATTCCTGTTTCAATGTTGTTGCTATACGTGTCTGCACTTTTATTGGGAGGATTTCACATTTTGTGAGATTTGCCTTAAAGTTGGATACATTACTGTATGTATTCATTTCTTCCATCAGGTGTGGGAGTGAGTCCAACGGATGTGTGATTGAGAATAACATATCATCTGCGAATGCTGCTATTTTATGGTGGTGTTGTCCCGTGTGTATGCCTCTAATGTGGGTGTTGTCTCGTATACCTTGGAGGAATGGTTCCAGGACCACCACAAAAAGAAGGGGGGAAAGGGGGCATCCCTGCCTTGTACCGTTTGAGATTGGTACGCTATCAGAAAGTTGTCCATTTACCCTAATATTGGCTGTGGGGTTTGAGTATATTGCTTTGATCCATTTTAGCCAGTTAGGTCCAAAGCCCAGGTGGTGGAGCGTGTGTAGCATTAGAGTCCAGTCAACTCTATCAAACGCTTTTTCTGCATCGATGGATAAGAGCAGACTGGACTCTCCCATACGTGTTGCTTGGTGCACTAGGTTTATGATTTTCGTGGTATTGTTTTTTGCCTCCCTACCGGGTATGAAGCCTGCTTGGTCTGCATGTATAATCCCTGGTAGTAGGGGGCGAAGCCTGTTGGCCAGGATTTTTGTAAAGAGTTTGAGGTCAACATTTATTAAGGAGATAGGTCTATAACTGCCACATTGGGATAGGTCTTTGCCTGGTTTAGGGATAAGTGTGATTGTAGCGTTTAGTGCTTGCGGGGGGAGTGAGGTATTTTGAAGTAGGGAGTTGAAAGATTTTGTAAAGTGTGGGATGAGGGTGTTGGCGAATGTTTTGTAATATTTTGTAGTGAACCCGTCCGGGCCCGGACTTTTCCCTATCGGGAGGAGTTTGATCGTGTTACGGCATTCTTCCTCCGTAATTGGGTGTTCTAGTGTTTCGCTGAGATTGTTTGGTAGTGTAGTATGTATCCTGTTTGCTAGGAAGCTTTGGATGTCCTGGGTCGATGGGGGAGTTTGTCGTAGGTTGTATAAGGAGTGGTAGTAGTCCTGGAAGGCTGTGGCGATATCCGTTACTAAGTGGGACGTGTTCCCTGTTTTATCCTTTATGGATGGTATGAAGGTGTTTTCTCTTTGTTTTTTAAGAGCGTTGGCCAGTAAACGCCCGCTCTTCCCTCCTTGTGCATAGTATAAGCTGCGTGTTTTTGCGATGGCATATTTTGTGCGGATGTTTAAGATGGTGTTAAGTTCTGTGCGTTTCTCTAAAAGTCTTTTGTATAGGGGTAGCGTGTCGTTTCGGGCATGTGCTTCCTCTAGATCTCTAATGTCTTTGGTCAATTGTATGACTTGTGTCTCGCGTAGTTTCTTGTGTCTAGAGGCTATTTGTATGATTGTTCCTCTAATAGCACTTTTATGTGCTTCCCATATGATGGGGTATGGTGTGTCTGCTTTTGTATTACTTTCGAAGTAGCGAGCTAAGTGTTCATCTATTTGAGTTCGTATTGCTTGATCGTTGAGTAGGTTGTCGTTTAGTTTCCACTGTGCCCTGGTGGGGTGAAGGGTGGGGATTGTTATTGACATTGATAGTGGGGCATGGTCTGACCATGTTATGGGGGCGTACTCACAGGTCTTGATTAGGTTCAGGAACCTGTGTGGAGTAAAGAGCATGTCTATTCTAGAGTATGTTTTCGATGAGTGTGATTAGAATGAGTAGGTTCTGGTATTGGGGTGAGTTATACGCCAGGTGTCGTAGAGTTGGTACGTGTCCAGGAGTTTTTTAATTTGGTGCCTCGTCGATGCCTGGTATGATTGGGCTTGTGATGTAGTGTCTAGTGTCCCATCTAGTGAGATGTTGAGGTCCCCGCCCAATATTAGTAGACCCTCTGTAAATGATTCTAATTTCTGAAGAATTTTGCGGAGAGTGGGGGTTTGTTTCCTATTTGGGAGATATATGTTGGCTAGGGTTGCTGTAGTATTCCCTATTTGCCCCTTTAGAAAGATGAATCTACCTCCCTCGTCTGAGTAATGATCTTTGTACGTGAAGGGCAGGTGCGAGGAGAGTAGGATTGCAACTCCCCTTGATTTAGAGCCTCTATAGTTGCTGAAGTATCCGTTGGTGTAGTGTTTTGATTTGAGACTGGGGGCTGAGTTTTTACGGAAATGTGTTTCCTGTAAATAGATTATGTCTGCTTTTTGCCTGCGGTAATCTGCGAGTGCTTTGTGTCGTTTCTCGGGTTGGTTAAGGCCCCTAGCATTGTGTGTCAGTAATGTTATGGTCGTCATTGCTTTGTAATAGGACGTGCTGTGATGTGATTTTTGTGTGATCCCTGTGTTGTATGTTTGGGTTTGTATTGTGTCTTGACTCGACTAGAGTTCGTGTTCTGCCCTTTTCAAGCTTGTGTTCAGCAAGTTCATACAGATATATACAATACACAGCTGTACAGTAACAATCCTTGTAAAACAATAATTATAAAACAGTAAGTAATGCCGTTTAAATTAAAATAACAGTTGCATATAAACCGAGAGATTGTCCGTGTAACCCTTCTGGTCGTCCTGTGGGTTGACGGTCAACTATATACAGTGGTGAAGTATAGGTGTGTTTCCAAGAAAGTGGGTCTTCCCCAGTCAGCGGGGTGACACTTTCTGATGGGTGTTGTTCACTGGTGTCTGCCCCTGAGATGTCCCTGTATCTTCAGTGGGCTGTGTTGTAGCGACACCGTGTTTCGTGTCAGGGGTGGTGTGCCTGCGTTGGTGTATAGTGTAGATATTGATTGGTTGTCGTCTATCGATGAGACGGCTTCGTGTCGTGTACGGTTCTTGTTAATGTCTGTTCTTTGTGGTGGGGTTGGTAATTGGTCGGGTGGAGCGTGCGGGTGAGATCGGTCATTTCGTTTATCTATTTGGGTGGAGGAGGATGTTCGTGTGAAAGCGTTGGAATGCAGTGTTGTATTGGGAGTGTGTGGTCACCTGTGCCTTCAGGGTGCATTCCCAGATGGTATTTTGTATAGCAAAATTTTTCCTTCCGCTCGTGTGGGCCTGTTGTCTCTGCAGGTTTATCTAGCGTAGGAGATTTTTTGTTTTGTGTGTCTGGGTGCCGTCTGTGGAAGTCAGCCTAGCATTGCCAAGTATTTTGAGATTTCGGTCAGGAGTTTGTGGGTCGTGTGTGGTGTCTAGGTCACTATTGTACAGATAAGTGTGATCTCTCTCAAGGTGTGTGTCTCGGCTTCTTACTATCTGTGTTTTAGGCCTGACCTGGTAACATATCTTAATTATCTGTAACATATATATGGAGATAGTATAAAAATTTATACGACCTGTGCTGGGTCTTCTCTTGCGTTTTTTTTTGTTTTTTTTTAAGTCTCTAGGACCTGTTTACAAGTTTTATCAGTGTTCAGCGTCCCATTCTGTGTGCTATGCCTGCCTCAGATATTTTGTGTCTCTTGGCCCTTATCGGTGCGTTCGGCTCTGTATCAGTCCCGTTTTCCGTGTCTTGTGGGTACCATTGCGTCCATCCGGGGGGTTCTCAGGTGTGCGGCTTATTCATCTCTGGACCCTCTGGTTCGTCTGTCCTCTCTCTGGGGAAGGCCTTGCTGTCCTATTCTCTGCCTCTTCGAGGGTGTACGCCAATTGTTTCCAGTGGGTTGTGCGTCGAGTGTGACCGCTGGGTCTGGGGCATACCAGTTTTCTATTTTAACCCGTGACAGGTTCAGAGCTTCGGTGAATGGAAGGACGTCTTGGTGTGTGGCGATGGTATATGTCATCCCTTTTAGGCTTACAATCAAGGCAAAGGGGAATCCCCATCTGTAACGTATGCCACGTGCCCTTAGTTGGTCTGTAATCGGCCGTAGTGCTCTCCTTGCCTGGAGGGTATGCCAGGATAGATCAGGGTATATCTGGATTTCGTGTCCTTGGTATAATAGTGGTGTGGATGATTCTCTCAGTGCTCTTAGTATGTCTTCCTTGAGAGTGTAGTAGTGGATGCGACAAATCACGTCGCGTGGTGCCTCGGTCATGCCGTTTTTGGGTCGTAGGGATCTATGTGCCCTATCCAGTACCACTGGGGCATCCGGGGAGCGATTTAGTATCAGGTTGAATAAAGTGGTTAGCTGTGCCTTTAAATTTTCTTTTTCTGCTTCTGGGATCCCCCTAATGCGTAAGTTGTTCCTTCTGCCTCTATTATCTATATCATCTAGTGATCTCTGCATCATGGATAGGTGCCTTTCTTGAATTGTGAGTGCTTGGGTGAGATCCTGTATCTGTGTCTGACAGGAGCCCCTGTCATCTTCTAAGTCCTGTACCCTTCTGCCCACCTGTGTGATTTCTGAGCTCAGGCCCTCCATTTTGAGTTGGAAGGCAGTTTCCAGTTTTCCTAGCATTTGTGCTAGGTCTAGTCTGGATGGCAGATTTTTCAGGATTTCTCTGATGTCTGTGTCTGCAGAGGTTGATGATGCTTCTGACTGAGCTGGGCTCAGTGGTTCGGAGTCTGTGTGAAGTGCCGCCGGCGCCATGTTGGATTCCCCTGAGACTGCCGCGCGGTCGGCATAATCCTTAAACAGACGGGTAACCGAGCCCGGTTTACCCGTTGACAGTTTCTCCTGCGGTTGGTGAGGGGTTGGGTTCCGTTTGTTGTTCCCCATTTTGCGTGTTATCCTCCGTATTTGAGCGATCTCTGCCCGTTTTGCTCAGAGCCGGTTTAGTGAGCGGCCATTCAGGTCAGCTGCAGGACACGCCCCCCATCTACAGTTATTTTTTGGTAGCGATTTCTGTGAGATATGATCTGGTACTACCTAAATGGGAAGCCATGTATGTAAGCTGGGTCAGCACCTACTGCAGGGCGTAGGCAAGTCTTCTATACTGTACTTGTTATATTTCATGTAAAGTCAGTGCACACGAACCTTTTGTTTTTTCAGTCCGGACCTTGGCATGGGGTAATCACCCAAAAGTACTGCCTCCAGTGGTGGAGAGAATTTGGCTGCATTTTCCCCCTATGCTGCTATGTTATTATCTGGCTATTATTTAAAAAGCCAGGAGAGGTCCTTGTGAAGACAGATGGTGGGGAATTCCCTAATATTACATTTCAGTTTTCTGTACACTATAATTCACTGTTCAGTGAATAAGCTCCAGTCTACAGCTCACTGCTCAGCCCTCTCCTGAATTGAAATGAGTGAATTATTAAAGCCTCCCTTTCCTCCATTAATCATATGCTGGGTGAAGGGCTGAAAGAGTAACACACGATCTGTCTCCACAGCCACTTTCCTTGATGTCAGTAATAGCAGAAAGGTAGAGTTAATTAGTGAATCCACAAAAGTGGCTGTGTGACACTTTCTCCCCAATCTCTGTCAGTAGAAGCCCTATATGGTCTTGTGCTGCCCTAAGCTTGAGAGACACTCCATTGCCAAAAACACAAAACAAAAAAAACACAAAACACTTTAGTAGTTATACCCCCACCCCTCATGAAACCATGCATTAATTTAATTATGGATTTTTTCCATTGGGATATATATAAAACCACTTGCAAGAGCTGAAGATCTCGTCTGCAGCCTTTGCAAACGCTCCCAGACTTCCGGTGGCTGTCCAATCAGACTTCCCAATGTGGTCTGTTTAGCTTCACTGAGCTAAACTTCTAGGAAGTAACAGGACTGGTTGTCTGACAGCAAAGGGAGTTAAGCTTATAAAACTGCCAATTTCTATTGGAACCTGCATTGTTTTTTGTATTTTAACAAAACCAAACTTTACACAAAACACTTCAGCAAGCTAAAGTGTTTTAGGTGTAAGGGGTGTCCATTTAAGAGGAAAAATCTTAATACAAACCCTAAAGTTGTAAATACACAAAACCCCAAGCCGTGATAAGCTAAAGAATGTATTATGGGAAAAAAAAAAATCAGATTGAGTTCCTGAAGACAAACAAATCGGCCTTCTGTGGTATATTATGGTGTCCACAGAACTCCTCCATGGCACTATTTCCCCAGAAAACACAAATGAGAGTTTAAGCCTTAATCAATGAATCAACGCAATTAACAGTCATCTACCCTTTATTTAAATCGATTTATTAGCAGACCACCAAATACAAACACGGCTGTCCTAAGTATCGGGGAGTCTTACAATTGTGGGAGATTGCCTTTTACCTACTCCTAAAATGTTCATAAACAGAATATTTGTAGTATTCTGGTTGTTGTCCACGAGTGAATTCCATGCAAATAAATCATACGAAAAACCATAAGGTTGTTTAAAGTTTTTATTTTAAGGTGGGAAACCAACAAATCAATATTATATTAATTTATTGCACTTTTGAGTTTCTCTGCCACACACCAAGAAGCTGAGAAGAGTCTCTAAAGGGAGATTAAATAAACTGGTAAAATAACCTTTTGATAGAAAAAGAACGTTAATTTACACTGATTCAAGTAATAAGTCCTCAATAAAACATCTGAAAGCGGCAATTTCTATACAGTCTGAATCTCTTTAGCAAATATAATATATTCTCTATTATAGAACAACCGTGATATACAGAACAGTTTTATGTATCAGGTCTAGGCAACCCCTAGCACTCAAAATACTGTGCATTATAATTACCACCCTTTCGGTGGCAAGCTGGGCATTATGGGAAGTGTAGTTTTGTTGTACCCAGTGTGTCAGGGGTTGCCTATCCCTTCTCTATATTAACCCACAATGGACCAGAAGGGCCTCTGAGTTAAAGGTTCACACACACTGTAGTGAAATATATACAGCCATACCCAATGATGGGCATAGAAAGCAGCTATATATGGAGGCTGAGGAGGAGTGTATGGGCTTTAAATATACACATTAGCCAGTCTACAGGAGCATTCTTGCGAATGGCAGAGGAGTTCCAATAACATTCTGATTGAATGGGCAAGTGCATTGCCCTCAATGCCCTAGTCTTGCACTCCAAAACCCTGTATACCTTTAAAAATCAGTAGTGATATTCCAACAATCATCTTGCTCTTGCATCCAGCACTCTGCTTTTTCCTTTGCAGGTTATAAAAATACTTTTTAAAAGTTTTTCTTTCTTAAATAAAGGGTTAGTAGAAGATTAGTCTTGCAAATCGTAACCCATGAGCAGCTAGAGAAACCTCCGGTATTGTAATATTCATAACGTTGATGCTGGGGATAGGATTTCCCTGCTATAAAACTCCGGTCAGGCACATGAGGACTAATGCGTGCAGAATGAGTAGATAGCACAGAAATAGGGTGCGAGATTTGGACCGGGAGGTCAGCAGCTTCGAACAATACAGGCTTCGACCTCGCAACCATCTCCGTAATGAAACAGCTCCTCCTCTCATCTAAAAACAAAACACAATTTTATACATATTACACAGATTTAATAACAAAGAAAGTACAAACACTAGAAGTTAGTGTAAATGTTCTTACCAAAATAGAGAATATGGGAGGGAGCATTCTAGTCACCCTAAATTAGTCTTAAGACCGATTTTTATTTATGGTGTTTTAGAGTTTATCCACCTCCCCAGGGAAACACTATTACTGTGTGTTTTGAAATGGCACCCTGAAAAAAAATATATATACACACACACACACAATTAACTGATCACTGCTGACCGGACCTGGTAGGGAGTGCAGTCCTTGCACTGTTCGATGATTCCTTGCTTTCCTGGGAAAAATGTGACAAAGGGACTGCTCCTATCACTCTTACATTGATTGACTGGCTGAGAATAGTGGGGAGGGTTAGCTCTGCACACTTAGCCAATGCTGTCCAGGCTGGACAATATTAACAGTGATAATGCAGATATTTTAAAGGAACGCTTCAAACTCCCAAAGCATTTTAAGGGGGCGAATGCTTTGAAGAGAAATCTCTATTGCATCCATCTGGCTGTCAGTCACCCAGCGGTGGATCTTCCTCACTACGAGAGCACAAAGTGGATGTGGGGGCTTCTCTCGAGAAAGTATGCAGGAGTTGCACACGTGCCCTGTGTCTCAAAGCTTCTCTATCAGTAGGGATCATCTCCCAGAGGTGGAGAGGAAATAATCTAAATTATGTTTTAAAGGGGGAAAGAGCGTCACTGCTGACCGAGCAGGACGGTGAGGCTCCTTGACTGATCTTGCAAATTAAACAAAAATACTAGATTTTCAGCCGATTTTCTCATTTGGTTTTGTGTCACCTACACTGAGTGAAGGTTGCTACTACTGGGTGCACAGTCTTGTCTGGAATTACCGCGGTTTTCCAGGTCTATTGAGACTGCGTGCCTACGAGCCTTATCTGAGTGCTGCTCAGGCTACATTATCAGTCACTCCTCGACTTATACCTACCTAATCAGCTATTTCAAGACTCACCAGCTTCACTCTAGACCTGCAGCTCATGGCTCAACATCACCTAAGACCCCTAGAGGACTCTTTAAAGGCCTTTAACCTTATAGGCAAGGCTTTCTGGGCACGGCTGCTAAGTTGGGAGACTGCAGCACCAACACACGTCCCGGTGGAAATCACACAAACAAAAGGACCTAAGGAAGTTGTTAGTTTTCTGCAGGCTGCGGCCACTTATGGGCTCAGTTGCCCTACACCGCTTCCGCACCCCAAGGAGACACTTGTCCAAAGCCACCACAGCTACACCATGGCACATTCAGCTCTAGGAGTGGGACAGGGCCAGACACCAGGACCGTTTCAACCAGGAAATACAGTGAACACACCCACAAGACGCCTGGAGGCTGACTGGTGATCACTCCTGGGTCTCTCAAGTTCAGGGTGATGCTTCCATATTATGATGGCTGAACTGGAGGAGTTTTTTTTTTTTTTTTTAGGGACCCAGTTCATGTCAAACCACTTGAAAACGGTGACACAAAAATAAATTAATATGTAGTAGTTATGGTGCTGGGATCTAATGCTACATTTTGATACTAACCTTGCGTAGCACTATATTCTGAGTCGGATCAATGATTAAGGCTTCTCGCTCGTCATCAGAATCCATCTGGATTGAGAAATCAAAATCTCTGGAAGATGTCTTCCCATCTAGCCTGAAACAAAGACATTGAATAGAAACTTTGAGAACTCTGTTTTTGCCAGATGTTCTAGTGGAACAGATAGGACATTTCATCTCAAAGAATGTGAATTTACATAATTCAAAGAGATCTACAGGTCTAGTTTCTATATGAAGTTGTGTAATGATAATACATTAAAAATCATCTGCTTCATTATAAATGCAACAGTTAACACTGAATGGGGATGTTGTTACTGCTAATTATATGCAGTGTTCACATGCTACTAAAATAAACAAAGTATCTCCAAAATATTCGAAGCATTGGTTTTACACACTGGGTGGTAGACACAGGAACAACAGTGCTGCAGATTAGGCTATAATTAAATAAACTATTACAATTCTTAGGATAAACATAAGGCTATATTAAATATGCAAAAAAGTCAAGGATTTGTATATATGCAAATGAGCAAGCAGTAGGCCCTTTTCATTCCTCTATTTTCTTCCTGCACTTAGTATTCGATTACTACTGGACCTTTCACACTGTTGCTCGGCCAGGGTCAAGGCCTCTTCTGCCGCTTCCCTCAGGGTCTTCTCCTCCAATAATCTCTCGGACAGGTGAGACAGCTCTCGCTGGGTAGATTCATAAAGAAGCTCCGTGTTGGCGAGCCTGTGTCACAAAACAATCAAAGCAACATGTGAACTCTGTACCACATTAAAGGAACTCTATAGTGTTACAAATACAAATGTGCATTCCCAGTGCTAGCATTACCTTGCCATTGTTTTATATGACTGGGTTAAAAAGGTGATTTTATTCAACATCGATCCCAGGTAGCACCGATCTCCTAGAGGAAGCTCCGTCCATATAAAAGCATTGGGATGAGAGTGCACACACACATACGGGAAAATGCTGATCTGAGACCATCTGAATGAAATTGTGGCATTTTATCCCACTATCTTGTGGAAGCTACTCCAGTGGCTGTCAGAAATTGAGATAAAGGAACTCTAAGGGCACCTACACCACTTTATTTTTGAATTGTATTTTGTATACATTAGTAATCTCAGATTTGAGTTATAATTTAATGGAAATACCAGTACAGTGTTAAAGGATCTGGATTCACTGTTTGGCACATGCTATAAACTGACTAATGTAACTCTCTATTAGAAAGGCTATCCTCCTTTGTATTCTGGTGGAGTCATCCTCATGACATACCAGTTTATCTACTAAATAGTCAGGAATGCAAAATGAATGTGGAAAAAGCTCCAAATCAGCTATGCTTTCAGTTTGGCTTATTTTGGTCTAAAATGGAAACCTTTCTATTATACAACAATATAAAAACGGTTATATGGATAATTAATAAAAAAAATAAATGTTTAAATAAAAAAAAAAAAAAAACCTCCACAAAACAAACCACCCTCTACTTTCTTTAATGTAACTTTGCTTTTCTGAGCCTTGTCATTTTTAAAATACACCAGTTTTTTGACTACGGATTTATCAGTTCTTCCCACCACTTTTTGTTTTCCCCAACAGCAAAGATTTATTTTCTTCCTGTCTTTGGGAGTTTTCAGAAATTTAATTTTCTGAGAAAACTGCAGGAATTTACTATTACAGAAACATTTTTTAAAAATAAATAAATGCGTTCAAAATAACAAAAGAATGGAACCGTCATTTTTCAGAACACTTTGAGACATATCCCCCAAAATGCAAAGAAGTGGCAGAGGAATTGAAGCTTTTAAAAGAATATGTGTTTTTTCTTATTTAAAAAACCAAAACAAAAAACAAAGTTGACATGATAATACTCAGTATCAAAAACCATACAGATGGGACTAATGCGCCCGCTTGCGGGCCTTGTGTATAAGTCTTCGACTACCAAGCAATATATAAATATGCACGTAATATACAAAACCCATGTTATCTACCATGTATACTAAGTATCGGATTGTGCCAGATAACGTACCAGAAATGTAAATGTAATTCATGTCAACGTAAATCATATATATATATATATATATATATATATATATATATATATATATATATATATATTCTATCAGTGGCAGAAAAACAGCATAGGTTTAAAACCTGGCTTGAATTCTGCAATCTTATAAATCCTTTGCTTAGCGAGAATTCACATTCAGGGCCGTGCCCTGACCACATCTGGCATTTAAAATGAAAACACAAATGGGAAGAGATAAATGATATGTAAGCGGCAAATAAATATAGTTCTACAAAAACAAAGGATAGAAACAACAAAAAATACAATAACAGGCACAACTTCAGATAAGGCACACAACATGATAAACTGGCCAAGCGATGGCATTAATAATCTAGAAATAGTCCCTCCTGCCCTACGCACTGCAGTTTAAATACAATTCTGATCACTGAAAGACATAGCAGGAGGTTTTAGTTTTTCTATTTAAAGGAAGTATTTTCTCATTGATAAAAGATTGCGTCTGATTTCATAATATAGAGGGACAATCCCCCTGTAGGGGCCAGCATGACAATTAACAAACCTTCTCTGCAGGTCAGCCAGTTCAGGATTATCCATTTGCGCAGGAAGATTTGCTCCCTCCTGGGGGGCATCGGAGGGAACCGCTGCTCGCGAGTCATTCTGTAAGACACAGTTTATCATTTAGAAATACAAGAGACAACAGGGAAAATGTGCTTGAAAAATCAATAGCTTTTTGTTACAAATTTGTCAATGTCAACGTGGAATCAAAAGCTTCAGTTAGAATGATGAGCTGTACTTCATTCATTACCACGAGATATGGATCTACATGTTACACAGTGAAAGAGGAGTTTCCTAACTGTAATCGAAAAGAGACCATGCATTTAAGCAATCTAGCAAATGTACAGCTATCTCACTCGTATCATTTCTGACTTCCCTAGTCTTTGGTGCTGGTCATTTTAATAGTTGTAGAGCTGAATCCAGCTGGCAAGTCAACCTGCACAGTCTAGCATGCAGTCCCAGTGACTTTTTGCAGCCCAATTGCTGCCCTGTCCATTACCCGCAGTCACCTGACAAGAGACCAGTTGATGGGAACATACATCTTTACCTTTGATGTGCAATAAATGCTTATGACCTCCTATTGTGCAATGCAAGAACCTGTGAGCTTGAGAAATCTTTCACAGACTCCGTTTTGAAGATGGACGTGGTCCCTGACAAAGCAAGATGTTTTGAGGTGTCATAGATGATGGTTCTAATGAGTTTATCTCCCTAACTACACTGCCCTGAGGTGCCACCATAGGAGCAGACATTTCTCATTGACACAGCAAAAGAAATACAAAACACAAAAACCTCACAATTACATCAATTCATCTTTGCGAACAAAGTGCTGAGTTTAATAAAAGCATCTCTGCTATTACAAATCATACCATAGACAAAGTATTGACAGCAATCAACTTCCACTATAGACAAATTATACCATCCGTACATTATCATTAATTGGTTGAGGCTGATTAATCCGCCTCTACCCTTGTATACCAGATTATTTACACTTTAAAATACATATATATTGTTTAATGCCAACGTATTAGGGCTTTTCCTCGGAACATCTATATAATTTATTATATATGACCGCACCTGGTTAGTAACCCGCACACTCTGAAGGTCTCTCTGAAGCTTGTAGTGCTGGTTCTGCAGGTCACTATATCTCATCTGGGTATCTCTCAGACCTTGTGACACAGTCTTTAGCTGAGCTGACAGCACAGTGTTCATCTGTACTGCTTCCACCGCCTGGGAGAAAAAAAGAAAAAGTAATAAATGTACAGACTTCGCATCCAAAAAAAATGTTTTACAGGTCAAGTGGAAAAGTTACAAAACCTTCTCAAAAGACATGGTTTTGTAACGTGACTGCAATAATTATTTCTTTGTCACAGGCTAATGTAATAATGTGAACTTGCAGTCTTTTTATTATATACTTTTCAGATACATACTGAAATTACACTGCTGTAACGCTGGATCACAAATAAAGTAAGTAAATTACTATGGGCCTGCTAATCCCTGAATAATGTGCAATGAAAAAACATTATGTTCATAATAGACTTCACTGGTGGAGCGAACGTAGCAGCAAAGTAAATGCCCAAGCTGAAAGGACGTAGAGAGAGAGAGAGCACAAAGTGATACAGATTTCGCATAATTTGCCTTCTTTTAGTTTGTATAAAAGTACGTGGCCAGACGGCTCGTGAGCTTCCGAACAAATATAAAAGTAAGCTTTTAGGTTCACAGTGAAGGCTCTCGTTTGATTTGGTACCAGTTTGTCTAGTTAAAATTAAAGTACTCAATGTACAACACTGAAAAAAATGTTTGGACTTTTTAAACAAATCTACTAATGAAATATCTGTAATAAAATAGTATTATTCTTGGGAGCATGGACACATTTTTTAATACATTTTGTGTAAAGTAAATATTCATTGTGTTGAAATTAAACAGCAGCTACAGCATATCTTTCCCCCCCCTCTATTTGCTTTAACAATGAAGAATTTAATCTGTTCTACATGTAAATCACTTACTTTAGCGTTTAACTCCTGTATGAGTCGATCCTTCTGTTGTATACTTTGCAGGTACTGCTGATAGTCATTCTTTTGTGGTCCCTGATCATTTGATAGCGTACTCCCTTTTTCTGTTGCAGTTGCACTTCCCAATACGGTAATTCTCTCCAAATTCTGCTAAAAAGATACATACATGTTACAGTATTTCTTTATTGGTAACGAATAGAAATTCTACCTTTTTGATCGTGGATTAATCGCTAATCACTGGCGGGATGAGAACGCGGAGCTGTGTTACTGAATATCTATGTCTGCAGACTTTAGTGGGAGAGAAGAGGGGGGGAGGGGGAGCCAAGCATAATTATAGACTATATTAATTCATAAGCAGTTTGAAAGATGCAACAGAGTGGAGTGCATTCTACTTTTAGGATAATTAAAGAATTTACAGGAAATATTGAGTTTCCTAGCCCTCTTATCAAAGTAAGAAGAAAATAAAACCTCTTGCGAAAACCAAAGCAAATGAACTTCCTGCCGAATGAGTCTTGGCTAGCAGTACTGATTAACTAATGCTGTCTGTACGGAATGGTGCTATGGGCAAACGGTTTGAAGTGTAAAATAGCATACAGAGGTGTGCCATCAAAGGTATGGGTTGGAGATGCTTAAACACACCACGGGAACAGAGTAAGACGTATGATAAAACAATAGACTTTCCCGCAGCACAGCTCCACAACAGTTCCAATTGTTCTTATTTTTTATTGACCAAAACCCTACCGGAAAGCTTATACCGCATTACCACATAATGATGTAAAGTACGTAGAAGATGCTTGGCCTGGCCACTTTAAATTATTTGTCATGCTGAAGTTAAGGAAAAAAAAACCTACATGTCTGTTTGGAGAATATAAGATACTCTCCGTGCCCTCTTACCTTTGCCCCATGAGACCTATCTAAAGGCAATGTTTCATTTAAGGTTTTGCGCAGTTCTGCAATTTGACGGTCTCTGTCTGCAAGGCTCACAGTGAATTGCTGGCGAAGTACTTGGGCTTCTTTTGCAAGAAGATTCTTCTCGGATCTTGCAAAAACAAGTTAAATATTTTCAGCATATAATAAAAATAAGTTAATCCAAACCACATGATATGTATTGATGTTTCTAATGTTTAGCCCTAAATAGTACTAACCCTGTATGCCACTCAATATGTGGAGGGGATACCAGCCCAATCAACATGATCTGCAGCACCAGCAATAATTATAAACTATAGTATTAAAAACCTCCGATTCTCTCCGCCCCCCCGGAGCTTTCTCAAACGCTACGGAGGCGGAGAGAAGTGCGTGTGAGGGGAGACAAGACTGAGCAAGGAAGAGCCGCTGAGCGACTAGTTACAAAGAGCTTTACTATTATTTTAATATTTGTTTTAAATGGTTTTAACCAGGCCCGGACTGGCCATCGGGCATACCGGGCAAATGCCCGGTGGGCCGCGATGGCCGTGGGGCCGAGGCCGGCAGGGGATCTCCCCGGCCGGCCCCTGCAGGGTCAGCGCTACCCGAGCGCCGGCCCTGCTGTGTGAATCCATGGGCCGGTGGGGAGATCAAAGATCTCCCTCACCGGCCCACAGACAGGGAGATGCGGCCGCCGGCTGGGAGAGGGAGGGAGGCAGGGAGGAGAGAGGACCGGCGGAGCTCTAACCAGCAGCTCCGCCGGGTCCTCTCGCGGGATTCTGAGCGTTGCCGCGGCAACGCTCAGATCTCGCGAGAGTGAACTTTAACCTGCAGGTTAGAGTTCACTCTCACCACTGGACCACCAGGGAAGGCAGCATGGCTCCCCTCAAGGCACCCCTGGCAAAACGGATCTCTTCCCCCCCCCTCCCAGGATAAAGGTAAGAAGGGGGGGGGGGGATATATATATTTTTTATTAATAAAATAAATATTTAAATTTAAATAAAACATACATTCACACTCTCACACACACCCCCAGACACACACAGCACCCCTATACACAGCACCCAGACACACACAGCACCCAGACACACACAGCACCCCCAGACACACACAGCACCCAGACACACACAGCACCCCTATACACAGCACCCAGACACACACACAGCACCCCTATACACAGCACCCCATACACAAAGCACCCAGACACACACACAGCACCCCCATACACAGCAACCCCAGACACACACAGAATCCCCTATACACAGCACCCCCAGACACACACACAGCACCCCCAGACACACACACACAGCACCCCCTAGACACACACAGCACCCCCAGACACACACAGCACCCATACACAGCACCCAGACACACACAGCACCCCCAGACACACACACAGCACCCCCAGACACACACAGCACCCAGACACACAGCACCCAGACACACACAGCAACCCCCAGACACACAGCACCCCAGACACACACAGCACCCAGACACAGCACACAGACACACAGCACCTAGACACACACACAGCACCCCCAGACACACACACAGCACCCAGACACACACACATCACCCCCAGACACACACACAGCACCCAGACACACACACAGCACCCCCAGACACACACATCACCCCCAGACATACACAGCACCCCCACACAGCACCCAGACACACACAGCACCCCCAGACACACACAGTACCCAGACACACACAGCACCCCCAGACACACACAGCACCCCCAGACACACACAGCCTACCCAGACACACACAGCCCACCCAGACACACACAGCACCCCCAGACACACACAGTGCACCCAGACACACACAGCACCCAGACAGACACACACAGCACCCAGACAGACACACACAGCACCCCTGGGGGGGGGATATAATATATATATATTTTTTTTTATTAATAAAATAAATATTTAAATTTAAATAAATACATTCACACTCACACACACACAGTGCCCCCAGAGACACACAGCGCACCCAGACACACACAGCACCCAGACACACACAGCACCCCCAAACACACACAGCGCACCCGACACACACACAGCACCCCCAGACACAGCACCCAAACTCACACTGCACCCCCAGACACACACAGCACCCTCACTCACACTGCACCCCCAGACACACACTGCACCCTCACTCACACTGCACCCCCAGACACACACTGCACCCTCACTCAGACACACAGCACACTCCCACACATATACAGCACACACATATATATATATATATATATATATATATATAAAATAACCCTCAGTGAGTTAACAGACAAAGAAAATTAGAAACCTAGAATGTGACAGCAGATAAAAACACCCTCACACACAGCACCCCTCTTACATACACACACTGCGCCCCTCACACATACAATAAGTCCAAATATATATATATATATATATATATATATATATACATACACACACACACACACACACACTACAGCACCCCTCACACTGCACCACTACACACATTACGCTCCAGATAACACTAGATCCCTTACCCTATATGCACTCTTAATCCTCTACACACACACACACACACACACTGGGTCCTTTACACAGTAGATCTCCTACACACACACACACTACATTCCTTGTCAGCAAACACATACAACATTCTCTAAACACACCCTCTCTGTAACCCCTACACACACTACGTCACCTATACACATACACTTCAGCCCGTATGCACTCTCTCGCTGCATCCCACACTCTCTACAGCCCCTAGCCACACATATTACACCACAAACACAAATTAAATTGACCTATTTATACAATACCACAATACACACACGCAATCCCACAAGCAGGCTCCAAACATATGCACCATGCACTTTCCTGGCCCTTTTGTCCTCTGGTATCCCACTTGTGGAGACACCAGAGACAATTTAAAAGCAAACACAGCGCAAGCATGTTATTAAATTTGCTTGCGCTGCGCAGAATAAATTCAGGGCCTTTTTCTAGTGCCAGAGCTCTTTAGCAGGGCTCTGCGCATTGAACCAACATGCTCACTTTGAGAGGGGGCATGTTGTCATTAGTGATGACAAAACACACACTTTCTGGCCCCGCCCCCTTCTTAGGGGGCCGCTCTGATTGAAAAATGCCCGGGCCTAATTTTTTCCCCAGTCCGGCCCTGGTTTTAACTCTACTTTAGAAATAATAAAGGCTCACAAATACTGACAGTCTCGGTCTGCAGTCCGGTTTATGTCTGGTGGATCCACCGAACTCAAGGAGCTTGATCCCTCCCGGGCTCTTAAAGTGAGAGTGACACACAATCCACTCAAATGCAGAGTTTGATACCATAAGATTTTTATCTGAATAATGTTTTTAAAGTGCGTAGATGCTCTGTACTAGATTTTTGTCTTTATAATTGTTGAACCTTTAAAACACATTATAGAAATATCAAGTTTGTATATTTTTGTTTTGCGCACCAACATTTTGGGTTGGCTTATGCACGGGGGATCTTTACTTAGATTCTTTTTTGGCTGCTGCAATTTTGTCACAATAAGCACACACTGATTGCTATTTACTATTGACTTGCACTTTAAATAGATAGAAGGTTACACTGTTATTCTTGCAATTTGATCATCTGCACAAAATATTTTGCACTTTTTGAAGGGATATAAATCTAATTTTTATAATGTTAAATATTTGTGAGCACCTTTTTTATCCTCTTATTTTTGGTTGTTAAACACAAAAAGCTGACCTTTAAAAAAGGATCTGAATGCTCTTTATAAACAAAACATAATTTAGTAAAATCATTTATAAAAATATTTTTTAAATGATGATTTTCAGCATACCATAGTCATGTTCTAGTCTATTTAATTTGTTTGATGGTAGAGATTCTGATTAAATGAACACAGGAATCTTTTTTACAAGATGATATGAGTGTTATTTGGTAACCTCAGTGAATTAAATCTGAATGGCAAAATTCTCTAATTCAGTTCTAATCACAAATTGGTTATATTTACCTAAATTTTGCCATTTGTGTTTAATTTGAGGTTTAGCTAATAAAGGTAACTAACTTTAACAAAGTCTTCAGCCTCAGTTATACCATGAGAACAACCTATTTGGCGCAAATGTTTGTAAGCAATAAAAATAAGTCAACGTTAAACAGAAACACCCATTAGTAATCAAGAACTGCTCTTGGAAAAGGGCATTAAAGGAACACTATAGGGTCAGGAAGACCTATAGTGTTAAAAACACTATTTAGGTGATCCTGGTACTTGCTTACAAAACTCTACACAAGCCTCTCCAACCCAACTATCCTCACTAAAACACAAATATTTCCCCCATCTAGACCACTATGCTCTGCCCAAGACCATGTCTATCCTCTGTCCGTACTCCTACCTCTGATGTTCACCGTAAAGACTTCTCTAGGGCTGTATCATTCCTATGGAACACCATTCCCCTCTCTGTTATGCCTCGTTTCCACTGAGCGGATCAGTTCGGGTCGGTACAGTTTGGAAGGTTTAGAATGGTCTAGCCTATTCAGGTGAGTGTTTCCACTGCAAGTCAGACCTTCAGAGGTCATGCAGGGTTTAGAAAAAATGCCTAGTGTGTCATCCAATCAATGGATTGTATAGTAGCTCCGCCCTAACTGTACCGTACCATTTCCTATGGCCCTTTATCTGAAGCAGGACCCTGAATGGTACGGTTCGGTTGTATGGCCCACTTTCATAATGGAAACACTCAAAATAGCGTACCGTACCGAACTGATCCGCTCAGTGGAAACGAGGCATTAGACTTTCACCCAGTCTCCAATCCTTCAATAAATCTTTGAAAACTTACATCTTCAGGAAATCATTTCAATTAAACTGAACAGCTTTACCTCCTCACATCCGGATTCATATCCTGCAACGGTCATCAAAACAAAAAACACTAAGCACTCAGTGAACACTATCCTCACAACCTACATTTCTACCCCTACCCTTACCGTTTGTGTCACTATACTTTATTCCCTCTAGCATGTAAGCTCATTGAGCAGGGCTCTCAACCCCTCTGTTCCTGTGTGTCCAACTCGCTGCAGAATGTGTTGGCACTTTATAAATAATATGTAAAGCGGAGAGGTTGATCCTCTGTGTTAGATACTGGAGTTCCTTGAACTGCTAAAGGGAAGCCTTTTCACCTTGGAAATTAGGTTGTACAATAACCGTAAAACCAAGTAAATTCTCAGATTTTTTTTTTTTTTACTTACAATTTTGCTAAACTACCTCCTAATTCGACATCATGCTTGCTGCACAAATGCAAAAAAAAAAAACCTCATTGACAAAGATGTCTTGGGAGCTGTTACACATACATGGTGAGGGTGAAGCAGGTATTTTTTTTTTTTTTACCTTAACTCTGCTAGTTCATACTGGTAGGAAGTAATCTCTCGCTCTGCTTTTTCCTGTAAAATATTTGCTTCTTGCAGTAATCTCGCCAACTCTTCCATCTTTGGTCTTGACTTTGATAATTCACTTGTCAAGTTGCTGACAGAGTCTGTTACCTGAAAGCAAAAGGTAATAAAAAGTCACTGTAAATTAATTTACATTACAACGGACAGCACAGAGACGTGCATATGCACAAAATACTTTGAGTTCTAATAATACAAACAGGTACAACAGACATACATCTTACAGCATTCACCATAAAAACTGGACCGTCAGGTAGCATTTAACGTCTATGTTTACACCAATAGAACACGCAGCCCAAAGAAGAACAGGCTAAACAAATAGGGAAAGAATATGACAGAACATCCATGCATGCAAAGCCAAGGGAAAAGTTTCACATGCAAGGATATAAGCAACTTAATAAGGAAGTAGTTTTTATATTAAGCAGCATTCTGACACACGTCTGAATGCATATGTAAAAGTTGTGAAACAGTACATTTCAGAAAAGTGGGTATTAAGAGATTCAGGGAGAGAAGACAGGAAAGGTTCCCAACCTATCCTATTGAAAAACAAGCTTCTTTTGTCGGATTGCTCAGTGACTTGAGCTAAATCCAATACAGATAGGATTTAAATCTTGGATCAGTGACCAGAAAATGCTTAGATTAGAACAAATGGAAGCCCTCTTTTATAAAATACAGACTTTCTTAAGATATAAAAGTAAAGAAATAGGCAGGCCTCATAACTTTTACATACGCATTCTAACATCTCTAGATATACTCTTTACCACAATCTGAGCAGCATGGCCGAGGGTGTTAGGGGAGAATCAACATCTAACAGTGATCCTTACCTGTGTCACTGTATCAGTTTGGGAACGGGACAAATCCATAGTCAAGTATTCTGTCTCCTGTACATTTGAAGGCACTTTAGTGGAAGCTGTACCTTGTTTAACATCCCGGACTATGGCTCCTACCTGGAGCTGATGGAGTAATCTCTCTCTGTCATGCTGGAGGCTTGCCATGGATTTTGAAAAGGCATCAATCTGCTGAGTATAACTTGTACACTCAGAGGAAAGTCTGTTGACCTCCAAACCCATGCTTGCTAGTCTATTACAGACAGACTCTATTTCATCTGTCAGCTGGTCGCAAGTCACTTTGCTTTCATTGGCAAGAAGAGTCTCGTCGAGGAGGGAGTTCTTTTTCAGTATACTGTAAAGATGGGATTTAAAGTCGCCCAGCTGTCTTTCAAGGTCATCTCCTCGTATCTTTTCTGCTTTCAGCTCGCCGGCGTATCTCCACTGCAGTACTTTAAAGTCTTCAATCAAAGAGTCTCTGTTATTCTGTAGCGCAGCCATTGCCTTTCCAAATGATTCATTCTGAGATTTAAGTTCTTTGTTTTCTTTGTAAATGTCTTCAGAAGATCTATCAGACATTTCTCCTTCTGTCTCCGAATGGCCAGAGTTCGTTTCATTGATGTCCTTGTAATATACATTTTGCTTTACCCCAGCCTGACTACTGGATCCGTTCTGTAGCTGTAAAATATTGTTCCTAGATTGTTCATCCCGCAGAATAGAGCTGAGGTTTTCTTTGGATTCTACAAAAATTTTCTCTTTGTTTATTGCAGCAATGAGTGTTTCCTGATCTCTTACTTTAGATTTTAACTTCTGGTTTTCCGCGTCCAATGTGTCGGCCGCCTGCTTAAGCAATGAATTGTTACTTTGCATCTCTCTGCTCTGCTTCTGGAGGTCGTAGATTTCTTGCTCTAAGTTTTTGATGTGGTCGAGTTTTTGTCTCAATATTTCTTTTAGTTGATGGTCTTTCATGGACAATACTTGGTTCAGATCCTCCCTGTACCTGACCAGCTGTGCTCCCAACATGGCATTTTCTGCATTAAGGTCATCTAATTGATTAAGCGCCATCCTGAGCTCTTGTTTCAGGGAATTGTTTTCGCTAGCTGTGGAAATAATCATGCCATCTTTCTGGTTAAGTAGAATCTCGTGGTGATGATGCATATCCTTTAATTCCGAGCACAGCAGGTCTCGATCGGTTTGAAGTGAAGACATAGATTTTCTAAAGGCCTCAATTTCATTAGAAATCAAAGTCTTGTCCTGTATAGCCTTTTCATATTCTCCTTGGAGCCTTTTCAATTCTCTATCTACCATCTTGTATTCTTTATTTGCCTTTTCCTTCTCTACCTGGAAGGAGCTCAGCCGAAGCTCGTAATCTTCTACCTGCTTCCTGTGCTGACTTTGTACTTGTGATAAGTAATTGGACAGTTCACCATCTTTGGAGAAAAGCAACACTGAAATTTCTGCATCTTTGTTGTCTATAATCTCTTTCATGTGCCTAGAAATGGCAAGCTGCTTTTCTAAACTAGCCTTCAGTCTATCCTGCTCAGAAATAACTTTTTCCATTTCTTCCTCTCTCTGCATCAATTTTGTCTGGATTGTTTTCAACTCATTCTCTACATCATCGACGTTCCCAATTAACAGACTAGCCATCTGGTTGTGCAGAAGCACCTCCCCACCTTCCTGAAGCACATTCTTTAAAAGGCCATTACTTTTGCTGACATTATTTAAGTCGTTTGAATGAATGTTTTTAATGGATAATCTATTCTCACCAAAATCCCTATGTATGTTAGATCTTTCTTTCATAGCAAGTGATTCACTTTGATCACCGTTGGCTGTAACAGATAATTCAGCCACTTCTCTACCCATTTCACTCTTTCCAAGTGCAGGGCTAAAACGGCTAAGCTGTTCAGTAAGGGATTCAATCTGATCCATTGCACTTTGCAACAAATGCTCCTTCACCGAGAGTTCCTCTCTGAAAGACAACGCATCTTTACTTGCAGTGGTTAGTTTTGTCTCTGTATTGGCAAGTTCTTTCTTTAGATCTTCAAGGCAACTGTTGGATTCCTTCAAGGATTCCTCCAGATCGAATATCAGTTCTTGAAAAATTATAGAGTCCTTTTGCAGCTGATTAATTTCTTGTTGTTTCTCTCGTAGCAGTTCTTGCAACTCTTTGGATTTGCTTTTTGTCCCCCTATTGTCATCCTGAGCAACTTTTACTCTTTCTTCAAGTTCTCTAAGAAGCTGCAATTGATGTTCTTCCTTAACTCTCATTATGTTGTTTTTCTCTGCTCTTAGAAACTCGACCTGTTGACTAAGAACATTTGTTTGCGCCTGTAGCGACTTGAATTTCTCTGACAAGTGACTGTTATTATTTCGGGATTTAAGCAATTCAGTCTCCAAAATTTCCCGCTCGTTTTTGATCTTGTCAAACTGTTCCTGGATATTTTCAATCTCTTCTTGCAGAAGGGCCTTATCATCTTCCAAGATTTTTACTTTTTCATTGAGGTTCAACTTTTCTAGATGAAGACTATCGATGTCCCTCTCTAATTTTAGAAGAATGCTCTTTTCCTCAGTCATGGAGACTTCTGTGTTGCTCAGTTTCTCCAGCAATTCAGATTTCTCTTTAGAAATATTGGCCAAACTTTGCTCTTTCTCCAGAATTTCTCTGCTTAACTCTGAAATCTTGCTATTCAATGTGTCTTTTTCAGAAAACAGTTCAGACATTTTAAACTCCATATCAGCTTTGTACGTGTCTAGCTCCATATGCAAATTATCCAGTTCGGTTTCCTTAACAAAGAGGTTCTGGGTTTCTCTTTCTTTATTTTCTAAACACAATTTTACACTTTCAAAATTGTCTTGAAGTTCTTTATTTTTCTCCATTAACTGTTGATTCTGAAGAGAGAGTTCCTCCAGTTTATGCTCTAGTCCAGATTTTAATAGATCCACCTGCCCATCTACCTCCATTTGCAAATGCTGCAGCTCAGTTTCCCTAGCTTTCAATTTTGCTCTTAAATTGTCAGTCTCTTCATTGGTCTCATGAATTTGTTTTTCTAACTCGTGATTTTCTGCCTGCACTGAATGAAATCTGTGAAGAACTTCGTGTTTTTCTTTCTTTATCATTTCTATCACTTGCCTCATTTTACCAATTTCATCACTAATGTTCTCATATGCTTGTAGAAGAGATTCATATTCTTTATTTAATTCTCCATGCTTCGCCTTCCATCCGGACAACTCTACAGTCTGAGAATCCTTCAGAGAGTTGAGTTGGAATGAAAAGGCTTCTTTCTCCTGGACAATAGTTTCCATGGTAGACTTGAGGCTTTCGCAAGCTGCTGAGAGATTCTCGTTGACCAATAAAAGTCTATCATTCTCAGAAACCAGTTCTTGATATTTCTGAGAGAGTGCAGAGAATTCAGAGGTATTGTTTTCACATACGCCAGCAACTGACCGTTTAAGTTCATCCACTTCTAAATTTAAGGAATTTATTTTCTCTTTCAGGGATTTGTTTTCTTTGAGTAAATCTTTACGCGATATTAATGCTGCCTGCAACTTTCTTTGGACCTGATCCTTGGCACTACATTCTTCAGCAAATTTCTTGTCTTGTTTTTCAATCAAACTAGCCCTTTCTTTGGTAATTTGCAGAATTTTGCTTTCAAGTTCTTCAATCAAAACTTGTTTTCTGGAACAAGCGTCACACACAGTTTTATTATGATCATCTCCACTCTGGATATTTTCTGCTCTAATTTCAGGCAACCCTTGATTAATATCGACACTTTTCTGATTTAACCATTGAACATTTGCCTGCTGTGTTAACCTATCTTCTTCTTTGGTGGAACGTGTTGTGTTTGTTTTGAGCCATAGTAGCTCAGCATGAACTTTTTCAAGATTTTTTGCATTTTCTTCTAGTTCTTTTCTGGCTTGACTGAGTGATATCTGGAGCTGGTTGCCTTCCTCTTGAGAGTCTTTGAGCTTGCTACATAACAAGTTAATTTCTTCCTCAAAGGGTTTTCTCTGTGTCTCAAATAAATCCTTCAAAGTTGCAAGTTCTTCACCTTTTTCCAGTAATGCAATATTAGACAATTCAAGGTCTTGCTTCAGTTTCTCAATTTCACATTTATTCACCCTGCAGAGTTCTAAATACTCATCATTTTCAAAGATAAACTTTTCAACAGTTCGTTCTAGTGTTTCAATTTCTGTTCTAGATGCCTCAACTTTATTCTGCAACTGAGTTATCTCGGTTGTTAAAGTTTCCTTTTCCACTTTGTATTGATCCAGTTGGCTCAAGACACGTTTCATGCCACAGATCTCTTCATGTTTTCCTACTAGCTCAGAAGACAGTTTTTGCATTTCATCCTTTAACAAGCGGCTTTCATTTAACAATTGTACATACTGAGAGTTTAAATGGAGAAGCTCGTCATCCTTATTGTGTACACTTGTCTTTAATTCAAAGATAATTTTTTCATACTGCTCCATTTTCTGCATCTCCTGGGAGACGTCTTCAAGTTTCTGTCTCTGGTCTTCTAATTTAAGTTCTTTCTCGCTCATCTGCATTCTGTTTTCAAGAAGATGCTCTTCTAGATCCTGTGTTTGTAGTTGTAGTGAGTGAATTTGTAGTGTAATCTGTTCATTCTCTTTGCATTTAGCTTCGTGAATATTTTGTAAATCTGCATACTCCACTTTCAAGAGTTCGAATTCCTGAACACGGCTACGAAGATCTTCCAGATCAATTGGATGTTCATCTTTATTTGTAGCATCAACACACTCTGTGCTTTGAAATAAAGATTTGGAAACAATACCCACACCATTTTTCAGATTCAAGTTTACATGATCTACTTGAGCAGAATTATTAATCAGATTGGTGACAGATGTAACTTTCCCTTCTGGATGGATGTCTACGCTGTTGGTTGTGATGTCGAGATGAGAATTGAGATCTTCAAGCACATCCAGACTTTCCTTTTCTAAACTTTTTAGATTTTGGTCCAAGGAATTTTGGATTTTAGTGATGTAAAGTTCTTTCTCAATAATTATTTTTGAATATTCTGCACACATATTTTCTTTCTGAGAGATGGTGTCTTGCAAATCAAATACCTTCTTGAGAAGCTCTTCCAGTTGAGCTTCCTTTTCAGTAATAACTCTGCCCAACTCACACACCTTTATATCTCTTTCTTGAAGCTCTTGCTTATTAAGTTGCACAAAAGACTGGAGCTCTGAGTTTTGACTCTGCATGGTTTCTAATTTACAATTCAACTCCTCAACCATTTTCTCCAATTCTACCTTTTTATGATGTTCTCTGGAAATTTCATCGTCTTTATCCTTTTCCAGTTTCTCAATTTTGTGCATTAAATCTTTTCTGACAGCTAGCGCTGCCTGCAGCTTCCTTTTCAGATTTTCCTTTTCTTTACTAAACTTCTCCAACTGGTTTGCTTTCTCACTTGCTAAGGTGCTTAACAGATTCTCCTTGTTGGCCAGTGTTTTTTGAGAAATGTCTAGTTCAATTTTAGAAGCTTCCAGATTCTCCAACAGCTCCTCTATTCTTAATACAAACGAACTATTAGAAGACTGTAGATTCTGACATTCCAAGTGCAATCTGTTTTTCTCCTCTGAAAACCTAACCATTTCATTAGACATAGATTCCATCACCTGCATAAGAGATGCATCCTTTTCCTTCATCTGCTCACTGAGGGTAGTGATTAGCTCTTTCTGTTGATTTAGCTGTACATTTAGAGTTTGCACCTGCAAAACTGTTTCCTTGGCATCCTCAGTTAGTTCAAGAACCTTACGACTCTCTTTGTCTAGCACCAGGTGCTTTTTCTGGATCTCATCCTTTGACAAAGCTACTTCCTTCTGGAGCTCAGTGATAAGCATGCTCAAATTTTCTAACCTTTCATCTTTTTCTTGCAAGGCACAACGCTGAAGATTATTTGCAACTTTGAGAGCTGTTAATTCTTCCATTAAAGTGTCTCTTGTTGATATTTCTGCTTTCAGCTTTTGAAGATCAACTTGCAAAAGGTCTCTTTCTTTCCCGAGTGCTAGCAGCGAATGAGACTTTTCGCCAATCTCCCGATCTTTCTCTTCAAGTTTTAACTGTAACTCTGCCATGCTGGCTTTGTAGTTTGAAACTACACAAAGCATTGACGAAAGCTTCTCTAGTTTGCTTTCGTATTCAAACTGATCGTCAAGGGAAGAATATTCTGTGAAACTCTCACTACACAACACACTTAACTGCTCTTCTACAAAATGTAGGTCTTTAAGCAAAACCTGTAGCGCATTCTCCTTACTTTGTATTCTGTTTGCTAGACTGATATTTTGCTCGTTAACACTTTCTGATTTGTGCTGCAGTTCAGCAATATTGCGATCTAGAATTTCTATTTTCCCTTTCAAAGCACAGATCTCTTCAACATGTCCACTAACCTGCTTACGAAGATCATGATTTTCGTTCTTCAGTTGAAGGGCTTCAGAGTGCATTTGTGCTTCAGACTCTCGAGCATGGTGGGCAAATTGTTCTTTAAGATCTTCAACAAGTTCTGTCTTTTCCGTTAACTGTTTCTGGAGACTAGACAAGGATGATGCCTTTTCCTCCTGTAAAGTTTTAAAATCTTTTTCAAAAGAGCACTTCAAGGACTCACATTGCAACTGAAGCTGTTCATTTTGTAGTGCTGCATCACTCTTAACTTGTAAAAATGAGGAATTCAAGTTCTCTACCTCAGTCTTCAGGTTTTCAATTTGTTGGCTTTGAGAGCCGCAGGTTTCCTGAAGATTTAGGATTTCCAATTCCTTCTGCTCATTCTCCTGAGTTAATTCACGAAGATGAGTTAGAGACCTCTGGTATTCCGTGTTCAGCGTTTCTAGTTCCGTCTTTAGAAGTTTTACTGAATGTTGACTTTGAGTCATTGAATCTGCGTTCTCATTCAGAGCATCAGATAGATTTTTGAAGTTAGTGGCACTTCTGTCAAGTTCCTCTCTCAGACGATTACTTTCATTAGTAAGTGCTTGTACATTATGGTCGGTTGCTTGAAGACGAGCATCTTTTTCATCTGAAACCTTATGCATTTCAGCAATTTCTTCCTCCTTGTTGACAAGCGACAGTTCGAGTGCACGTTTTTGTTCGTACAGAGTTGCGTACTTTTCTTGCAGATTTTGTATTGTGTTGTCCTGGTCTGTACACAACTGTTCAAGATCTTTTAATTTATTAGAAAGTGCCGTCACTCTAGCCTGGAGACCGGAAACCAATGTGCTTTTCTCTTCTAATTGGGACTTTATCAAAACTTCTTTATTTAATAGGGAGGTTTCGCTTTCTTTAATCAAGGTTTTTAATTCATTTATCTCACGAGTTTGACGGCTATTTAATTCTTCTATGGAGGCTGCCTGTTGTATTAAGGTTTCACATTGCTCTTCTTTATTCTGAAATTTTAGTTTCAGGTCAGACAACGGAGTTCGAAGCAACTCTGCTTCCTCACTTTTGTCTTTGTACAGTTTCACTTCTTGAACAAGCTTCTTCAACTGTACCTCTTGCTCTTCGGTTGTCTGCTGCTGCAATGTACGCTCAGAGATCGCTCTTTGTAACTCATTCTGGAGCTTGGAAATCTGTTGTAGGTAATGGCCTTCCCCTTCTAACCGCTTCTCTGTTTGTTTAATCAGCTCTTCCTTCTGAAAAAGAAGGGCGTCTTTCTCTTCCACACTATGCAAAAGTGCAATTTTCTCTTCTAATTGGGACTTTATCAAAGCTTCCTTATTTAAAAGCGAGGTTTCCGTTTCCCTAATCAATGTTTTTAATTCATTTATCTCACGAGTTTGACGGCTATTTATTTCTTCTATGGAGGCTGCCTGTTGTATTAAGGTTTCACATTGCTCCTCTTTATTCTGAAATTTTTGTTTCAGGTCTTCGTACACCAATAATGAGTTTTTCAACGTCCCCTCCTTTTCCAACAGATCCGCCTTATACTGGTTGTTTTCCGATATCAAGTTTTCAACCTGACTTTTTTGCTGTCCTAAAGAATTCTTAACTCCAGCAAGCCGAGCCTTTAATTTCATATAACTACCATCTTTCTCTTTAAGGGAGTCCTCTTTCTTTGTTAAAGTGACATTTAATTCTTCTATATTATCCCTGAGATTTTGGATCTGAGAATGAAGGTTAGAAATGACCTCCATATGGTCCGACAATTGAGTTCGAAGCAACTCTGCTTCCTCGCTTTTGTCTTTGTACAGCTTCACTTCTTGAACAAGCTTCTTCAACTGTACCTCTTGCTCTTCGGTTGTCTGCTGCTGCAATGTACGCTCAGAGATCACGCTTTGTAACTCATTCTGGAGCTTGGAAATCTGTTGTAGGTAATGGCCTTCCCCTTCTAACCGTTTCTCTGTTTGTTTAATCAGCTCTTCCTTCTGAGAAAGAAGGGAGTCTTTCTCTTCCACACTATGCAAAAGTGCAATTTTCTCTTCTAATTGGGACTTTATCAAAGCTTCCTTGTTTAAAAGAGAGGTTTCCGTTTCCCTAATCAATGTTTTTAATTCATTTATCTCACAAGTTTGACGGCTATTTATTTCTTCTATGGAGGCTGCCTGTTGTATTAAGGTTTCACATTGCTCCTCTTTATTCTGAAATTTTTGTTTCAGGTCTTCGTACACCAACAGTGAATTTTTCAACGCCCCTTCCTTTTCCAACAGATCCGCCTTATACTGGTTGTTTTCCGATATCAAGTTTTCAACCTGACTTTTTTGCTGTCCTAAAGAATTCTTAACTCCAGCAAGCCGAGCCTTTAATTTCATATAACTACCATCTTTCTCTTTAAGGGAGTCCTCTTTCTTTGTTAAAGTGACATTTAATTCTTCTATATTATCCCTGAGATTTTGGATCTGAGAATGAAGGTTAGAAATGACCTCCATATGGTCCGACAACTGAGTTCGAAGCAACTCTGCTTCCTCGCTTTTGTCTTTGTACAGTTTCACTTCTTGAACAAGCTTCTTCAACTGTGCCTCTTGCTCTTCGGTTGTCTGCTGCTGCAACGTACGCTCAGAGATCGCGCTTTGTAACTCATTCTGGAGCTTGGAAATCAGCTGTAGGTAATGGCCTTCCCCTTCTAACCGTTTCTCTGTTTGTTTAATCAACTCTTCCTTCTGAAAAAGAAGGGCGTCTTTCACTTCCACACTATTGAAAAGTGCTTGCTTCTCCATGCGTATGGTATCGATTTGATCGTTCAAAGACAGAATTGTGTGACCCTGCTGAGATAAATGCGAACTCAAAAGAGTGATTTCGTCAGTCTTCTTAGCCAAAGCTGTACTGGTCACCTCAAGATTGGAACCAAGCTTTTCATTTTCTAGCTGTAAGGTGTCTAACTGTTGCTTTAATAAATACCCCTCGGATTGGGTCTTATCTACTTGTGATTGGAGGCTCTCACAATGGGTTTTCATATTAGACAAGGAGACCAATGCCTCATCTTTTTCTATTCTTAATTTCTCGATTTCTTTACTACGGTTTTCTGCAATTGTGCTTAATGTAGCATTTTCTTCGGTTTTATGACAAAGCTTCTGTTGCAGCATTTGAATTGTAACATTCAACTGTTCCAAGTTCTTTGAAACATTTACATATTTCTCTCTCAGTTCTTGTTCTTCACCTTGTAACTTCTCAAAGTTGCTTTTTACCACCTCTGCTTCTACACGCTGCAGGTTTATGAAAACATCCTTTTCGTGTAAAGCGAGCTTTCTGCTTTCTATATCTCGACTCAGTTCTTCAACTTGCTTTAAAAGCTGCATATTTTTCTCTTGGTTCTGAGTGAGAGCCTCACAAACGAAGTTACATTCAGACATCTTTGCTTGAAGTGCATCATCTTTCTCCTCTACATACCTCTGAGCTTCCTTTAGCTCCTTCTCTAAAGAACGTACCTGGGTTTCCATCCTCTGAGACAATTCCTGCTCTTTTATTAACTGTTCCTTTACACTAAGGCACTCTTTTGCTTTCTCCTCTAACTGTGCAGCAACAACACTGTCATTCAGCACACATTGGGCAGAAATACTATCCACTTTAGCCAGCAATTCATCTTTATCAGCGAGGAGCTTAGACACGGTTGTCTGCTCGTCAGTCAGTAACTTCTCTGTGTGAGTCACTTTGTTTTGAAGATCTAGTAGTGTCTGGTTCAAAGAGAACACCTCTGACTCTTTCTGATGCAGTGTCTCCACTACATGTTCTTGCTGGCTACACAAACCTTTGTTGTGGTTCTCCAGCTCTTCAACTTTTCTTTTTAATTCCTCAACTGAATTTAACTGGGCACTTAAGGTTTGATCTCTTTCTGCGAGAGTCCGTTCTAGACCTGTATATTTTGCATAGAGCTCATTTTTCTCTGCCTCAAATGTATTAATCATTTTATTTTTATCGCAAAGTTGGCTCTGAAATTCTTGGTTCTTCTCCTGCAGGGTTTTCAGCTTCTCCTCACTGTCCCGTAAAACATTTTCCGAGGTTTGTTGTAAAGTTGATAAATGTTCCTCTTTGGTTTGCAGTTCTCGGTCTAACTTGTCACAATGCTCCTTTTGTACCGCTACTTCTTTTGACAGTTTTTCGATTTCCTCATCTTTTTTCGATATTCCAGAAATCAGTTTGTTGTATTGTTCTTTGGCCAACTTCAATTCATTTTCAAAACTCTTTTCTTTATTGCTTTTTTCTTCCAACAAACCTGCTATTTTCTCTCGTTCAGAGCTGTCTTTCTCTAATTGTGACTTCAAGTTTTCAATTTCCTTTCTATATTTCATTTCCGTCTCGTCGAGTTTTGCAACAGATGCATTAAGCTGTTCCTTTAATGATGTAATTTGGGATGAACACTCTGTAACATGATTATTGTGTGTAACAGACTGCGCCTGAAGCTCTAAACGAAGGTTTTTAATTGTTATATTGTTCTCACTGATTTGTCTAATTAACTCCTCTGCCTCTTTAGTCTTACATTCATTTAGAGACTTCACGTTCATCAATTCCATATTTATTTCATTCAGTTGCTCACTGAGGGAGGACATTTTGGCACTTGTTTCTTGCATATCTGAGCTTTGCGTTTCTCGTAAAATGTGACTTTCCCTCTCCGCCTTGACAAGAGTGTCAGCCATTTCTCTCAATTGCTCCTCTTTGAAATGAATCTGGTCTTTTAAAACAGAAATTTGATCTGTGTATTCAGTCAGACTGGCAGTGAGGGATGCCATTTCCTTGTCCTTCTCTTGTAAAACGTCCTTCAGGATGTCCATGTCTCTCTCACATCGCTGTAGATCATGAATTAGCTGTGATCGTTCCTCCAAGTGACTTGTGTTAAGTCGATCAAGCTCTTCATTTGTCTGGTCAAGGTCCAGCTGCATCTTCTGTAAACATGATTCTTGTCTTGACACCTGAAAGTTTCAAAGAACATTAGAAAGGGTATTAAAATAGACCATTATTAAATATAGTAAACAACAGTTTGCATTTGTTTCTTCTTTTCAATCTCAGACAGGGTCCAAAAGTCTCCTATGTGTCCAACTGACGTGTCATTGGCCAATGCAGCCCACAAAAACTATTCTATAGCATGTAAACAGTCGGAAAAACCTCACTATTTTCACAGGTTGCCTCCAACTTCACACTATTGGCTTACTAATACATGAACCCTTAATGAGAAAATAAGAAATCTGTTCAATTAACTTAAACATGCATTTCTTTTTTTGGACAGCACAGCACATGAACAACTCTCTAAATATATATTTGCAGGAGTATAATCCAATCACAAACAGTCTTGGATCTTTCCCAATCTGCCTGACACAGTGCTTTAAAAATGTGTATGTCAGAACCTTCCCAGTTGTATGTGAATACAGTCCTTAAAGTTGTGAATAGAACATCACTAAAGGTCATACCATCTCTTTAAAGGCTGACACCTTCTCTGTAAGTTCACTGTTGGACACCTTGAGAGCTGAAAGTTCAGTTTCTGAATCAGTCCGTTTCTTTGTGGCTTCTTCACGCTAGGAAAACAAACAATAAAATTGTTGAAAGCTATAATAGACACCTAATATTAAATCCTTATATTTAGTGCCATTTTTATATATATATATATATATATATATATATATATATATATATATATATATATATATATATATATATATATATATATATATATATATGCACAATATGTATGCTGCCTCTAGTGCTCTACAAGATAAGTTAGTTGTAACACTGGCACTGCAACAAACTAATTGGAATAAATTCAACTTTTCATAAATTGGGTAGAAGCCTGCTAGGTGAAGAAGACAAGTTCTACACCATAATACCAACTATAAATAACCCCCTGAAGGCACTTATATTGACATCCGATTGTATCATGGCTGGATAGGTAAACGTCATCTGGAAATTTAACAGCAGCAGATATTCAAAGTGGACATCCCTGAAATGTAACTTGTATCAGCCATAACCTATGTAAAAATTTAAGTTTGCTAATTCCATCCTGCTTTAAACTCACAAAAAAACCCCCCCCCCCACAAATATATCATTCTATATGTACTTACAACTTTACCAACCTGATCCAATGTCAGAATGTCTTACCACCTGTTTCTACTAGTTCACATGCAACTGTTTTAAACTAAATTGAAGTTTGGTAGGACATTGATTAAAGGAACACGAGGAAGTCAATTTAAAAAATATTCTGTAGCCGTAATGCATTTTTCCTTCAGTTAAATGTTTCAAAGTAGATGCCCTCAGCATGAATTGTTCAATGGCAGACAGACAAATGTATTGTTTAGTGTTAAATTGTTCAAAAATAGTTTGTACTGAACAGTGGGGTAGAGCCAGGGGAAGACACGCACCATAACCACTTATCTGAGATGAAGAGGTTATGGTGCCAACAGTGTTCCTTTAACCCCTTAAGGACACATGACATGTGTGACATGTCATGATTCCCTTTTATTCCAGAAGTTTGGTCCTTAAGGGGTTAAAAATAAAATGGGAAAAAACAACAACCTGAAAAGAGAGGTTTCCCCTTTAAAGGGACACTATAGTCACCCAGACCACCTCAGTTCAATGAAGTGGTCTGGGTGCCAGGTCCCCCAGGTTTAAACCCTGCAGATTTAAACATGGCAGTTTCTGAAAAACGGCTATGTTTACATTGCAGGGTTAATCCAGCCTCTAGTGGCTGTCTTCCTGACAGCCGCAAGAGGCGCTTCTGCGACGCTGGATGCGACGCCAAGGTTAGCATTCATATTTGTTTGTGTGTGAAAAATGCAAAAAACTAAATTTAATGGTAATTTTGGCCAGTGTTTATGACTAAGTGGCTACTAGAAAAGACTGGACATACCCCATTTGCAATACCTTGGGTTGTCTACTTTTGCAGATGGTATGCCATCATGGGGGTAATTCTCATTCCTGGGCTACCATACAGTCTCAAAGGCAGCATAACCAATCTGGCAAATTATGTAAAAAAAAAAAAGGAAATTCAAGCCTTATATTTAACTCCGTAACTTTTGAAAACACCATAAAACCTGTACATGGGGGGTTCTGTTAGACTCGGGAGACTTTGCCAAACACAAATTAGTGATTCAAAACAGTAAAACATATCATAACAATTATATCGTCAGTGAAAGTACAGTTTGTGTGTGAAAAATGCAAACAATTAAATTTTTACTGACAATATCATCGTTGTGATATGTTTTATCGTTTTTAAACCCTAATATTTGTGTTCAGCAAAGTCTCCCAAGTAAAACAGTACCCCCCATGTACAGGTTTTATGGTGTCATGGAAAGTTTCAGGGTTAAATATAGGGCTTGCAAGCCAAATTCTCTGAACTTTCTGCCTGGGTTGTAATTAGTAAAATGACTTGATTATGTAAAAATATTATATAAATATATTTGTGGAATTTACATACATGTATTTATAACGTCATTCTAAATTTCGAATTTAATATATATATATATATATATATATATATATATATATGTATATCAATATCAAAAAACAGTTAGAACTAATTAAAACTGGTATATAATTTTTTTAATGTTTTTTTTAATTTTATATTTATATATATATATATATATTTTTTTTTTATTTTTTTTAAACGTCATTCTACGTGTATTTTGATAATATATATATATTAATATTAAAATACACTTATTGATGTATGTATGTGTATATAAAAGTACTTTGATCATAAGTACTTATTGATCCAAGTACTTTTATACCAAGATCAATAAGTTTAGGACCGCCTAAAAAAGGACGGCATAGAACGCCTGCCGTCCTTAAGGGGTTGAAAACGTACATCTGTTTTTATTTTTCTAATTTTAGGAGTCAAACATAAGTTACCTGTTGCTCGCTATGCTCCAGCTTCTCACAGATCTCTTTGTGTAAAAGTTCCTTTTGTTGTAGAGTATTTTCAATCAATCTCAGTTGCTCCAGTTTTGACGTCATTTCCCTCATTATCTGATCCTTTTCCTCAATTGCGTTTTTAAGAAACATGTTTCTGTCTGTTAAACTAAGCATTTTCATAATGTTAAACTCAGTAAAGAAACATACATACCATACAAAATCTACATAGAAACATTAGAAATAATTATATTTTTCTATACTGACAAATAGGTGGTCCAAGCAAGCGGACGCCGCAGCCATCGCAAAATCACCGAAGGCCCAGCTTCCAGTCTTGCCTCCACTCGCCTAGGCTGTGAACCAACTGGGGCAATATCCCCACGTACAGCTCACCCAGTCGGAGGGTTCTAGAAGGGACGATCTCAAATATCAGATCTGGACGCCAGACGCTACCTGATTAAGGGGAGCATCGTTCTGGACTGTATTAAATGCTTGGGGCTGGTGGGGGACTCACTTGTATTGGCTGGACTTTCGTTTCCTGATTGAACTCCCTCCGCAGGCATTGGCTGAGTGGGCCATAGATCCACTCTACAGCAGTACTCGTTTAATTGATTTCTTTGTGAATAGTTACAGTGTACAACTGAAGTGTCACTGGCCAATGCAGCCCACAAGACTTTTTCTATAGCCCGTAGTTCCAGTTATATAAATGGAATGTTTCATCAATATGCTCACATAATGTTCTATTGATAGTGTGGCAATCCAGCACTCACTAAATACGCTACTTATTTCTGCTTATGACTAGTACAGCTAATATATTACCATGTGTAATAAAAAGCAAGTTAATAATAGTTTATTCTCACGTGCCGCTTGCTTTTGAGACATCTTACTTGACAGTTTATATAATATAAATAAGGCAGTGTCTATTTGTATGCAATATATTTTTCTATGTGTTACCAGTTACATATTCTTGCACTGTATAAATGCCCTCATTGGAATGTATTATGATGTAAGCCTTGATTTAAAAAAAATAAAAATAAATAAAAGCTAGTTCAATAGAGTGGAATTATGCACTGAAGGTCCTTTAATCTACCTACTCTCTTTAAAGGATCACTTTAGTGTTAGGAATACAAAGATGTATTCCTAACACTAACATGTTCCCCAGCCCCGTGACCCTCCCCCCCCCTTTAAAAATGTTAAATAATCCTTTATTCACTTTCCCGTTTCTGGTCATGGTCTGCCTCCTCCAACGTCATCCGATTGGGAGACAGAATGCGCATGTGCGGCAAGCGTCGCAAACACATTAAATCTTCCCCATAAGAAAGCATTGCCTCAATGCTTTCCTATAGGGTTCTCTCCAACACTGGTCGTCCTCATGCAGAGCGTGAGGACGTCCAGCGTAGTTTCACTGAATCACACCCCGTGAAACTCCAAGCAGCCACTTGAGGCAGTCTTAGTACCACAATATAAACATTGCCGTTTCTCTGTTTCACATTTCAAGCCTAAGGGGGACACTGAGATGACGTGGCCTGGGTGCCTATAGTGTCCCTCTAAAGAGTGGTGGAAGGCAAGGAAACTATATGCCTGTAGTCTGTGACACACTATATGGTCCGCTGCTCTATACTAAATATATATACACACATACACAAACACTATATGGACCACTGCTCTATACTAAACATATATATATACACATATATATATATATACACATATATATATACACACACACACACACTATATGGACCTCTGCTCTATACTAAACCTATATACACAGGGACCGCTGCTCTATACTAAACCTATATACATAGGGACCACTGTCTCTATACTAAACCTATATAAATAGGAATAGCTAGCTCTATGCTAAACCTTTATACACAGGGACCTCTTGCTCTATACTAAACCAATGTTGAGTGAAATACCAGATGACAGGTGCCTGGGGGGGCCCCTGCAAAAAAAACTGTTTTGGTACAGAACTGAAGGACAGCACCATTTAATGCTGGGATTATAATTAAAGCGCAGGCTGTCGTGCTTATAGTGCTAATGGCGCGTCTTTAACAAATGGAAGTTGTAAGTTAATTTTTACTTAGTTTGCTAAACTGACCTTTTCAATGCAAGATCAGAAGGCCAATACGCCCCTTTAATCAGCTCTAATGCACATGTAAATTATTTATTCAGAAATAAGATGAATAATTAAACTTGAGGAGAAATGATACCCTTTAAGTTGCTCATTCAAGTCCGTTATAAGATCCTGGCTCTTCTCAGATTCTCGGCTCTGCTGGTGACGGAACTGCCCAAGCTGTGTCTGCAATCGCTCGTTTTCATTCTACAGTAAAAATATAGAAATGGTACAAAGTGTATTCAAAATACAACAAATCCTCAATCCAGATTTGCTATAGCCACATGCATGCAAACAGATTAGAAAAGGTTTTATGTTCTTATAAAAATATAAAAACAAAAGGCAAATCGTAAATTTCACTGCACTTCCTAATAGGAGTTATAAAACAATCTGCTCATTAATTTGCATATGCAATGGCTTCATTTGTAATTTTTTTTTTTTAAAGGAACGATACAAGATTGGTTTATGGCCGTGTTTTAAAACAGTTGCCATTGAATATGCAAGTTTGCAGTAAAATCTTCTAGCCCTGACCCTTTTTTAGGGAACTTCTCTTTAAACATGGAATGTCTGTCATCTTCCAGCCAATCCTGATCCTCCTACAGGTCTCTTAGAAATAGCTGGTCATTATCCAAACACTCCTGTGCAACTAGCAGCTTCCATTCACTTTGCTGAAATTATTCTTAAATCATTTGTTTTCAATGAATAAGCTGTGAACATTATCCGTTGCACTTACCTACACACAAGTGTTTATGGGACACGGTTTGGCACTTTGGCACTTTTTTTTTTTTTCTTTTTTCAAAGAACGTGGGTCTTGCATCATGGATGTGCTCTTGTACCTTTAACGCTTTAACCCCTTAAGGACACATGACTTATGTGACGTCATGATTCCCTTTTATTCCAGACGTTTGGTCCTTAAGGGGCTAAAGGAACACTCTAATCGAAAAAAACTCTACTTGCAACACTCCGGCTTATTTTAGTGGCTATGGTGCAATTCATATTTAGTAGTAAACCCTATTTTTGTCAAACCTTTCACCAAGCAGATTGGAAACCAGGAAATCATCCAAATGTATTCAATCCCCTCTGCCTTGGGACGCAACAATAAGGAATATTCACTTCAGGGACAACGTGAGTGCAGTGGCTGCTTAGCCAAGCAATCCTGGCAATGCTGTCAAAATTTGATAGAAAATGCTTTTCTGAGATTGCAGGCAGACTGGATGTTTTTTAAGAGGGTGAAATGCTCAGTAAGAGGAGACTACACAACCGGTTCCTTGTTGTAAACGAAATGTAGAGTAAGGCGCTGGATGTTGACGGGACGTTACAGGGCTGAGCATGTTGCTCACATTAAATGAATAAACTATTGGAAACCATGACCACTTCAAATCAGAGATGGCGCTTGGAGTAACCCTTTAAAGAGGGGAACTGTAGCATACAAAGTACTGATAAGCAGTCAGGCAGAATAAATGTGTGCATCCTTTACAATACAATAATGACAAAACTAAATCAACTTCCCTTCACCTCATGTGTAAACCTGTCAATACGCAAGTCATTTAAAATATACAGTAAGATATATTCTGGGACGGTGCATGTTTAGAGCAATCCAATACTAACAGTGGGAATTCAAAGGTTTAGGGTCAAAACAGCTAAATTGGTGGATTTGTCCAACTTGGTTATTCTTCCAATTTGGCTACACAACCTAGAATGTGAAATTCTATCTTTAGTGAAAAACCCTGTAACTATTTATTATTATTTAAACCACTATCCTGTTGCGAGATGGCCCACAAATTAAGAATAATTAACATCTGAAGATAAGTGGAGGAAACTATATATATATATATATATAAAGTTTATTCTTAATATGAAACTTTGGCAAATTAATGTAACAATAATTTCTTAATCATTAATTATTTTCCCTCCCTCAGTATTGGTTAATTAATAACCAGTGAATGGCATGACAGCTAACAGGAGGGTTCAAGCTTGTGTCAGTAATAGTTGCCAAAGGCTGGAGTGGTGCATTGGGTGACAAGAATTAAAACTCCATTAGATTACACATATCTCCCACTGAATCCAATGTACCATCCAGATTTACTCAGAACCGACATTGGTCTTCTGAGTGCTAAGGCTCATTGACTGGACTTTCCTGGCGATCCATCATTTACGAGTATGAGAGACAGACTGCACTCAGTTCTTGGAATCTTTTAAGTTTGCAGAAATCTACTTTTTTTTTTTTCTTGGGCAGACCTTTTGGACACCAGAAAAATACTTTACTTATTTATAGATAACTCAGAAGACTGATGTTTGTTCCTAATGCCAATTGTTTGTGGACCCTGTGATACACCAGATGTGAAAATGTCCAGCTTGTGGTATTATTGTAGTGCTTTTCTCATTCACTAGGCCTTTCTATAGGTAACTAGCCGTGCATTTTAATGGACCCCAGCTGTCTCTTTATAGAGAGCGCTTCTGTTATCGCTAAAAATGCCTCATTGTAGCATTGTCTTTTACTAAAACGACATAAGCCTGCATTTGTGTTCAGAATATATCTTCTGTGACAGCGTGTTTAAGCATTTTGCTGCTCAATAAATAAAATTAAAAAAAATTCCAATAAATGAATAAATAGATACACGCAAGTCAACGTTACACAATTACACAAATCTCTAAAAATGATGTGTTGGGTTTGAAAGTAACAGAGACCTTGAGCAAAATAACTTCACATTGCAACATAGCCTTGCTGTTATATAGCACCAAAAATCACACACTTTTGTGAGTAGCCAACTAACAGAAACAGTGCACATGGTTAGTAACATAAGGAATATCGAACACAACCAGTGTTATTAACCCCTTCACGACACACACCATCCACCAGGAGAACACACCTTGAAAAAGCGCTGAGTCTCTTCCTCTACATCAAATGTTACCTGTGTTAAAAGGGTTTGTTACAAATCCTACAGATGTACAGATTCTCCAACTATTTTCAAACTATTCATCGACATAGGTAGAAGACTTAGTAAATTTAACATCTGTGCAACGTGTGCACAAATGCCAACATGGAGAAGAAAATCAGTCGTATACACCAGGAAGGCATAGCTAGTCAGTGTTTCAGAGGGTTAATTTGCAGCATGCCCCAGCTCTGCACAGCTCTATAAAAGCAAAGGAGTCAATGTGAAGCATGAAGGCATTGGCTGTCTCTGTCTGCACCATGTTGTAAATTGATGGTGAGTCTCAAGCACATACCTGGAGGGACTCTATTCTAGCCTGTAGCTGTAGTTTGTCCTCCAATTCCTGGCAGCGTTCTTCTAAACCCATAATCTGCTCCTGCAGTTGGTTTCGCTCCAATTCCAGCTCTTCCACAACGGTGCGTAAACCTGCAAAAGAACAAATGGAATTCACAGCCTCTAACTGCCACAGTAACACCAACTGTACAGATATTGTCAGCAAAATGGTAACCTAATTCTTTCCCTCGGACTATATACTTTGTAGTGTGAGTAACTCTTACTGTAGCACACTCAATCCTCCAGTGTTCGAAAGGCAGGAAGTAAAACCAACTATGGCTAAAGTGGATCAAGGACAATTATTAGGCGAAGTTCTAATAAAAATGGAGCAGTCACGAAGGGAACCAAATGAGTGTTTGAGATTGCTCCATTTCAGAACTTTGTCCCAGAATGACTACACCGCCAATATCCATTACATCTCTCTCCAATCCAAGATCTTTGATAAAGAACTTTGAGGTACAAGCTATAAACTAAATGTTTGCGGTTTACCGGAACAGATCTTAGTTTAGACATCTAAACTAAAAGAGCCATGCTGGATGCAGGTACCTGGGATATGACAAAATCTTTTTTTCTTTTTAACGTCTTTACATTTTCTACTTTTGCAGTGTATGTATATGGAAATCAATCAAGTATGCAGTATTCTAGTACTAACCAATTATTTAAAGACACCAGACATACAGATAAATGCCTTTTACCCACATCTACCTATATTTCGTCATCTTTACCATTACATATTTTCAATGTCTCTTTATTCGGTTTTATCACCATCATTATTAAACTCATGACATTGCAGGTGTCATGATATGCTAACCAGAACAATCTATTAAAATGAAGCTTTATCATGCATATAATTTGCTACCGAAATAAAAGATGCATGTGACACGCTACACATACAGCCAGAAAACAAAATGTAAATCATAATTAAACATAATTATGCCAATACATTTTACACAATAAAGCATTTTCCAGCAACAGTGCAATAGGCTAGATGAACGTGAGCTAAACATGGATTTCAATGCTATTATGTTGTATTTGAAGGACATGCAATATTACATATTTCTGAGACTGTTCACTATAAGGGGAGATAGAAAATCCAAGCAATTAATCAGATTTGCATATTGTGGGACTTTTTAAATCCACGTGGTTATGCCAGCTCAATTTACTGACAGTCTGATCTTACACGTTAGCCGAGTAGGTCACATCATGAATTTACTGACCCAGAATAAAGTGGCTCAGGCACCAATATATTTTCGGAGCATTTATGAAATGTTCATGAAGACTGCATTGGCATTTCATTGAAATCCCAACGCAGTGAAAATAGATCATAAGGCAGATTAGTGAGAACTTTGTCTCATTGTAAAGCCTCAAGTTGATAAAATGTGATGAAAGAGAGTTACAGCCATCAAATTGTGACAAATTCTGCAACTGTTGCCAACAATGGCTGTGGTAAGTAAGGTATTTGCTTGCTCATTGCGAGACAATATCTACAAATGTGTCCACAGTCTCGCAAGACTCTCCGTAGATATCAGTGTTATACTCTTGAGCATGTGCAAGGGTACAGCATTTGGAGATGGTGGAGCCTGCAGGGGGCAGCTGCAGGTAAGTATAACTTTCCCACACTGCACCCCTGGGCCTTGTAAAACTGAGCAGCGATGTCACCATCAGGGGTCTTTGCATAATACACCAAGACCAGAGAAGGTGACTGAGCCACTTTATTTAAAGCAGGCATCCGCCTCGATAGGATGCAGAACTACAACTCCCATGATTATCTGACCATTTATTGTACTCAAAGAATTATGGGAGTTGTAGGCCATTACCATGGTGGGAGAGTTTGAGATTCCTTATTTATTGGGCAGACTAGATGGGCCGAATGGTTCTTATCTGCCGTCACATATTATGTTTCGATGTTTCTAAAGTGATAATATTAGAACTGGGATTTGGCACATTCTAAATATGCAGCAGTCAATTTCATTGGTTTCCATGGCGATTGCTCTACGTTAGAAACTTACCCCATGTTTTCTCTTTATAAATAGCCCTGTGATTTGATTCATGAGTATAGAAATATTTTAAATGTAAAAGCTTTAAAAACAGTGAAGACACACATTACCAGACCCACATGGAACACTGTAACACTGTAACAAGAACGGTGAGCCAAACTAGGCAGTTCATCCAGCTTGCACATGCCTCAAAATGAAAAAACAAAGAAATGAGCAACAACAAAAATAATAGAATAAATCACAAAATAAAGATTAGGTACCAACACGCAATGAAGACATGTTAGTTATAAATAAAAAAAACTAAAAAAAAAAAACTGAAAAAGTGATGCAGTGCATGCTTCACCCTTCGCCTGTCAGAGGTCAGACGAGGGGTTAATAAACTGTCTAGTGGGGGTCAAACCTGAATTAGGAGAACTGTACTCAGGCCACCAACCTCCCATGTTCTCCCCCTCAGCCGATTCAATGCTGTCAAGAGTCAGGTTCTCATCTTCAAAGCTTTTGTTGTTATACTCATATTCGTCCTAAGTTAACAGAAAATGTAACATTAGCTTAGAGATAAATAGCTAGATGTAAATTGCACTTACATAAATCAACTTCTAAGCAAGTGAAATGTCCCGAGAAATTAGAAGTGGTACCCAGGCAGATCCAGGTTTGGAAGAGGAATTGTGTGACAACTCATTCATTAAATCACTTTTATTCCAATTTCGTTTTACCCAAAAGACTGGATTCTTTTTATTTTAAGAGACCTGCCTTGATACTGTGAGAGAATACATTTCACTGAGTGGAGTTGGCAGCAGAACTTACGGTAAACTAAAGCTTAAAAATGGAAAAAACTTTATGTACTGCCCCTAAAATATAAATAGGCTAGATGTAGCTAGATTCTAAGTTTATTCAGTATCCGACAAGCAGTGCATGGGAATGTGGTCGAGAAAACTATACTGATGCTTTCCTTATTATCTCAAATGGTCTCTACGATTGCATGCTATTCCAAAAACACAAAATAAAAATGGCTTTTATAATCAGGAAAAAAATCTCTCTCTCTCTCTCTCATAATCAACTTGCAAAATTTAGGCTAAACTAGCTTATTTGGAAATTTGGAGTAGCCAAACAAAAATAAATAGTGTTCTTAGAACACACTGGTTTTGGCTGAATTAAAAGGGACGCTATAGTCACTAGAACCACTACAGTTTAATGTAGTGTTCTGGTGTCTATAGTCTGTGCCTTTACAGTAATACCTCTAGTGGCAGTCACTCAGATGGCCGCTAGAGGTGCTTCCTATTTCAGTGCTGAACGCTTCCCAAAGACATGCATTGATTCATCCTGCATGGCTATGGAGAAAAGGTTTGTTTAAATACCTTTTAACTTCACTCAGAGGGGGGCCTGCGACATGAACCGTTACTCCAGCACTATAGTGTTAGTAATATATGTTTGTATTCATAACACTATAGTTTTCCTTTAATCCTTCCAAGTCTGGTCAGCCCCAATACCCCAAGTACAAAAAAAAAAAAAAATTTCCAATAATAATAGTAATTTTCTCAATGCGCACAATTCAGTATTTTGTTAAACTGTGTCCCTTTAGCTAAGGAAAAAGATCTAACTATAAGTAATAATGTTGTAGAGGAATTGCACAGGAAAATCAGTTAAAATGAAAACGGAGTAGCAGATTTCAGCGATAGAGAACATATTCAGAATAAGTGATGGCAAAGTGTGACATGCTTGATGTTTCTGAACTGCCTTTCTCCTACGCTTAGTCAGCTTTAGGGTTGGCTCATGGCAAATGTAGTTCAGAACCATTTGATGTGCAAATGTAATCCATCGCTGTTCTAGGTCTATACCGCTTTACATACACAAGACAGAGAATATATAAGGAGTGGGCACTGACCTGCAGCTTCACACTTCCTCTTCGGACTTTCCTTCTTGCTTGCCGTAGTTTGCCCATCCCGCGGGCTGTGCTCAGTTCCTCCTCCAGCTCCTGCTGCCCTGAGTCCATGGCTGGATCGGAGCAGCCAGGAAAGAACCAGTCATCCTCAATCAGTTTTGTGCCACAGGAAAGCAGTTTAAAACAAAGCTCCACTGACCCACAAGCCCACACTTACATTTGCAACAAACACCTACTACGTTCTGGGATACATGCCTTTACTGCAACTACATAGACATCCCTGTTTGACAAATCCACTTCTGGATTTGTCAAGCAGATAATTCAGTTTTACAAGCTGCCAAAAATGGATACATAGTCTAAACATGCACATTTTGCCAACTTCCAGGAAACACCGGGAAAGACCCCCGTCCAACCTATCCGAAAGGATTAGCAGGGTATAACAGATAGAATGTTAGGGAGGCAGCTCTGATTTTAGTGCAATTACAATGTCAGTTAATTGGAGGAAGTCACACTGCAAACTGGCATCAATCCATCTCATAACACATTTACAAATCGCAGACCTTTTATGACCATGAATTATAAAATCACTTACAAGGCAAATAAAGTTGGAGTGAAACTGAATATGCCTTATTTGTTTATGCTTAGAAATTTTTACCATATTTACTGAAAAAATCCCATCTGTTTTGTGATCTGACAAAGGGTTATATTGATCCAGTGAGCAATTTAAATCATGCACAGCAGACAACAAAAGCAGAACAGAGGCTGTTGATTCAGTTTATGGCCTAGGAGTCTATAGTGAGTTGGAAATATAGTTTTTCTGAAGATCAGTTACTTTGACCTTAAAATTGCAAATCACCTGTCAACTCACCATTTACTAAATAAACTCCTTAAACATGCACATGACAGACTAAATTCTGTGCAGATTCTACACACGTGTGTGATTTGAAATCGTCCAGATTTGCAGGAAAATGCATTGCTCATTAAGTCTCTGTTGTGCTTAAAAGAGTTACTGTAAAAGTGGGTCTACAACAGAATCAAAATGCAAGAACCTCATTTATGCTAACAGATTTGATGATCAATGATTTATGAAGCATCACAAATTACTTGAAGGTTACCAAGCTAATGGCAAACCTTGGCTGCAAATTTTAAAATAATCAGATTTCTACATGTCAAAGTGAATCCCATAATAGTTAGATGTTAGTAAGTGCCACTCTGGCCCAGTGGATATATATGTTAAAAAAAACAAGCAATGAGAATAAAGAAGAGTTTGTTAAATTGTTAGATGATTGAAGCAAAGTCTAACAAGAAAAACAAAGACAGAAGGATTGGATAGGGTGTTAAATAAAAGAAACAGGTAACTGATGAGCAGAAACAGCGTGACCTATACTGCTGTCTGTTTCCACTGCAAGATAAGACTCTGGGGGAAGCCATCAGCAGTACAGGACCAGCTGGCAGAGCAAGAAGGAACCTGCATGCACAAAACTGATGGGAAACTACGCTCTTAGTGGCTGAACAAATCACAGTGTAGGGTGGAAGAGTGGAGGGTAGGAACACTGAGCACTCAGCATATTTAATGGTGAAGAAAAAAAAAAAAAAAATCATGCTCAGCCCAAAAAAAATAATAAAATGAAACTTTAGAAACGTAACAGCCCGAGCAGGTCACTTTGTAATACTGGATGCACAGGAGGTATGTCTGATAATGTAAAGCAGTGTTTCTCAAACCACGCCTCACAACCCAGCAACAGTCCAGGTTTTGTCAATATCTCCATTGGAATACAAAATGGTAAATACATAAATCTCGGATTGTTGGTGGGCCGCGAGTGCTGGTTTGGGAAACACTGCTGTAAAGCTAGCTGAGCACCATGGGAAAGTAGCTCGTAACAGCTGGAGTGCCAAGGTTAGCGAATACAGGTACGGGGTAAAACTTCCAAAAGTGGCAGATTTTATAACAAGACTACTAAGCTGCAGCTGTGCAGAATTTACTGAACTACCCAGTTTCATCCATTCTGTTTTAGCAAAACAAGTGTAAATAAGTAGTCACTTGTATTTATTAAGAAGGTCAAAAGTCAGAACTCCCCATCCCACCTGTGGTCCCTTCTGCCACAGCTGTATTCTTGCCGCTACCAGAGATATGCAAAGTAGCCGCAGAAGGTGCTTCAGAACAGCCCTGCAGAATATGTGCCACAGAACTGTGCCACAGCATTAATTGGTATCTACACCAGTTATAGAAACATCTTCATTAAAACCTGAAAAGCAGACTGGCGAGGATTTAAAGGGAAAATAAATACAGGAGGCAAAATTGATTTTTTTCAAAAATGTTGCTGTGCTGCTGTTACTTATTTTGATGTATAAAGTTGGAATTTTTAAAATCAAACTTTTCCAATTAGGCTATTTTAAATTCAAATTTAATTTCAGACAAGAGACGCTGTAAGCACTATAACCATTTTAACTCATTGAATTGGTTATAGTGCCCGACGTCCCCTGGCACATTACCTCCATTTAGTGTTAAACCATTTTCAAGCAGGGTAACACTAAATAAGGGTCCTTGACCTCCTCTTTGGAGGTGTGGCTGAAGTAGAGATAACCCACTTCCTTCTAGCCATACCAATTAATACCAACAATGGGACACTTTGATAGGCTGAAAGAGGTTGGCTGACACTTTCAACCAATCACAGCTAACCATTGCTGCCGAGTTTAATGCTTCATGATAGCTGAGGACTCTTATTTAGCATTAAAAAAAAAAAACTAAAAAAAAACGTAAAAACCTGTTTAACGCTGAATGGAAGGATTGCTCCAGGGGGCTACAGACACTTTAATGTGACGAAGCAGTTACAGTGCCTACAGTGTCCATTGAAATGGGTAATAAGAGCCACAAGAACACTCCATTAAGAGTGTCTGTATGGAGAAACATAATCAGCCCTCTATCTGAAGCACTGTAATAAAAAAATAAAAATCAGAAGGCTAACTAAGCAAAATTTTAATATCAACTTTTTTAACCCTTAAATCTGCTAAGATTATTTATTATGTTTTCCTTAATAGATAACATTGACCTATATACTGTGTCTGTCAATGAAAAGATGACCCAATGATGAATTATTACTTTCCATACTGGGCCTTAAAGATTTATCAAGTTGCCTTAGTCAAGGACTAAATATAGAAAATAGCTAAAGGCCATCAATTATCAAAACATTACTCATTATAAGTGACGTGTAAATCCCCTTGACAAATAAGTGCCTCAATTTATTTGCCCTATGATATTGTAAGCGCTGGCCTGCACTTTAATTCGTAATTGCCTTTGCCATTATCCTAGCTGCCATTTGCTAAACTCATAATTAAAACAGCTCCAGCATTGACCCCTTTTCAAGGTGAGAACACTAGAGCTGATGAGAAAAAGACGCCTGCTAGCAAATTTCCAAAATAAGTATTCTCTAAAAATTCTTGGATTTTTCACAATACATTTTTCCTGGATCCAGCCACCTGATCTATATCAGAGAAGCCCAAAAGGTAGATCCCCAGATGTTTTAAAACTACAGCTTCAATGATGCTTTGTCATTCTAAAGGCATGCAAAGCATCATGGGTGTTGTAGTTCTACAACATCTGGGGATCTACAATTCGAACATCAGATGGTGCCAAAGTTTTGCTAATTAATAAATACTTGATTTATAGTGCAAAGCCCCAACCACCAAGGATGTATGAGTAGTTATCTGATTGGCATATTAAAGCTAGCTTGGAAGTCAGACTAATAAACCAAATTAAATCCGTTATATTAAGAACAATAATCCAAACACAGAAGGGATTTCTTTCAATGTGGGATTTTTCACAAACACAAAAAAAATAAAAATATAAATTCCCAAAAATTCAAATCCAAATTAAAATTCAAAGTGGCTTGTTAATAGGGTCTTTATAGCAACCACTGCTCTGGACAGCACCCAAGCCCAAGATATGTGACAACTCCATTTAGCTAGACACAAAGAAACCAGGCAAGGAAATTCCATCTCATAAAAGAAATAGGAGAATTCACCTTCTCGTTCCTCTTCGATCTGCACCATCCTCATGGCTAAAACAGACTTTTCTTCTGGGTCATGATGTTGGGTCGGTTCAGTTTCCATGTTCATATCCTGCCATTCCAGCATCTGACTCTGTAACTCATCCACACTGCCCGACTCGCTCGTCTAGGGATAAGAAATGTATGTTAGAGGTGGTATGCCAAGAACTACGCCCAACATAAAGCACAAATGATTTAGACAGTGGGGATGCTATAAAAGGATTTACACATTTTGCTTCATTTTTGTCTGGGGAGGATTTATTATAGCCATGTGATAGGAGAGGGTGATGACCGTTTGAAAGCCAGCATTTTATATATTTATTTAAAAAATACCACAGGTCTGCTTTGAGTATTTGCTGAACTAGCTAGAGCCATTTGGAGTTAACGTTTTCTGTAAATTGATCCTTACAACCAAAATAACATTTCAAACACCACTGTTTGCCACCACACAAAATATATAAACATTTATTTGAATTGAATTTCAACTGAAAGTTGGGGGCTGGCCAGACAGCCTGTCAGTGTGTGCCCACCACCCGTGTGTACAGATACACTGCCATACACGGTTTAGAGAATGTGAGCAAAACCCTTATTTGCTGATCTGGAGAACACAGGATTTCATGAGATTTTTGACTAAAATCACAGACTGACCCTGGACAAGAATAATCTTCTTCTAGATACAAAATATTAGGACAATAAAGTCTGCACAGGATCCCTTCTTTTCTGCCAGATGACAATATGAATATCTGCAACTTGAAGGGACAGTATAGCATTCAATGCACTTATTTCTGATACACTAAAGAAATCCAAACCTTGCAGAGCTGAGCCTTTTTACTAAGCTTCTTAGCACTGAATATATTTGCAAGGACTATCCAGATGAAAAGTCAATTCATGCAAACCATGTCATAAAATAACAAAATGTTTTAAATGCATTTAATTGTTTTAAAAAAAAAAACGCCTTTGTCAAAATTCCCTGAGCCCTAAAATCTTCTCTCATAGCTGCTAAACATGATAGGAGTTATAGTCCAGAAGATGGAGTGCGATTTAACAGTTTGTTTTCTCTTGTCCACCCCCCACCTCCATCCCCCAGGCCAAACTCTGCACTTTAAAAGTGCAGAGGTAAAAAAAAATTTTTATATTTTTTTTCCTTATTTACAAGTTAAACTGCCTGAGAGACAAGCAGCAAGGGCTTTGACATTATGAAAATAGCACCCTTACACACAGAAAAAAGGGAAATGTTATTTGCACCATAACCACTTCAATAAGATGAAGTGGTTATGGTACGCAGAGTAAAGCTTGTAGTTCAAAGATATAACCACAATCTAAATATGAAATTTGTTCCATACATTTGCTGGTAAGTGGGTTAAGATATAGGTCTAAAAACAAGTTTGAACAAGCTTAGAATTAGATCTGAAATGGTTTATTAGCTCACCTGTGAGTCTGCCCTCTTTGCAACTTGCTCAAGATCTGCTTGGAGCTTTCTCTGTTGCTCCTCGTAGATAACAAGTTTCGCCAGTAGTTGCTCTGAAAAAGAAGAACACTCAATCCAACAACTATTGCTATTGAGCAAATGAAGCACTGTACTCTTTTTTTTTTTCTTTTCTTTTTTTGGCTTAAAGTTCTCAAATCAACTCTGTAAATTGTATTGAACGGTTAGACCAATAGTTATATAAAAAGACAATCTGGTAAGAAAACCATGCAGGTATCTTTATACCAACCACAATCTCATATTAGCATATAGTGGTTTTTTTTCTATGCAACTGCAGTTAGATGTGGATCTAAATAAAAATATAGCAGTTTTGGGGACAAAAAACAAACAAAAAACAACAACATTCAGTGTAAAGGAACATGGCCGGAACACATGGACAACCTAACGGCAGTTTGATCCATGTGCTCCCCCAGGAATTCAACATGGATTTGACGCAATACAATGTTTCAAACCCCCTGTGTAATGCATGTGTAAATTAAATTAACACACTAAAGTCCTAAGTTCTTACTTCATAAAAATGTCGAATTCATGAGAAACTGGCACTTTTTTTTTTTTTTTTAAAGTTATGGGTTGCCCACGCCTAGTGAGCTCTTCCTCACAAGACTTGAGCGCTCGCTCAAGGTGGAAGTGAGGGTTTCAATGCTGCTCTATGACAAGAATTGCTGGCACAGAATAGATATTGCTGTGCATGCACACTACCTCCCAATATTTCTCTAACAGAAACATTAGATTGGTTGGGAGATCATGGTTAGTGATGATCTCCTGGAGGTGGTGTGAAACTGCAGAGAGGGAGCCTTTCGCTGCTTGTAAAAAACAGAAATACAAGAATAAAAAGTAATTTTTTAATGGAGTGGATTCCTCTTTAATCTATAGAACCACTTATCCCAAGACCACAGACTATCTGAAGAACTGTAACTGTTCCAGAGTGCATTTTTTTTTTTTTTTTTTTTTTAAAAGAGTTGCCAGATTATTTCAGACTGTGTGCAGTCACACTAGCATTCAAAGATCAGTAAACGGCAGGTGGATTTCAGCCACTTCCTGTTTAATCAGATGTCTGTGAAATGGAACAGTTAGGGAATAATGCAAATTAAGTGTGTCTATGGTAAAGCTCCGCTGCACTTACTGCACAGAAACATGAAAACAGGTGCTAGAAGTCTTATTTCCTGGCTAATCCAGGTCATTATCACCTATAGGTAAAGCTGGTATAAAGGTAAACTTCTCATCCTACACAGTATCATTGTTTTCTGTCCTCCAGATGCTTAGGCAGCATGTAGTCTTTTAAAAGGGACACTATACTCACCAGAATAGCTACAGCTTAATGTAGTTGTTCTGGTAAGTATAATAGCACCCTTCAAGCATTTTCATGCAAACACATTGCCCCTAGGGACACCTCCAGGTGGCCACTCTTCAGATGGCCGCTGGAGGGGCTTCCTGGCTCAGTACTGCACAGTAGGCAGCCCTGCTGTTCAGCATACCCTGAATTTTTTGACACTGAATTTTCCTCATAGAGATGCACTGATTCAATGCATCTCTATGAGGAGGTCCTGATTCGCCAAAACAGCATTTTGGCCAGTTACAGGCAAAGTATTTTGAGACTGCCTGGCTACTAACGTATCTAAGTGCACATATATAAAAGGTTTTCAGGATATGAATAGTTACCATTAAGTGTCTGCAGTTCCGTTACAGACTCCAGCTTGTCCTCCATGTTCCTTTTGTCCTCTTCAAGTTCAAAGATTTTATTTTTCAGCAGTTCAAGGTCACGATTTTTAGTTTCCGACTAGAACAATAATTGAAATTTGTTTTGTTTTTTTTTAAAAAGAAATATTTTAAATAAAAAAAAACAATTGCAGAATGTTACAGTTCACATACAAGGAGAGGAACTCATTAATAGATTATAGAAAAAATAAATAGTAATTAAACATGAATCACAGAAACAGAAAAGCACCTACACCAGTCAAAGTTCAATGTCTCAAAAAAAATGTTTAGTTTTAAATTTTTTAGTGTTACTGGTGATTGATGTTAGCAAGAGGTTTGAATTAACCAAGGAGAGAGATGGAAGAAGAGAGACACCAAGAGACAGGTGAAGTAAAATGGGTACTTGTACAATTTTAAGTTCTTCTTCCAACTGTCTGATTTTGGACTTTGACCATGCCTTCATTTTAAGGAATTTAGCTTCAGATTTACTTGCCTCTTCTGTCTTCAATTTCACTTCATCTGTAAAAGAAATACGTATTTATAATAAGTTGGTCATCCAAAAAATGGAATTAACTATAAGAGGAAAAAAAGAAGAGTAAACAATAATTCAATAATTTTAGTGATCTGAAAAAAGGAGCTATGGAAATTGAAGTTCGGAAACACATAAGAGTGGAATCCCCTCTGCCCTCCAGCCCCGAAAAAAAAACCAATACCTGTATTGCAGCAGACGCCCACGCTCCAGTCCTTTTACACAGACATCTGATTAAACAGGAAGTGGCTGAAATCCACCTGCCGTTTACTGATCTACAATTACTTTCCATGCAAGAATTACTGAGCACGTATGTTACATACTCAAACTCTTTTTGTCTCCCACGTTTGGAATTTGTGTAGGACCCACCGATATTGGGGTACTGTGAAGTAGTGGTGGGCTTACCACAATATGGCGAAACTAAATCCCCTCATTTGTTTATGGAGATAGGCGATTTTAAGTAGCCTTATAAGATTTAAATGTGTATTTGTATGTGTGCGCTGTAATTAATCTGTATTATGTATGAGTTTTGGTCACTACAAAATGCATGTTCCGGGTATGCCCCAATTCCTTTTTGTCTTTACATACTCAAACTCTGTCATCCACACCAGTGGAAACCACTCATGCAAGCAGAAAGCAGATTCCATTAAAATTATGAAAACATCCTCAAATGTGAGTGAAGAAACTCCTTTTTGTAGTAGTATTAGGCCACGATAACATACAAAATGTTACATTTGGCACAAAAAGCATTTAAAAGCCACCAGTGCCTATGTAGGTGTCTGTCTGACCGTGGTATGCACAAGTGTACCCAAAGCGGATAATGTTAAAGTCCAGGGATATTCTCTTGTCACATCATTTTACTAATCCTCCATAATGAAGTATGAAAAGATCACAAAAAACGGGCATAGAGCTCCCTCTACTGTTCAGTCTTAGAAACTACACACTCCCTTTAAATAAAGAGTACTATTTTCGTTCCTCCTTTTTCCCTTCTACAGGAAACAATACTATGTCATGAATATCATTGAGATACATGAACTGAGCTCAAAAAAGGCTCCCTGCTATTTATATAGTTATTTTAGCCACTCCCTATTTTATAAATGTGCAAAAAAACTTCACAATATAGAAGCCCTTGGCACAGGTTTTAACAGATATAAAAACAGTGTGTGCATACAGATCATGACTCCTGAACACAATGGATGGAGCAGAATTGTTTATGAAAGTCCAGCGGTCGGAGAAGTTTAAACCTCTGGGCAAAAAGTTGTAAAGATAGAAGTACACATTTTAATTTTTAAGTGAAATTATATCTATACATATTGTACAGTTTGTTGAGAATACATTCACAAAAAATTGTGGGTCAAGAAGTGAAACCTTCTGATCTCCTTAAAATTAGATTTGTGAACTACGTTTCCCATGATGCTCAGTCAAGCTGTAGTTCACAAAGGTCAGTCACGTGTGACAATTGCACTTTATTCAACTCTCCGAACAACCAAAGCAGAGATACAGTAGCTCCACCCCTTTATAGATGGACCAATTTTTTGGATACCTTTTAATTTAACGACTGCGGGGGAGGCAACTTCTGTGGGTTCCACTTGGTTTTCTTTGCTGCTCCCCAGATCTTGAAGTTGTTTCTGTAACTGTAACACGGTTTGGCTTTTCTCCTGGATGTCCTGTATCTCAATGCTGTGCTTATCAGAAAGTCGTCGCAGTTCTGTTTCGTGTTTATCCATCATATCTTTCAGCTGTGCCCTCATCACATGCTTCTCAGCATCTAGTTTTGACTGCAGGTTCTCTTTCTCAGACTGAACGCGCTTATACTTTTCATTCATTTCCTAAAAACAAAGACAAATTTACTGGAAATTGTTTCAAGAATTAAGTGATTATCGTTTCTAGCCAGGCGCAGCTTTCTAATTAAATACAGGATTAAAAGATCACTGAAGTAAGAAGGCTGTGATTGCTTGTCAAAGGTTTTGTGATCATGGGCTGGAAATACCATTATAAAACCAGGATCTTGTGCTATACAGAGAACTATTGCTTGTTTTCCATAAACAGGAAGTAGAACACACATTTGTAGTCCTGGTATATGGCCTGCTCAATGACCATACTGAGACCCACTGGCATAGTCTGCTTAAAGGGACACTCCAGGCACCCAGACCACTTCTTCCCATTGTAGTGGTCTGGGTGCCAACTCCCACTACCCTTAACACTGCAACTGTAAATACTGAAGTTTTTATAAACTGCAATAATTACCTTGCAGGGTTAACTCCTCCTCTAGTGGCTGTCAGACTTCCTGCTTCATAGCACAGGTTTTCAGTGCTATAGCGTTGCTGGACGTCCTCACGCTGTGTGAGGACCTCCAGCGTCGCTAAAATCCCCATAGGAAAGCATTGAAAAGCATTTTCAATGCTTTCCTATGGAGAGGTCTAATGCACCTGCGCGGCATTGCCGCACAGGCACATTAGGTCTTCCCCGCCGGCTGATGTGATGAAGGGGAGGAGCGTGGGCGGAGGAAGAAGCAGCGACGTGGGACATGTCACTGCCTCTGGTAAGTCACTGAAGGGGTTTTCACCCCTTCAGCAACCGGGGATGGGAGGTGGGAGGGGACCTGCAGTACCAGGAAAACTGATTGTTTGCCTGGCACTGGAGAGTCCCTTTAAGAAAATCAGAGTTCTTGCAAGGAAGAATATCTGCATATGTTTGGGAAATGTATTCACTTGTTATAGAAATGTATTCACTTTACCAGCACATAGAATACAATTTACTGTTATTGAATAACATTGACTTCATTGCGTGACATTTTGAAATCCCCTGCAGCGATGTTAGCTGACTGCTCTATTGTGGGTCAGGGGAGGACAAAGGGATATGTCTAACAGGCGTTGCATACAACTCTCATTAGGTCTTGCAAGTTTACATCCTACATGAAAATATTCTTACTGTAAACTGCTGATCCTTATTGTCCAATTCTTTCTGCAGCACGTCAATCACTTGGTTCTTTCCCAGTAATACCTCTTCCTCCTCGTGCAGTTTCTGTTTTAAGGCCTTTAGCAACTGCAAGAACAAGAATATAAAACCTTACAAATACATTGTCACTAACAAGATACACTGATATTCTGTGATCTTCAGGAAACTATTAGTAAGGACACATCCATATGTTGAATCTCAGCTTCAATGCCAACATATGGGGACTTAGCCCTGCAGTGGCTGACAAACTCTGTAGCACAATCAGAAGTATTTATTTTTGTGAGTGTATCCATTGTTTTTACTATTTGTTTTAATTTTGTTATTAAATACTTCACTATGTATATATAGTTTCTTGTTTCCATACATGTTTAATTCAACTCTGCGTACGGTAAGTATACATGCACGTTTGTGACTGTGGCGCCCTAACTGGTATATGTTTTTTAACTTGTGTCTTTCTGGGATTTGGGAGTGATCCCTTATTTGAGTGGCTAGCCTGCACTGTTTGGATTGCACTTTATCCAACTTACCGTCCTTGGGGGTGGTAGAGAACTCACTAGATAGATGTAGAATCAAGCATGTCTCCCTTTCAGATAGGGTCAGGAAGTTAAGATTGATGGTCTTCAGAGGAATCTTCTGGATGGCTAAGGTTGCAGATAAAATCAAGCATATCTCCACAACCAGTGTGGTTACCAGGCTTCAGCTAATAGCAGGAAGCTATTCGTTGAATCTGCCACATGCAGGGTGGCAGATTACAAATAAAAACAAGAATGTTTGAACGAAATAAAACTATCAAAAAGTCCTGTGCGTTTCGCCCGTTGGGACATCTTCAGGGATTGATGTAGGTGTTCCAAGAGACTCTTGTTATATACCAGTATGTATTGAGAATGATCAGCATATAAATGAAAAATAAGAATATGTTTGATAAAAATAAATAAAATGAAAAATTTAGGAGAAAAACAGTTTATTTTATTTATTAACAAACTTGTATTTTTCTTATTTTTTCATTTTATTTATTTTTAACAAGCATATTCTAAGTTTTCATTTATAGTATATATTCATTTTTATTTATATATTTTTATATATATATATATATATATATATATATATATATATATATATATTTGATATATTTAATTTTCCCATTTTTTATTTTTTATTTTTTTTTTGGATAGATTGTCTTTCATTTTTTATATTTTAATTTTTCCAGCAATCGGCTATTGTGCTCTGCTTTTCTATGTCTTTGTTTTATGTACATGGTTTCCCCTTGGTTTTCATGCTCTGAGTCCGTCCTACTACACCAATACAGTTGTTCAAGTCCACAACCCGGATACCCCTTGTGCGTGCCAACATGAGACGCACGTTACAACTAATTTAACGCCATCCACACACGTGGCGCTCAACACCCAAAAATCGTTAACGGTGAAACACAAGTTGGCCCAGCTGCTGATCATCGTTCTCAATACCTACTGGTATACAAGAAGAGTCTCTTAGAACACCTACATTGAGTTCTGAAGAAGTTCCAACGGACGAAACGCGTAGGACTTTGATAGTTTTATGTCATTCAAACACTCTTGTTTTTATTTGTAATCTGCCACCTTGCATGTTTACCTCCGGAGCTTTCTGCTATTTGCTGTAGCCTGGTCACCACACTGGTTGTGGAGATATGCTTGATTTTATCTGCAATCTTAGCCATTCAGAACATTCCTCTCAAGACCATCAATCTTAACTTCCTGACCCTATTTGAAAGGGAGACATGCTTGATTGTACATCTAGTGAGTTCTCTACCACCCCCACCCTGATATTTATATTAAACATACTGCACCATATATATTTTTATTCATTTGCATATAATCTTGTGATCATTTATCAGGTTGTACATGACCTTTATAATTCCCTTTATTTGGTGGTTTTTTTTAAATATATGTTTTAGCCCTTTTTGGTCCTTTTTTCTGTTTCTACTTTATTCTGAGTGTCTTAAAGGGAACACTTTTTTTCCTTAAAGGGTTTGTGTTTTAGAGCATATGGAAATTTTTGTTTATATACTGATATATGAATGCTAAAATATATACACTTATAGTCAGACATTTAATCAATAATCCGTATTTCATGCTTTTTAGCTGTCATTAAGGCATTAGGATAATCTTGTTTAGTTTCAGTGCCACAGAACACCCCGAGCAGGAGGAAGCAAACCCATCTGCGAGTTTTGCCAGTTTCCACAAGGCAACATATCCCAACAGTTATGGTTTTTGCAGACAATGACCACATCAAGATAAATCTCTTATGGCAGTTCGACCTTGCTGAAGATTAAACTACTATTTCATTAAAAAGTCTAGATTCTCACAGCCCTGCTGGACTTTTGTTAGTCAGCCTGGCGCTTCACAGATTGAATTCACACAACCACCAATTTTCCGCTTTGATCAAGTCCGTACCTGATGAAGATCTGCGGTGGCGTCAGATTTTGCTGCCAATTTAAAGAGCTCTTGCTCGTGTTTCTCAGAAAGTTCCTTCATGTCTTTCTCCTTTTCCAAGATCATGTTTTGGTAAACCCGTATCTAAAAACAAGTTTTAAAGCACAGCTTGTGTATGAATAGTGCCGACTGCAGCCATAGTATAATGGTAACTAGAACTTATTCTCTGGAAAACATTTTGACCGAGAAATGTGTTGATCAAGACTCGGTCAAAACATGGCTAAGTCAGTTTTATAATTGAATTAACTTCACTTCGGTCATAATCTTGACAATTATTTTGTTTTTTGCTGAATTTGTGAGACCTAGAAATACAGGATATTTCTCATGACTCCCTAATCCTAATGCGTGCACTTCTGCTGTTCCTAATATTACTATACTGTACAATTGGGACACATGACAGGACATGCAGATTACTTTTGTGCAAAAATAGTTTCTTCAAACCAAAATCCTTTTGTTACACAGCCAAATTAATTTATTTAACAAGAAAAAAAAACAAAAAACATTTTTGTTTCCAATAAGTACTCCTCATTTAAAGTGTGAAACATGTTTACGTGTGGTTTTGTTTAGCTATTCAGAATAGATTGCTAAAAAACAAATAAAAAAAAATGTACAAACCAATATTTGTTTAAAATGTAAGTATTTTAGTGACCTTCTCAAACACATCAATTCGACTAATATATACAGTGCATAAAAAAAAGAATCTTTAACAAGTTTAAGACTTTGCATCTTGCATATTAATGAGATAGTGTTTTATTTATCTTTGAGTAAGATTTGAGATTTTGGAAAGAAGGAAGGAAACTAATTGTATAACTAATCTCCAGGGGGTGGGGGGGTGGGTGTGTGTGTGTGTATATATATATATTTTCCTGTTTTAGTAACCATGAATTCTGTGATCAGACACAGGTTTACTCCTCATATTTAAAGACAAATTTTCCAGGACACTTTAAAAAAGTGAGAAGTGCTATTCAAAGACCAACGTTATGACCGACCCAAGAAACAAGCACCAGATCGTCTGAAAATACACAGGTAAAACTACTTGTGACTTTCCGGGATCTAATGACAAGAGAGGCAGCAAAGAGCTCAATTAATAGTTTTAATGCATTACACAGATAATACATCGTACATTTTAAAGCATTGTGGAGAGAATACATTGAAAACCCAGTTTGGGTTGCAATGCTTAAAGGACCACTATAGTGCCAGGAAAACATACTCGTTTTCCTGGCACTATAGTGCCCTGAAGGTGCCCCCACCCTCAGGGACCCCCTCCCGCCCGGCTCTGGGGAGAGGAAAGGGTTAAAAACTTACCTTTTTCCAGCGCTGGGCGGGGAGCTCTCTGCCTCCTCTGTTCCTCCTCCTGGGCTGAATGCGCACACGCGGCAAGAGCTGCGCGCGCATTCAGCCCGTCGCATAGGAAAGCATTTACAATGCTTTCCTATGGACGCTTGCGTGCTCTCACTGTGAAAATCACAGTGAGAAGCACGCAAGCGCCTCTAGTGGCTGTCAATGAGACAGCCACTAGAGGGTACAGGGGGAAGGCTTAACCCATTAATAAACATAGCAGTTTCTCTGAAACTGCTATGTTTATTAAAAAATGGGTTAACCCTAGCTGGACCAGGCACCCAAGACCACTTCATTAAGCTGAAGTGGTCTGGGTGCCTAGAGTGGTCCTTTAAGGTCAGCAATGGATCTGATAAACTGGTGGCTATTTCCCTGTGAAACCCACCAATTCTAATTTCAGATTATAGATCATTTATTGAATTACCCACAGGACTAATCAAGTGCCTCAGAAGTGCTCACTCACATTTTCCGCGTACATTGCCTCCTTTTCTTGGAAGTCCTTTTTTTCCTTGTTGAGAAGGCTTTTTAGGCTCTCGGTCTGCTCCTGGAGGAGACTACATCTCTCTTCACTTTCACCCACCTTTCTGGTAAGGTTCTGGATCAGAATCTGGAGGTCCTGGTTTGCTGAATCTTTCTGGTTCTGGAAAAAGGTCAAACAGCAGAGTAAATTAATTAAAAAGGTCCCTGCTGTAGAATTAAAAATGTTCATGAATACGGCCAACATTTGGAACATGCTGTCTGTTTGACAGAACCTCTTCCTAGTGAGATAAGAACAAAGCAACCATTCCTGGTTTTAGCCAGTATGGGTTGCACAATGTAGAAACATTAAGACATTGACACGCTTTCTCTGATATTTAAAGCGGTTTCAAAACTAATGAATATTAAAATCATTGGGGTATGTTAGGAATCTATACTTTGCAAACTCAAGCTACAGGAAAGGTATTAGAGAAAGCCATTACATGGTCAAAATTTATTTTCGCACAAAACATTAGGCATCGGCATTTAAAAAAGTGCACTCTAGGTCACAGTGTAAGTTAGTAACCAAGATGAATGAATGAGCAAATATTAAGTGGAATGAAAGCTGCTCACAAATAGAACAACTCATGTATTCTATAATTGTAGATGACTATATATAGATTGGTTTCCACTTCCTAATGTATCCTTTCTCCTCATTCCAACTGGGACCTGGATTACTGAATTTCTCAGGATTAGCTCCCTGATCTAACAATAGCCTGGATCTCAGATTCTGATGCCTGTACAGACACTAACAGAATAAAGCAAAGGAGAACAAGCCATTTCTTGCTAGATGTTAGTGGATTGTTGTCTCTACTCATCAAGCACAGGCAAACATTTCGTTTTTACAATGGTGTCTGGTACGTATTGCTTCAAATAAATTAATAGTGACTTAATCTTAAAAATGCAAAGTATGATAGGGTACTGTGAATTATGTGAGTGTGTCATCATACTGTGAATTATTATGGGGTTGAAAACCTGATCTTAAATGACATGCATATCATGAAATTAAAATTGTTTAAATATAAATTTTAATAATATTAGAAAGGGAATTTTTTTGGGTAAATACTACATACCTGTTTGGTATTTAAATTGATTCCTAAAGGACACATGGGCTAATAGAACAAGCATGTTAACCTTGTACAGACTTTCGCTATCAAACTACATGTTCCATATATAAAAACTACAAATACCTTTAAATTGTCTGCAGAGTTCTCTGTCTCCTTAGGGACACTTTTTCCAGCAGATATTTGAAGTTCAATGATGTAGGCCTCTTTTTCTGCCAATTTCTTCTCTTTCTCAGCAAGCATGGCGTCCATCTCAGAGCCTCGCTGACGTTGTGTCTCCAGCTGAGCATCGTAGCAAACAGAGTCCGATAGTAAGGAGGGTGCAAATTCAAACACAAACAAGGACATACAGAGCGTTGGCATTCTGTGTTCTAAAAGCACCGCATCAGTTTTCAATTGCATGTGCAGCCTGAGCTTCATATATAGTATGAATCTCACACTCAGAAGGAAACCTTCAAGAATAATGTTACACTTTTTTTTGTTTTATAATGCACTATATCATATGCATCAAAAAAAGTAAATGAACAATATTGTCTTGCATTCAGCAAGTGTCAAACAGGCAGACCCCTCCTTCACCAGGAAGAAACTCCACCAATCAAAAGCCTTACATTCTGGTCTTTGCAGTCTGTCATTCCTGGATAGGAGTTTATGGGAAGAGTGGTTTATCACATAATAGCTCAGGAACGTATGTAATATTGTATATCGTATATTGACAATATTGTGGATGCTATTTTTTTTGGGTGTGATTTATTTTCTTTATGGCATTTTAAGGTTTTTATATAATCATTACAATACGTACAGATAACTTAACGTACCAACATTGGTGTTGTCAATTTCTAGCTATTATTAGTTTTATGGCCATAATTATGTGTATTGTTAATTTTTGGGGGGGAGACAACACCTTGAAAAATCAAAATGTAAAGGATTCATTTAGGGGATAACATTACAGTTTGATTACAAATAGCTGAAAGTAGAAAATAGTTGACTTTAATTTCTAACAATCCTTTGCACTCCCACCACATATGGTATATTGCACCAATATCGTTGGTACATCTCAAACATAAATTTGAGGATTTTTAAATCAAATGTATGGATCCTGTTTGGGGTGAGATACCATCAAGGTGTGGTTTTGAAATAGTTTTCTTGAAGACTTAAACAATGAATAGATTTTTTTCATCAATAAGTGTGCTTCTTCCAAGTTGTTTACTGGAAATGTTTACCAATATCTTTTTCCCATTAATTAATGGATCTAGTTTTAATTGCATAGTTTTGGAGATCAATTTATTTTCTACTCATTCCAGTTCACCATTTACTGCACCAGGCTGTGTAGAGCTGTAGATCCCACATGAGTGGTCCATGACTCTGTGACAGCTCTGGGCGGCGGGGAACAGTCTTATAAATGCAGCAATTATTAGAAATTACTTCAGTTATAAGCCGATCTTTCTTATAACAGACTACAGGTTACTCTTGAGAGAGGAGAGAGCTGAGCCTTTAAGAGGCATCAGAAAACAAATTAAACAGTTAATTACATTAAAACACATTGTACTAAACATATACATTTACTGGTTACATAAATACTCAACTCAAGTCAAATACTGGTGAATCACCTAGGGTCACAACAAATAATTTAATATTCTATTGATTATGCCAAACTAATTGACAGCATAATCCACTAAAAAGTCTAGCTTAATCAAGCACGGCAACAATACAGTCCATGAAAAAAACGCTATGAATTGCTACTTAACCAATAATCACCATCACAGTGTTTGTCAAACAATTCTAACTGTTACAGAATTAGAAGCACCTTTGACAGCAATTATAGCTAAATGACTTTTTAATTCTCTCCCAGCTTTGCACATAGCGATCCTGTAGTGTTTACTCAGTAATCTTGGTCTGTAGGCTTGGATGACGACCGTGTCCTCTCTAGGGAGTTCCTGATACCGATACACTGTTTGAAGAAGAGACTTCTCCAGGCAGTTTCGATTGTGCTACATTCTCTCTATTTCAGAGTAATTTTTATGCGAATGCTAAAATTGATAATGCGGTTTGTTGAAGCATGTTCTATGACACAGGGGCCTTCCAGAAACTATGGTATTTATTCCAAGATCAGGTGATACTTATTCAACCAGTTTTGTGGCTCCTAAATGACGGTCACCAGTCCATAGGAGTGTCACAGCAAAGGGGTGAATACTTATGTAATTAAAACACTTCATTTATTTTATTTTTAATAGTAAAGAAAGTAATGATAGCCATGTTATTTTAACACAAGGAGAAGATGAAAGAAAAATAATCTAATAATGATCTTCTTAAAAGGTCAAAAATGCTGTTCTAAAAAAAAAAAAAAAAAAAAAAAAAAAATTACACATATACACAAGCAAACAAATGAAAAAAAACAAAGGAAATAAATTCTAGCTTAACAGCTTGATATTCCAATCTTTCTGGATGTGTATTTGAAAAATCTGAACATCATGATGCTTCACTAATGTTAATTGGCCTGGTACATGCAGCACAGAAATAAATTATTAGATCACAGTAACTTCATTTCTCCGTTCATCCCCTCCACTAAAGTGAAAAATAAATAAAGTTGTTAGACTTGCCCGACCACCTAACTGAATACGAGGAGATAGGCAAACACTATGAAGACTAGGAAGAAGATAATATTAAGGAGGCAGGTCCTGACTGCCGATCGAGTTAGATACAGGTTGGTGGAGCTGATCTGATAATACATGGTGTTAAGCCCACAAAACAAATTATTCCACTATTTTGCACAGCTGTCTTGTATTGTGTTATCCTGGTCTCCACTGGACGGAATCTCCTAATCTCTCTGGACTACACTTGTGTTCAACTCAACTGCACGCATGTTGCCTAGTTTTTAAAATGGCTGTTACATACATTCCTGCTCCACGACATTCCTTGTTGGTCCGACCTCCACAAGTGTGATCCTTTAGCCTGTCTTTTGATCAGTTATGTGATCACTTTTGGGGGAAAACATGCTCTCTGTGACCCCAGCTTAACCCACAAACATGGAGAGACGTGTTTCCAGCTACCCAATTGTCTACAGGTATCAGATATCCATTGTCCAATGCAACTTACCAAGGACGAAAGCCTTAACGGGTCCTTTGCTTGCCACTGGGACACAGATTTGGGCAGCTTGAGCAGACTGATCAGAGAGCATGGGTTGCATGCACTGTGGGTGGCCTGGGGCTGGTGGAGAGGACTTTTACGGAGGCCTCCTGATACTCTGCTTTTGAGCAATCTTCCTACTATGGGAATTGGCTAAAACTACCCTGTTTATAGCTGGTGTACCTCAGGGTTTGTTTTCACTTTTTAAAATCTTATGTTTTTTTAAATGCACCTTGGAGTCCTTAAAGGAGCACTATATAGCTCAATTAGGTTATTAGGTCCCCCCTGCCCATAGAAGAGAAACATAATATTAAAATGGATACATAAAAATGCAAAAGACAGGGGTAGATCTACTAAGCAGTGAGTATTAGATGATTGATGCTATACAGTAGATATTATGTCTTGTATAATCAAATACCAGCCTCAACTGATACAGTGGAAAAGTGATAAATAACAGTCCAAAGCATTTACAATGTATCAGTTCAAGTCCAAGCTAAGCAGAAAAACCCCTATGGGCACAAAGTTTAGCTTGGACTTGAACTGACACATTGTAAACACTTTAGACTAAGTTATTTATCACCTTTTCACCGGATCAACTGAGGCTGGTATTTGATTATACAAGACATATCTCCTGTACAGCATCAATCACCTAATACTCACTGCTTAGTAGATCTATCCTGTCTTTTGCATTCTATATTGATATGTTTCTCTTCTGTGTATGTTTGAGTGTCAATACCTACTCCTGATTTAGGCATTGGACTTTATTCCTTTGCTTTTTTTTTCCCCCATTTTAAAACTAGGGGGAACTGGTACCCAGACCACTTCATTGAGCTGAAGTGGTCTGGGTGCCTATAGTGGTCCTTTAATATTTGAGCTTACCTTATACTGGCCTATCTATAACCACCCAGTGACACTTCCACCTCTATGCACGTTTTTGCTGCATGTACCCCGACTTTATGTTTACATTTTAAATAATGTATTAGGTCATATGCTTTGCTGCACTTTTGTATTTTTGTTATGCAAGTCAGCTTTACTTTGTGTGTAAGTCCTCTTGAATATACCTCAAAAAAAAAAAAAAAATAATAAAAAAAAAAAAAAAAAAAAAATTAAAAAAAAAAAAAAAAAAAAAAGGAAAAAAGAAAGCAGATAATAATGGAGACAGGTAACAAACACCTCCCAGCAAAGCCATAGCAGGCATCCTCATGTCAAAGACCTGAACGTATAGACTAGTACATTTACAGTGTGCTGGAAACCACTGTATGCCCCTCATTACTGATAATGTAAAATACATTGCCCGTTACACATTCACCTTCTGCTTGAGTTCTTCATTTTTAAGAGACAACTGGGACTCCAGTTCCTCCACTCGTCTCTTTAGTACAAGAATTTTGCCTCTGTTTGCAGATGCGTTCTCCGGCTCCCCATCTCCAGAAACCTGTAAGGAAACAGTTGCAGATTAAAAGCAGATACTCACGCTAAAAAGTACATTTGTTGGAAGCTATATATCACAATACCAGCACGAAAATATTCAGAGGTTAAAGTAATTTTCTTTAAGAACATTTCAAAAACGAAAAAAATAAATAAAAGGATAGTAAAAACATTCCAGTTGCCTGCTTTCCCCCCTTCTCAATGAGTTGTAGTTTCGTGCGCTGAGAAACATTGCAAAGCCGTGATCACGTACATGTGTGTGGCTCCAACACAGATGCTTCTCAGTGAGAAACCTCTGATTGGTCAATTCCCAGGGTACGGCTGGGAAAGATTGCTGAAAGCTATGGAAGAACCCGGGAGACTTGCAGGAGTGAAACATGCGCTAATAAATACATTTTAAAAAACTCAGTCAGTATAATACAGATTTGAAACAAAATGGTACGTGTATTTCTTTAAGCCCTTACTTACCTTTCCATGCTCAGATTTCTTTTCCTGCTTTTTGGGCGACGCTACCTTCTTCAGTTCTTCCAGCTGAGATGACAATGAGGCGATCTTGGCTTTATTTTGGAGCTTTGCTTTGGATACCTTGGCTTCAGAAGATTCCTTTTCTTCCTACATAAAAAAGGACCAGGTAAATAAATACAGGTGCAGAGGTTCATCTCCAAAGCATTTATAGTATTGGCATAGCATTATGGGAGATATAATCCTTAATAACTGGATTGGCATAGGTAATCCCTCCCTGACTTCGTTATAGATTAACAAACTGTGGAATGTTAATATTTATGTAGTCCAGAATGTGCAAACATGATAATCTAGGGAACTATTTATTAGGGCAGTATAAATGCATTATCTAGAAGCAAGAGAAGAGGCTAGTCGGTCCATAACAAAGCCTGGAAACAGCATTTTGAAGTCTGAGAATATTTTTATTACTATATTACTGGCAAGGTTGTGTAATAACCCACAATAATTGTATTTCACTGTGTGTTTGCTAATAGTACCGGGACACATTAAATAGGTTTCCTACAGAGCTCTGTTAGTGAAATCCTTCTTGCAACGTGTGATTTCTCTTCCCATGAACCTCTGCATATTTATGTTTATGGTCATGGCAAACAGAAATTTATGAGAGTTAATGCTTAATCCCATAACACACATGGAAATTTTTTTTATTTTTTTTTTAATTACTTACAAGCATTGAGGACGGACATTGAACAAAGCATTAAACATCATTGGCCTTAAAGGGACACTATAGGCACTATATTCAGCTCATTGACATCGGCGTAATTAACCCCTTCTGCACCATAGGAAGGGGCCTTGACGGAGGGGGAAACTATAGTGCCAGGAAAACGAGTTTGTTTTCCTGGCACTATAGTTTCCATTTAAAGAGTTATCAGGCCAATCACAATAAGAAGAAATGCACGAATGCTAAAATATGGCTAGATGTGCAAAAAACTTACCCATGATGTATTGTATTGGGGATACAGACGACCTGTCCCATAGGTATTATGGTAAACTCAATATCACTTTTAAACATGGTCAATCACTGCAGTATCATTTCATATTATCGACAAACAAACATTCCTTAGCAGACAGGCTCCTGCATTTTATACTGTACATCTGGCTAAGGGAGTCGTACATGTACAAACTACTACCTTGGAGACAATTTGTCTCGAGTGCTTGTAAATGACAGGATGCAGACTGCTCACTCTAATTGAAAACTAACTATGGAGCATCAGCGCACAGACCTTTAACTGCTGATCCTTCAGGCGCAACTCGTTATCCTTTTCTCGGATAAGTTCCTTCAGTTGAACCACCAGCTGCTCTGTCTGCGCCAGCTGCTCAGTCAGATCTGAAACCGACATTGTGCCAGCATTTGCCTGACTGTCAGGAATCTGCAAAACATTTTTTTTTTTTTTTTACCCAAAACAGTCATGCAAGTTTTAATAAAATAGAGTTAAAAAAGTAATCATGCAAGCTTTAGCTATAGAGGATAGCAGCTGACATCCCATTGACACAACAAAGCGATATTAAACATTAAAAGTAGAAATTAAGCAAGCATCGTATAGTGCTCAACTCATTTTTAATCAAAATCCCATTTCATTATATTACTTGACATCACTGATTTAATGTCGGCATCCCATAACGCTGCTATGCATGAAAGGGATTTTGTAATATTTGTAACCAGGTATAATCAAGTGCCTTTGCTAAAACTCAAGATATTTGGAATTCTTGAACTTTGAGCAATACAAAGAATGTGTCTGGTTGAGACACAAAATGAGAGGGTGCTCACAAAATAAGAGACTGAGGAAAACAGGTCTGCTAGCAATGTATCTCATCTTCATAGTAGGTGCCATGACAGCAACGGTCATCAACTTGTAGACCCAATACAAATTAACTCTTTGTATAAATAGGGCCTTTCATTGCCCACTCTCCAAATGCACTCAATTTTCTTTGTGGACATTACATACAGCTACACAATAAGACAGTGACTATATTGCTATTAACTATCCTCCTTGTCAAATTATTGTAACTGTACACTTACTGGTTTATGTCACATCATTGTATAATTAATTAGGGATCACTTATTTACATTTCTGTGTTTGAATATTGATGTGCATGAGATATGAGATAAGATTTGTCTGCATGGTTTAAATTGATATTTTGCACCAATTCAGAGGTTTATTATTGTAACTGTGAGTACTAATCATATAGTGCCATAAAGTTATATCTAGAGAAAATGCAGAATTAGAATAAGCATCTATCTGTATTCATTTTGGAAGCCCAAACTCAGCTTAATCATTTATTTAGCAAAGTGAAAATCATTGGGAATTCAAAGTAAACTTCATATTTATGACCAAAAATAGCTGACGCTATGCTTTATATATCTATTCATTTTAAGTATAAAGGCAAATAAGCACAGGAAGGATTTGCTCTAACCATAAACACAGATTAATGTAAATACTGTTTTCTGGTTGGAGTAACTCTTTAGCCATTAGCCTGGCTGGTGACAGTTCTACGATGTTGCCAGAGGTAGAGTTACATCGTCCGGCAGTGGAGGAGTTAATATCTGTGCAAGCAGCATTTCAAAGCGAAACATACAGACTGTAGGAACCATGACTGAAGTGATCATGGTTCTTGGAGTAACACTTTAACTGTTAGAATACCAGAGATGATTCCATGGCAGCTCAGCTGCTGTGTAATGCAAAACAAACACACACACACACACACACAAAAAGAGTCCGTCTAAGTTCCAAACCTCCATTCATTCACCCACTTTGGCCATTTGTAAGTTTGGGGTACTACCAATTTTATCAAGAAAAAAAAAGTATTAAAAGAAGAAATATTTTAAGCCTCTTTATAGTATTAATCAGATAAAAGCTCAGAGCAAATGTTATACAAGCAGTCATGCATTCCTAGAGTTAATGTAAATATAAAATATTAAGTAAATTAGCTTGCCACTTACATCTCCAGCAGGCTGGGTGCCATCAGCATTATACCATTTCCACATGGTCTCAAGTGGGCTCTGCTAGATGAACAATTACAGAAGAAAAACAAAGCAATCAACAGATTGTATTTTAAATCACATTATGTAGACATGTGCAAGGCAAAGAATCACTGGGGTTTTGACCTCATACCCATGCAATGATTTTCTCCCTGTTCAAATCTCTGTAGTTTTGAACAAAAAGGTTTAGCAGCTTTTTTCAGCATAATTCTGTACCAAAAGACTATAGTTTACATTCTTAGTGATACAATGGTTCCTTGAAGCAGCTAACAGCTAATATATTATATATGTAAAAAGATCTCCCATTCCCATATCTCTAACAATAAACATAACCATGACAGTGTAACACTCATCTCTCAGTCTACATGTTACTGGACGTCAACACCCATGATCCTCAGCCAGCAATAGATATGGCATCTGTTTATGAAAATCAAAGTGCGCAAACAAAATGAGGGCAGCACTTACTCATGTCTAAGAAAGATTAAACATCTAGTGACCATTCTGCGCCCCCCACAGCTATGAATCATTCATACACAAACTGAAAGACACGTCACTATATCCCCTATGAAAATGTACACCTCTCCAAGCCTCGTTCATGACTGATCATGTTTTAACGTGGCCAGAAACAGGATGAGATCTAAATAGTCAAACGACAGCCACGGAGTACAGTTACAGTATTGGAAAACAGTCTTACAAACTCTCTTTAGAAAAAAAGCATTCACGTACTGAATGCTAATTGTAATGTTAAATTCCTAACTTCATAAGAGCCATTATGTATTTCGGATCGTATACACTGAACATAAATGGCTTATCAGAAAGCAGATAACATGCATAGGATGTCTTTCCAAAAAATAAAATACAACACTATAACCGTCATTGTAATCTGCAGCTCTCAGAAAATCATAATATCATATGTTACTATAGTCCTAGATTCTTAAATAATAATGACAAATGAAAATTCATTTTTGGAGGGATATTTTTTAATCCTTTTTTCCCCCAAGAACCCAAAAATCCTGAATTGAAAACACAACTAAACAAATTAACTAACTGTGAAAAATTCTCAAACTCAGCTTTGCGATGTTTGGCTATATTTTACAATTTGGTTACAAACTCACTGCAATGTTATGTTTACTGAACAACTCCAGTTGCTTACAGCAGTATCCAGAGTTCCATAAATCAGAAGTAATACAACGACCGACTATCTATTTTACATCCACATAGTAACGTATGTTGTATGACGGCTTTACTGAAATCCACATCAATAAAACGCACAGTAATGTGAATCTAGTGTAAGTATAACAGAGTTCCACATCAATAACATTATTACAGACTTATTCACTAAACTGGCACTTCAAAGCTAATTTCTGTGGAAGTATAGCTGATTTGCACAATTTCTTTCAATTGCCTAATTCAGCCTTACATTTGAATTTCCCAACAATTTTCTATTTCCTGAATAAGCCTGTTAGAAATGCAAGGTTTGTATGAAAAGCAATACTCAATGCAAACGCATATGAATTTAAAAGCACAAAGCTAGTCATTACATTTCACACCGAGGGACTTTATAGTCCATAAAATGTAATAGATTAAGCACTAGGAATTATATTTAAAGGGATGCTCTAAGCACCAAAACAACTTTAGCCTTATGAAGCAGTGCTGGTGTATAGATCGTGTCCCTTTTGTCTCACTACTGAATTCTCTGCCATTTAGGAGTTACATCACTTTGTTTCTGTTTATGCAGCCCCAGCCACACCTCCCCTGGCAGTGGCTCACACAGCCTGCATGAAAAAAAAAAAAAGGCTTCATTTTCAATCAGATGTTAATTGACTTTAAAAGCTTTTATCTCCTGCTCTGTAAATTGAGCTTTACTTACATACAGGAGGCTCCTAGCAAGCTATTAACAGCGAAGACGCTGAACACTAGATCTGCGCTTTAATAGGAAGCACCTCTAGTGGCCGTCGGAGTGACTGCCAGTAGAGCTGTAACTAGCCAGCAATAAAAACACTGCCTTTTCTCTAAAAAGGCACCGTTAACATTGAAAATCTTACAGGGACAGGCTATAGACACCAGAACCAATACATTAAGCTTTAGTGGTTATGGTGACAATAGTGTCCTTTTAAATTAAGATGTATATTTATGTTTCTGTGCCACTGGTGTCAAAAGGTATGACTGATGAAGTAGGTGACACTTACAAGCAGTCTTCTAACACCAAGCACAGTATCCCACTTAGTGGAGCCTGATTAAGACTACAGATGATGGGGTGCTAGACTCTCACTCAAACTAGTTGGGTCCTGCCCATTTAACGCCAATCTCATCCCCTGCAATGAGAGGTTATGCCTTGGTTCATCACCGAAAAACCTACAGATACACACATTTGGTAAACAGTTTTAAAAGGTCCAACTCTGCCCTCTGATGTGGTTACCCAACGACAGACCTAGAAGATCGCAAAATACACAGGTCTGTCTTTTAGGGTGTCCAGGATCTGATGGTCCAAAAGAAAGCCAATGGGTGATGTCAAGAATTATTTTGGAATACGTTAAGCATGTCTGATGGGTTTATACCTAGAGAATAGGGTTTTTTGTTTTACCCAAAATATTCCCAAATTTTGAAATAATTAATTGCTCAGCCTCATAACAGCATCTCAATAACAGGGAGGGGTCAGAGAGGAAACTGCAGATCTCATGCCCCCACATTGATGTGTGTGCAGCTAAAACCGTGTATATTATCCAAGGGAACCATGTCCTTTGCTCAATGAACAAGTAGATGTAATTAGAAAATAAATTCTGAGATTAAAATACTATACAGGGGGGCGGAGCTAGCAGCGGACCCGGCCAGACGCATCTCCCGCGAGCTCCGACACTAAGTGGGCCAAACGGCCAATATAACGCCCGAAAACCGGAGCAAAAGGGCAGTCACCTACCCTGCAGCTGGTCGCAGGAACATGGGCCGAAAATCAAAGAAAACTAAGGCGGACCGGGCGCCCAGCAGCCGAGATATCGGCGATCTCCTGCGGCGCGCTCAGCAGACCGCATGGCCCAATATGGCGCCGCATATGGAAGATGAAACATCTTCTTACTCCTCTGAGGACTTCCACGCGGATACGGACGGAGGAGCCATGCTGGGAGCTGTACCAAAGGTACAAACTACACCACCTGCTGGCCAAGAACCGATCACTAAAAATATGCTGAAATCAATGCTGGAGGAGCTGCGCTCCAATATAGCAGCCGACATCTCACAATTTAAAGAGACAGTAGCTGGTGCACTTACCCGACTTACAGCCCTAGAGGCCACATATAGCAACCAGGATTCCAGACTAATTAAAGTAGAGCAGAGGCTGGAAGAAATACAACTAGCCCAGAAAGGCATGGAGGCCAGAGTTGACACCCTGGAAGAACAGAGGCGACGGTACAACCTTAAACTGAGGGGCATCCCTGACACAGTGAGTACAGAGGAAACGCCGCACTACATAAGGCGTCTCATCTCAACTCTGCTACCGGCCAAACTAACAAAGGCACTAAAACTGGATGGCATGTTCAGGCTACCAATGCCAAAAAATGCCCCTGCCACGGCCACGGCGGATCTTATTCTCCGCTTCCAAACAATGCACGACAAAGCTCTAATCTTATCTGCAGTGAGAGGGAAAACCCCAATCCAATTTGAAGGCTCATCTCTGCTCCTATTCCCTGACCTCACCAAGAAGACATTACTCTGGCGCAGGTCAATGAAACCACTACTCCAAATCCTGAGAGCCCAGGACGTGCCTTACCGCTGGGGAAACCCCAGACAACTCATCCTCACTCACCAGGGAGGCATTTACAGAGCCAAGAACCCTCTGGAACTAGAGGCCAACATGCGCAGCCTGAAGCTACTACCGGAACAAGACTCAACCTCCCGCCTCCGAAACCTGGACCCGTCTAAGATCCCGACCTTCGCGCCACGGTCAACCACAGGACGCCCGCCTGCACTCCTAGCCACTTGACTGGCCCAAGACACACAGTTCATCTGCAGCGACCAACAAGCCAGAAGGAAAACCAGATCATACAGAAGAACTGCATACTAACAGTATTATAACTCTCTTACGTTATTTTTGATGGTTATTATTACCCGCTGCTGCGCTCCCACTTATACCTAACTACCCTTCTCCCCTCTGTAATGTAGCTGTTACCTCAACGGGGAGTTGAAACACCCCGACCTAGACGCTATCCTGACAAACCTACACAGAGGGTGCACGTTATCTGAGAAGTCCCCCAACCCACCCTCCCCACTCTTTATAGCACGATACACATGTGCCATAGATATGTTATAAGAGGGTGCTAATCTGTACCTTTAGTAAGGTTCTACACTACAGTGGAGGCTACCTGTTAGACCAGCATGCCCATACATATATAAAAATCCTCCCCCCACTCCGTACTGATACACATTGTCTAAATGTCATGCTTGTTGTATGCTATAACTTTGTTCCAGGAATATCGTCTGTTGCATACTCCCGAGTGGAGTGAGGCAAAAATAAAGAATTAAAAAAAAAAAAAATACTATACAGAATAAAGAAAACAAATATCTGTCCTTAAAAATATTTTTAATGTGTGTCTCTAAAAACAAAATGACAGATTACAATTGAGTAAACACATGGTAAAAACTCAAAAATTGCTCACCCTGAAGCTACAAAGGTGTACTTATCATGAAGGGGTTAAACCCAAGGCTTCTATGGCAGCATGTCTATGCACTTAAGCTGTGTACAAACATGAGATGTGAAGAGACACAAACACCATAAAGACCTATGCTCCCTGCAAAATCAATGTAGTTAAAAACAACAAACAGTTGTTTGTAAGGACACCGTGGTGGGGTCCTCCTTACATGGAATGTCCCTTTAAACAGGAAGAAAGGAACAATATGCATTAAAGAAAAATAAAATGACTCACAGACTTTCATAAACCTACTACAGAGTAAATTGAGTAAGATTACGTTGTTATGGTGCTTAGAATGGCCCTGAATTTTGACACTTTATATACTCAAGGTCCAATGTTGGAATTAGTCTGTCATAACAAAGTAACCTTGAAAAATCCAAAATCGTAAGAGTGGCGAATGCTAAATAAACAGGACATTTCAGGGGACAGTATTCAGGTGACATTGTGAAGACATACTAAAATATAATTGCTTTTTGCATTTGTTTACACTGGAACGCAATCATTCCATAAAGGGCTTGGAAAAAAGGCCAGTGATCATCACTAAATCCAGGACTTCTGAATCTTGAAACGGAAGTAAAAACTTGTTAAACCAGTTACTACCTGGAGTGGAACACCCAATGAGTATTACCCCACCTTGCAGTACGAGCACACATTCTAAGATTTAGAACTAGAACTGCTTTTACTCAGAACCATCGCTTTATATCTTCCTTTCTCTGTAGCAAACACCATATGTACAAAAGCTGCACACATTTCCTTTTAACCATATAGGGGCACAATTTACAAGCTGGTATGAGCTGGCACTGGAAAACAATCTGTAAAAAAAGATATTATGGAACAGACCGACATGGTGCTTCGCAATTAAATAAGATGGCATTTTGTGGTTTCAAGGAGGCAAAATTGAAAATAAAAATGCCTAATTCAGGATGTGTTTATTTCCCAGATCTCCCCACTGCAGGTTCCAGGAGAACGTAGATGACCACCTCTGGCCTGCAACACACACACACTTCCTCAGCTTAAATCAGCTTTATGAAAACTGGGAGCAGGCAATTTCTCCAAGTGACAGCTGAGAGAAGCTGGGGGATAAATCTGCAGCTGTCACAGTGACAGGACTGGAAAGGAGAGGCAGCCATAGACATAGCTAGGCCCAGTGCAATTTGGAGAAATCACCTCCTGGCGTAGGGAATTAACCACATTGCTTCAGGTGTACATGTAAAAGGAGGAAATGGCAGCCAGGTGTACAGGAAATACTATATTAATAACATTACACAGACCCTGCATGTGTACATTTAACAAAGCTGTTTATTTAGTGACTTGATACCCAGATTGTCTCTGAACTACAGTTCTCATGACGCTCAGCCTAAAGGCAGGCTGCACCTAAAGGGAAAATTAGTGCAACACTAATGGCTCCAAACTGCATTCCCCATGATGCTCAGGCAGCCATGCTAAAGGCTGGCTGAGCATTTCTGGACATGCAGTGCACCTGCATGTTTCTGATTAACCAAAGTTAGTTTAACACTAATGGGTCCAAACTGCATTCCCCATGATGCTCAGGCAGCCCTGCTAAAGGCTGGCTGAGCATTTCTGGACATGCAGTGCACCTGCATGTTTCTGATTAACCAAAGTTAGTTTAACACTAATGGGTCCAAGCTGCATTCCCATGATGCTCAGGCAGCCCTGCTAAAGGCTGGCTGAGCATTTCTGGACATGCAGTGCACCTGCATGTTTCTGATTAACCAAAGTTAGTTTAACACTAATGGGTCCAAGCTGCATTCCCATGATGCTCAGGCAGCCCTGCTAAAGGCTGGCTGAGCATTTCTGGACATGCAGTGCACCTGCATGTTCTGATTAACCAAAGTTAGTGCAACACTAATGGCTCCAAACTGCATTCCCCATGATGCTCAGGCAGCCCTGCTAAAGGCTGGCTGAGCATTTCTGGACAGTGCACCTGCATGTATCTGATTAACCAAAGTTAGTGCAACACTAATGGCTCCAAACTGCATTCCTCATAATGCTTAGGCAGCCCTGCTAAGGGCTGGCTGAGCATTTCTGGACATGCATGTATCTGATTAACCATCATACTGTGTGAGCTTTTAGGCTGAGCATCAAGGGGCATGCAGTGCACCCCAGGTGCCTACCTCCCCCTCATGTTAGTCAGTCTAAAAGCTGGCTGAGCGTCATGGGGAATGTAGTCCAGACACAATTCATGGTGCCAAGGTTAGCCCTCACTGACCTGTACTGACACAGCAGGGAGGGGAATCCCATGATGAAGGGATGTGGTTGTGGTGGTTAGACCCCTATATTTTCACTGAACTCGACCTGCCCCCCAAAAACATACAGTGAGGGGGGGGGCAATGCTTCTCTCCAACACCCCCCACCCCTGGGCAGGACCTGCTCCCTCTCTGTGATGGAGGGCGAGACTCACCTCAGCCCGGGGGGTCCTCAGGGAGGTGTCATTACCCCGCACTCCTAGTGTCCCCCATTCCCCCACAGCCTGGCTCCGGACGCCATCTTTGGAGAGGTTTAGCAGCACAGCTGAGTGCTCACGTCAAAAGACAGGCGTCAGGAGAGCCACGCCCCCTCCCTCCAGTCACGTGATTTGGTTAGACAGTTCCCATCTCCCCACCCCCCTGCCCATTTTCAAGATGGCGGATTAGCACTCGGAGTTGCCAGGTTGAGGATAAATGGCTGCTGTTGGGAGTCCTGGAGGCCACAAGATGGCAGCCTTACACAGCTGTGAAACTGGCCCTCAGCATGAGCAGGGAGGGGCTTATTTACTAAACTGAGAGTGGATGAGAACTGACAAGGAAGTCAAACTATTAATTACCAAAATTGCTGAGCTGTAAAAATAGGCTCATTCACTAAACCGTGAATCGATTAGAATGCAAAGTTAATTTAAAGGGACACTCCGGTCACCATAACAACTTCATCTAAATGAAGTTGTTATGGTGCGAGGAGGCCCCGGGCACACTCATACCTTAAGGGGTTAAACTGTTCTCGAACGGTTGAAAGCGAAGGGTTGTCTCCAGCACGATCAGCTGGTTCCCCAGGTGGCAGCGCCTTCTGAATCTGAGTTACAGGTAGCGTGCCACCATGCAGGGGCACCGCTGATTGGCTAGAGCGGCACCGCTGATCGGCTAGAGGGGCACCGCTGATTGGCTAGAGGGGCACCGCTGATCGGCTAGAGGGGCACCACTGATCGGCTAGAGGAGCATCGCTGATCGGCTAGAGGAGCACCGTTGATCGGCTAGAGGGGCATCGCTGATCGGCTAGAGGGGCATCACTGTTTGGCTAGAGGGGCATTGCTGATCGGTTAGTGGGTCACCGCTGATCGGCTAGAGGGGCATCGCTGATCGGCTAGAGGGGCATCGCTGATTGGCTAGAGCGGCACCGCTGATTGGCTAGAGGGGCACCGCTGATTGGCTAGAGCGGCACCGCTGATTGGCTAGAGGAGCACCGCTAATTGGCTAGAGGGGCATCGATGATTGGCTAGAGGGGCATCGATGATTGGCTAGAGGGGCACCGCTGATTGGCTAGAGGGGCACCGCTGATTGGCTAGAGGGGCACCGATGATTGGCTAGAGGGGCACCGCTGATTGGCTAGAGGGGCATCGCTGATTGGCTAGAGGGGCATCGATGATTGGCTAGAGGGGCATCGATGTTTGGCTAGAGGGGCATCGATGTTTGGCTAGAGCGGCACCGCTGATTGGCTAGAGGGGCATCGCTGATTGGCTAGAGGGGCACCGATGATTGGCTAGAGGGGCATTGCTGATTGGCTAGAGGGGCACCGCTGATTGGCTAGAGGGGCATTGATGATTGGCTGGAGGGGCATCGCTGATTGGCTAGAGGGGCACCTCTGATCGGCTAGAGGGGCACAGCTGATTGGTTAGAGGGGCACCGCTGATTGGCTAGAGGGGCACCGCTGATTGGCTAGAGGGGCATTGATGATTGGCTAGAGGGGTCAGTTGACACTCTAAGCCAGTCAGTAGCTCCCTATTTATATAAAGGTACATGTGTGTTCGGCAGCCTCCTGGCACCATATCAACTTCATTTTGATGAAGTTGTCATGGTGACCAGAGTGTCCCTTTATGGCCAAAATAACCAGATTTACTTATAGTGAACTATGCTTTAAGTTTGGCTGTTATGGCCCAAAATGAAAATCACTTTGACTTTCTGACTATTTAGACTTTAGTGATTAATCCTGTGTTAAATAATTTCTATAAATCATTGTATTTAGTATATCCACATACTTTGATTAAACTTTTAACAAATCTCTCCAGCATCTCCCACAATGGTAAGGCGAGAGATCCACTTGGAACTATGGTGATACACAAGAGAACACCGACCTGTCAAGGGCCACAGCTGCACCCCGTTTGTTTTGTTGAAGTTGGTTACAGTGTATGTATATGTAGCTGGATCGACAGACAACAGACAATCTGAATTACTGAAATTGCTGTAGATTAGAACAAAACTTTAATAAAGATTTTTTTAACCATTTGAGGACAGAGGCAATTGAACAAGTTCTGAACCAAAACAAAATCTCGAATTTGAGCCATGTGTTTGTCCAACCATAATTTACCTTTCATATTAAGTGCAACCACACTAATAATGTACTTTTTTTTGTAACCCCTAAAGGATATTAGGACATTCCATGCGATCCTAACAATAGTGGGATTTAACACCGTTAGTATGACATGGAATGTCCTAATGGTTTGTTGTGAGCAGGATTAACTACCCGCTCACACCAGGGAGACTCAATTATTACACCAGCCTAGATTCATTTAAAATTGTATTTTGCTTTGAAACGCTAGCCCCCCTCCCCCCAGAAGCTTACTTACTGCAAAATTAATAGAGGTACATGAGCTTTTTGCAGTGATAAGTTACCAGATCATAAATAAAATGTTGAAAATGGAAAAAAAAAGGGAATAAAACAAAAAAGTCACACTTTTGCTTATAATAATTTTTACACATTAAGTGCAACTGAAGAAAAAGAACATAATATAGATTAGTGTATCAGTCCTGATTGTTAAATGCCATATATATATATATATATATATATATATATAGGATCTAAAACATTTTTTTACTTTTACTAGTTTTACTTACTACTTTTACTCTTACGTTTTGATCTGCACTCCGCACAGTGCTCCCCACCCCACCCCCTCTTTTCCCTTTTATTACAAACACCAAAAACAACGCTGTATTGGGTGCCAGTTTTTATTACGTGTTTCTACTTTTTCTGCCTTCTTCTTCTTTACCTTCCTTATATTATATCAATATATCAAGGGTCTCTTTTTCTCTTTCTTTTTATTCTCTCCTTCTCCTTCCTTTATTTATTTTCCTTCTTTCTTTCTTTTATTTTATAAGATAACAAAACTTAACTTGTCAAAACATGAGCCACTCTAAACACTGCTTCTGCCTGTCCCTGCTATCAGCTTCCACTCCTCCCCTTCCTCTTCCCACGTGTTACAGTCACGTTTGCGCGCGCATGGTGTTTCCAGAACCCCTCAACGGGTTAATTTTTAAACCTTAGGCTCTTCAGTGTGTTGTTAGACTCTGCCTCACTTATCTCCTTCAGGATCTATATTTCATTAACATATATTCTGGTACTTAAAAAAGAATTTCCCCTAGATGGCAGTAGAAATACAATGGATTGTTCTCCTCTAAAAGGTTGTCGTGCACTTATAGCTACGCTGCCAAACCCACCCTACCAGGAGTATTTCATAAAAATAAAATAGACCTCAATGCTGTACTCTCATGCATGCGCAAGAATACAGTGCTGACTTCGGATCCTGGCAGCTGAAGGGCCAGGAGTTATGAGGAGCAATAGGAAGAGGAAAACGATGGTGACGCCTGCCAGGGACAGGTTCAGTTGAATAAAAATCGCCTTTGCTTGCCTCCATGGCCACAGATCCTGAACGGCGATGTCACCATGAGGGGTCTTCGCAAATTATGTAAAGACCCCAGACTTTGACGGTTCCGCTTTAATATGAGATGAACAGGTATGTAGTTTGCATAAAATATATTTGCAAATCAATTTTACTCTTACTTTTTAAAAGCCAGGTCTGCTTGTGGAAGTAGAAATGAAGGCTAATGAATGCATGCACTTCAGTGAACTCTCAGCTTTAAAGGACCACTATAGGCACCCAGACCACTTCAGCTTAATGAAGTGGTCTGGGTGCCAGGTCCAGCTAGGATTAACCCTTTCTTCTATAAACATAGCAGTTTCACAGAAACTGCTATGTTTACTTTAGGGTTAATCCAGCCTCTAGTGGCTGTCTCATTGACAGCCACTAGAGGCGCTTCCACGCTTCTCACTGAGAATGCTTTCCTATGGATTGGCTGAATGCGTGCGCGGCTCGTGCTGCGCATGCGCATTCAGTCAATGATGACTAGAAGGCGGAGGAGAGGAAGAGGAGAGTCCCCCGCCTGGCGCTGGAAAAAGAGGTAAATTTAACCCCTTCCACCCCCTAGAGCCCGGCGGGAGGGGGGCCCTGAGGGTGGGGGCACCCTCAGGGCACTATAATGTCAGGAAAACGAGTATGTTTTCCTGGCACTATAGTGGTCCTTTAAGGGAGGATTTAAGGGAGGATTTATTTTCTAAACACCAAAGTGTTGCAAAAATAGCTAGCCAGTGGTTATTTTAGTTTCCCTGAGAGTTCTGTTGGCAGCCTTAATTAGAACTCTCCTCGAAGTTTGGATGTCAAATTCTACATTCCTTGCCACCTCTCACTGCCTGGGATTTCTGTGTGTCGATAGAGGGGTATAAGCTCCTGGCAGGACAGATCTAGTACATACCCTCTCATGTATATTAGTGCAGTCTGTGAGCCAGGGCCAGACTATTTCACTGTGTCTTAGCCTGACGATGGATGTTATATGCTTGAAATGTGCAGTTTAGAAATGCATGTGATTATATTTTACATATAGCTGCAAAGTCATATTGCAGCGTAGTTCAGAGGCCGTGTTTTTCTAACCTCAAGAGACCAGACACACAAATTCAAATTATATATTCACACAATGAAAGGAAACGTCAACTTTATACTTTGACATTATTATATTTTTTTATAATAACAGTTCAAAATCTACAGCCATGATGACAGTCCATACATTACTCTTATAATTTTTTAACAATCGAGAATGTAAAATAGACATTCTTTACTATATTTGCACTTATGAAATTATCTATCTATCTATCTGACATAAGGAAGGAATACAGTATATTAATATACTTTTCTTCCAAGGATTACTGGACTTGTCATTAAAAGTGAGTTCTATTGTTCTGGGCTGCCCAACGTGAGTGTCTCCATGTTAAAATAATGCACTCTTTCTTCTTTGCTCCATAACCCAGTTGCAAGGACTTGTGTTAAGTTGCAGCATTTCTAAAACCCATCGGTCCTTCTTTGCGCCCTCTACAAACTCCTGCAATGAGAGCTGTCCTGCGGAAAAAAAGAACAGTATTATTTTCTTTATATAGATAGATCACTAGGATTTACTTATGCGAAGCTACGTGGTAACCTAGCAATTTCAGAACATTGTCATGCTTTTTATTGCTGGGCAGCTCAGTGATACACCAACACTGTAGTGGCTATGGTGCTCAGAGCTTTTAATAAACTGCAATAATTACTTGCTAGGGTTAACTTCACCTATAGTGGCTGTCTACCAGACAGCCAATAGAGGGACTTCTGGGCTGTCATGCATAGGGACGTCCAGCTTCGCCCTAAACCCCATAGGAAAGCATTGAGTAATGCTTTCCTCTGGGGAAATCCAAATGTGAGTGTGGTCATGCGCATTAGGTCTCCCCCGCCAATATCAGCCAGCAAGAAAAAGAAGGCGGACCCGAGCCAGCGCCGAGGGATATCGCTCCGGACCCACGTAATGTTTTTAACCCCTTATGCACCAAGAGGCAGGGGGACCTTGACAGAGGGGAAGCTATAGTGCCAGGAAAAAAGTTTTCAGCTCTAGGGTAAAAAAGGGGGAGGCAGCCAGTCCATTATATTGAGTGTTCTGGGTGCCTATAGAGTCCCTTTAAGTATAAATTTATTTGAATGAGGACATGTGCTTTATTGTTGAATGTGCAGTAAATGTTTCTTGTGCATACAATACTATTTGGTTGCACAGTAAATGAACATGTGAATGTGTACTCAACAGAACAAAGTAAGGCAAGCATAAATTATAATATATAAAATTTGTAAGCACGTCATTATGGTCACTACATTATAACCACATGAGTAGACTTTAGTTCTTTCTATCGACTACTGAAATTTTGAACTAATATTAAATGCTCACCATCTCCGTTTTCATCAACGCTTTGAAAAATCCTTTCACATACGTCATCTGGACTCAGTAACTGGGCCTCCGAATCCCTCTTCCAGTCTTTCTTTACACTATAAAAGGACTATAGAGAAAAAAAAATGTATTCTTTAAACCTTGCATTCATAATATACTGCGGTTCATTCACGTGGATCTCTAACAAAACATATATGTATTTCTAACTTCATATCTTTAAGTTTAACATTATACTCCTTGCAAATTTATATATATGGGCTCCCCTGTAACTATAATTTAAATAAGTTTAACTTACGTTCTATCCTACGCTGTGCTGGTCTCAACACCGTTACTTATGATCTCAACCAATCCAAAGTTTCTTCATTGTGGCCAATGACTATAAAGACACATAAAATCGGTCTTGCAAATATTGCAAGTCCGTTATAGAAAGTGGCCTTACTGGCTAAGTTAGCAATTGGAATCAATCGTTGCCCTTTATAGGTTTCACTGGTACACTGGAAGATCTATATCCTCACTCACATTTTTGGTCTCTTCCTATAAAGTATGCTGGAAAATACACAGTTTTGGTTTGAGTTTTAATCTGAAACAATAAAGATGTATTTTAAAGTGGTCCTGCCAATCCACTCTCCCCCCCTTACCTGGAAAAAAATCTCAAAAAAACTGGCCACCTAATGGACCCCCCCAGGGGGATGGCAGAGTTCCTGTCAAACGCGGCGAGGGAGTTGTGTTCTCTGATCTGCTTTCTCGCAGGCTGTCTATTGATGCCGAGAGCCGGAATATGACGTCATATTCTGGCTCCCGGCACCAGCAAACGGTGTGCAAGGGAGCAGATCAGAGAGAACACAGCTCCTTCGCCGCGTGTGGCAGGAACTCTGCCGCCCGCCGCACTGAAGCCCCACTGGACCCCTGGGACAGGGAGACTGGGTGGACATTAATTATTAATAATTTGTGTGTGTCTGTGTATGTCTGATGTGTATGTGTGTGTGTCTGTAAGTGAATGTGTCTGTAAGTGTGTGTCTGAATGTGTGTGTATGTGTTTGTCTTTGAGTGTGTGTGTCTGAGTGAATGTGTGTGTATGTGTCTGTAAGTGTGTAAGTGTATGTGTGTGTCTGAATGTGTATGTTTGTGTCTGAGTGTGTGTATGTGTTTGTGAGTGTGAGTGTGTCTGAATGTTTGTATGTGTTTGTCTGTGTGTCTGTATGTGTATGTGTGTCTCAGTGTGTGTATGTGTATGTGTCTGTAAGTGTATGTGTGTGTCTGAGTGTGTGTGTGTCTGAGTGTATGTGTGTGTGTCCGTAAGTGTGTGTGTGTGTGTCTGTGTCTGAATGTGTATGTGTCTGAATGTGTATGTGTATTTGTGTGTATGTGTTCATTTGTGAGTGTGTGTGTTTGAGTGTATGTGTGTGTGTCTGTAAGTGTATGTGTGTCTGAGTGTGTCTGTGAGTGTGTGTGTGTCTGTAAGTGTGTGTGTGTGTGTCTGTGACTTTATGAGTGTATGTGTGTGTGTTTCTACATATGTCTGTATGTATGTCTGTATGTATAGGTCTCTGTGTGTGTGTGTGTGTGTGTGTATGTATGTGTCTGCATGTGAATTTGTTTGTCTACATGTGTGGAGAGGGGGAGGGGGCAGGGAGGGCCCCGTGGTTTCTAGTTATGCCTCTGTTCCAAGGGCAATAAAATTAGAATTATTAAGTGGGGGTAAACAAGCTTTTCAAATAACAATCTGCAAAAAAAGAAGAAAAAAGAGAGAGAAGTCAAGAAAAATTTAAATCAAAGGGTAGCTAATGATAGACACTATGATGTCTACTCTTCCTGTTTCTAAAGCCGTGCCGCAGCGCACAATGAAGATGTTGCAGAACAAGGCGTACCCAATGAAAAACAGCCAGCGGATACAGGTGAACTTCAATGAGGTGCTGCGGCAGGATAATGTCATTTCTAGCAATTATGGGATTAACCCATAATGCAGCAGGATGATTAAGTAATTTATACTAGTTATGGATTTAACCCGAAAATGGAGTACAATCATTCTGCTCAACCTGAATGGAAGGGAAGTGTAGAACCCTACTGGGACAGAGCAACTTAAGGGTTAATTTGGCTAATATACCCGGCATGTCCCCCACCGGTGTTATAAATAATGTATGAAACATACTTCATTAAATATTGAAGACTTGTGTCTTTTACCATCCTTTCCTCTATGTTACTGTACAAGTTGACGTGCTGTTAATGTTTATAACTTCCTGAAGCCCCAGTGAAATTAAATAATTTATTCAGTTTCTCTTAGATCCTGCAAGTTTTTTACATTTCTAATGCAAATCATTTTTTTCGTTATTATATTTAATCTTCTAACACATGGGGCATTTGAAAAATACCTCTATGATTTCTTTCAACTCCTTCTTATCCACACAGCCATTGCCATCTTTGTCGTAGATTTTAAAAGTCCATCGTAACTTATGTTCTAGTTTCCCACGGAGAACCAAATTTAGGGCAGCCACGTATTCCAGAAAATCAATGGCGTTGTCCTTCATGAGTAAAAGGATAAAATGAATTCGTAACTGAGAGAACAGAGCGCCTGTTAATGTGTTGTGATAGCACATTAATTACAGGGATTTTTTTTCAACATTCTTTATTTTTGCAGTGCTATAGTGGGCAAGCAAGCTTTTGATGACATTTCCACAAGAGTATATATGACACGAGAAGTTTCAAACACAATACACGGCATGTCAAGATTGTTGCACTTTTTATGAAAATAAAAAAATAAATGAACACTATTCCGGATACTATTAGGCAATATATTAAAGGGACACTACAGGCACCCAAAACACTTCAGCTCATTGAAGTGGTTTGGGTGCACTGTCCCTATTGCACTTAGTGCTGCAATGTAAAACATGGAGCTGTGACCAAGTGTTGAGAGACTTCGGCACCATGGTCAGGTAAGTAAATAAAGGGTTATTAAACCTTTATTTTCCACGTTGGGGGACAGGAGGGGGGGAAGAGGGAAGGGGGAAGTGGGGGGGTGGCAGAAGTTGCTATAGTGCCAGGGATACAGCTTTGTATTCCTGGCACTATTGTATCCCTTTAAATTCTGGCCTGAGCTATGTACAGATCTTAAAGTAAACATGGAAAACGGTAGCAAGCTAGTAAGAGGAATAATCAGTGCACACGAAAACATGAGTGGTGATAGAAAGTTGTATAACGGGGCGTACTGCAGGAATACTAAGAAAATAAGATTAGATAAGTACACTGACTTTACACGATAATACATAGGACGAGAAAACCACTAGATAGTATGTATCCTGGGCACTTACATTGATTAAGGATAAAAGAAAAAAAGTGATTTAAAAATATTCAATTTATGACCAAATTATATTCATTTATTTGGACATAACATCCAGAACTACAAGAGCATTTTTAAGTAAAGTGATTCTACAATTTAAAAATGCTTTAACTGAGGTTGCTTTACAGTAAATTATTACTTACACTTTCTCTCTATTATTTACGCTGGGGACTCTCCTCCCTCTTCCGCGCGCGCATTCAGTCAGTCCATAGGAAAGCATTTCTGAATGCTTTCCCATGGACGCTGGCGTCTTCTCACTGTGAAAATCAAAGTGAGAAGCGCGGAAGCGCCTCTAGCGGCTGTCAATGAGACAGCCACTAGAGGCTGGATTATTGAGCTGAAGTGGTCTGGGTACCTATAGTGGTCCTTTAACCAGGTTGATTCCCTATTCAGCCCTGTGTGGTGCTAGGAAGCTACGAATTATGGGATGTATCCATATGGGCTGATGTGGGAGGCGGACTGCGAGGGAGCACCGCTGTGATGCCGGAGCCAAAATATGACGTCATTCCGGTTTCGGCATCACTAAGAGGCGTGCGAGCTGAACAGTTGGATCACTGCTCCCTTGCCGCCTCCACTATAAGCCTGCATGCCTGCTTGCCTGCCAGCCCAGCCAGCAGCAGCAGCCCCACTGGACCCCAGGGAAGAAGCCACCAACATGTAAACAAATAATACAAAATAAAATTGTGAGTGTGTTAGTGTGTGTGTTTGTTAATGAGAGTTAGGGTGTGTCTGATAGTGATAGTGTGTGTCTGTTAGTGAGAGTGTTTCTGTTAGTGAGAGTGTGTGTCTGTTAGTGAGGGTGTCAGTGTGTGTCTGTTGTTCAGTGTGTTAGTATGTGTGTGTCTGTTGGTGAGTGTTAGTATGTCTTTTAGTGAGAGTGTGTGTGTCTGTCAAAGAGTGTGTGTCAGTGAGAGTGTGCATGTCTGTTAGTAAATGTGTATGGTTGTTAGTGTGTGTATGCATGTCTCTCACTGAGAGTTTGTATCTGTCAGTCAATGTGTATGTCTGTTAGCGAATGTGTGTCTCTGACACTGAGTGTATAGGTGTCTGTCAGTGAGTGTGTGTGTATCTGTCAGTGAATGCATCTGTCAGTTAGTGTGTCTGTCAGTGAATGTGAGTGTGCATGTCTGTTTGTCAGTAAGTGTGTATGTTTCAGTGAAAGTGTGTGTTGGTTAAACATCGTGTTTGACAATGACTGTGTATCTGTCAGTGAGTGTGAATCAGCATCAGTGAAGGCGTGTGTCTGTTTGGCAAAGAACATGTTGGTTTTTAACAGGAAGTGAAATTTAGAAGGGGGGGAGGGTGCCTGAGTTTTGTCATGCCTAGGGCAGCACAAAACCAGAATACACCTCTGGTGGGGTTCACTGTCATTGTACTCTATTCAGTGTTGAACTATTTTGAATGAATAACCCCTGATCCCACACAACCCACCCTTACTGGAGAAATTACACACTTCCTTGTAGCCATACCAATTCATACCACCAATTGGCCCTGTGATAGGCTGAAAGCAGTCAGCTGACATTCACAGCCAATCACAGCCGCTCATTTCTGCTCAGGCTAATGTTTCCTCATAGAGGGGATGGGGATGATGGAGACTCCTGTTTAGCATTAAAAACAGTGAATGAAAGGACTGTGCCAGGGTATTCCAGACACTATAACCCCTTAAATTATTTTTATTTTTTTATAAAACGCTGGCAAATTCTGCAGCACTGTACAGTAGGTGGACTAACAGAAAGTATTTGCTATGAGACAAGTTGGGCGGACAGGAAAAAGGGTGCTGAGGGCCCTTCTCAAAGGAGCTTATATTCTAAGCTGGGGACTGTTTTTTTGCTGTGGAGCTCTGTGATACATGCATAAACTCCAAATATGCTTAGTTCACAGGAAAGCAAACTAAGACAGATAAAATGGACAGAATGTACAATATTTAAATTATTGTCACCTTTACCATAGCAATAAAACACATTACTGACAGGGGGGGTATGATAGAAACATGATGAGACCGGGGAATATGATAGAAACATAACAAGACAGGGAGGATATGATAGAAACATTTAAATACATAAAGGGAATCAACACAGTAAAGGAGAAGACTATTTTTAAAAGACGAAAAACTACCACAACAAAAGGACATAGTCTTAATTAGAGGGGCAAAGCTTTAAAAATAATGTCAGAAAGTATTACTTTACTGAGAGGGTAGTGGATGCATGGAATAGCCTTCCAGCTGAAGTGGTAGAGGTTAACACAGTGAGGGAGTTTAAGCAAGCGTGGGATAGGCATAAGGCTCTCCTAGATATAAGATAAGGCCATGGACTAATGACAATATTTAGAAAATTGAACAGACTAGATGGGTTCTTATCTGCCGTCGCATTCTATGTTTCTATGTGTTTTATTGCTATGGTGACCGTGAGGCACTCATATACACCATTCATTATTATGCATTTTTTAGGTTATCGAGACCAATGGTGATCTGATTCACATATCACATTACTACGCGATTCATTGCTACGGAGCTCTGTGATACACCCACATTTTTGCAAAAAGCACAAATTAAGCTAAAATTTTATAGCTGTAGGTGAGAATTTTTCCAGCTTAGTTATTTAACCCTCAGTTTTATCATTAAGATTTAGGCCTAATTTTATATTGTCAGATATTTTGTGCATAAACTTGTTAGTAAAGTATATTTAGTAAATATCCCTTGTAGGTGTATTAAGGTCATAGAAATAGGGAATACAATATAGGAAAATAGGGACTGATAATTGGTGTCTCGAATAGAACTCTCCAAAAGAGGGAGATATGCTTTCATGTTATCAGTGCTTTCTGGAAAAAAAAAAAACACAAGACATTATGATTACATTTCCGATGACTCCTAGCCAACTTGGTGGTTGTTACATTATGGAATTTTTGGAAAAAGACCAGGTAGGACTGCAGACTTACTGTAAGCCAGGGCTGAGCCAGCATTTATCATAACATAATGGCTGTATAGATCAAAAGAAGCCGATTTGACTTACCCCATTCCTATCAAACGAGCTGAACATTCGTTCTATAAATTGTGATTCTTCCTTGTTTGCTGAAATTCCAAAAAAACTTTTAAATTCATGGAGATGCAATGCACCGCTTGGACATTCTAACACAAACTTCTTATACATTTCCTGCAAGTCTGCAACGTCAATTTCGTCATTACTAGAGGTCTGGTTTTGCCCCATATTTAAACGTCCCTGGTTTTTCTTAGTTCTTTGGCTTAGATTCACAAAAAAATACAGAATTATGTTCCCATTACACATTTCGAAACTGAATGCCAGGTGTATATGTCAGCCTTCGAGAAAAAAAACCATGGATTTATCTAGACATCCAAAAGCAGACAGTGAGAAAAGTGATTGGATGAACATATTAATAGGGGAATGGAGTGTTCTCGCAGTAATCCAATCAGCTTTCTGATCCAAATTCTGAAGTCTCTGCTTTCACCAAAGATTTAATTTGCTTATAGAGATTAGTTTATGCTACCGAAAGACTTGCTATTTGTTACGATTATATTTCAAGTTACAGAAAATTACTTTGAATATTGTGATTCTTTAAATTGTATTTAAAAAAAATATATTATATTTTATAAAGCGGCCATATGTTGCAGTCTAATAATGGTAGCAATGCTTATTGAGTAATATCCTAACCCACTTATTAATCCCCTACTTATAATAATTAAAACTTTGATATATTAAAAAAAAAACTATAATAAATAAGCAAATATATTTGCCTCTCAATTTCCCTTGTTTGCATCAAATCTGTAGCTTCTCCAAAGGTTGAAGAGTGGCTTAGCTTTCCCAGCCGACCCTGTTCCTCCCATTCTTTTTATTGAGAACACAAGGCCCAGCATGTGTTTAAGGGAACTATAGTTCAGCACCAGTTCAATGAGATTTCCTCTTTCTATTTTTACTTTTTCTATGAATAAAACTAATTCCACCCATTATAGAATAGGAAATATTTATAAATTGCAACAACTATAATTTACACAATGAATGGAGGCAGGGAACTTGTTTCATAACATATAGCGCTTTGTGTGAGGGGGTGCTGTAAAAACTGCACCTGTGATGTCATACTTCTCAGTGTTAAAAGGTCGCTTCAAGTACCATAAAAACTTACGCTTCTGACCTACGTTATGGTACAGTTGACCACCCGCCTCTGTTTCCCTGTATTTGGAGTCTTGGAATTCTGTAAATTCTAGGAGGTCACCTGCAGGTTGGGTGCACACTATGCAAGTCCCCACCTCCTGTAACTGACTTATTCATTTTATTCAAACACATCTATGAACATGGCGGTGCTATACCTGGACTCATGTATCATTGTTTCTGTAGATCCATTTATAAAAAAACAAACAAACCTGAAATTAGCTATTGGTGAGCTGATATACTGTATGCATGTTATATCAACCTGGACTGTAGTTTTACCCTTGTCTCTTCATTCATGTCTTTGCATGAATGAAACTACTGTTAATCATGCATATAGGATATCCCCTTCTCTAAATCCAGTCTGGAGTTCCACTTTAAACTTTTAACATGTAGCATCCTTGATCCCCCAGTTCTGTGCCAAACCACTTTCACGGAGTTTGACACAAGGGACCAAGGCACATGTAGCCTGGCTTTTCCAATCTCATCCATGACATTGAATGGCTGGGAATGTCCCACCTGTATGGAACATTGTCTAGCATTTGGGCTAGGAACACATAGTTAATTTTATTTATTGTTCATAAATGACAGCAGTGTAATTTGTGACTGACAGGTTTAATGTCAAAATAACACGTACAGTTTCAAAAAACATGCTTTCACTTAGGATTAGTCTGTGGATATACTAGTAAGATGATTACGTTATAGCTCTAAGTAGGGGGGGGGACACGGCGCACTAGCAAAAATATAGATCTGAAGTGGCTGGTTAATTATATGCTATCCCTTATACAAGATAAGCTTCAGCCTCTCGTCCAAAGCCAGAGCTAATCTGTAAGAAAATGTCTAAGAGCAGGGCCACCTTAAAGACCTAATCAGAATAAAGTGCTGAGATTAGGTCAAAATGGCGTTGTTTATACATTGGTGAATTTTTGATTCTTAGATTAAATGTGACCCTCTCTGCAGCATGTAGCTCATAAAGTTACTACAAGTACATGCTATTATCTGATGTTCTTTAACCCCTTAAAGAACTGGAAATTGTATAGACTTTTTATTTTTTATTTTAATTCTTTATTTTTGCAGTGCAGGGTTAAGCGTACATGTTTGCATTGGTCATATAAAAGATTGATAGTAACATTAGACTTATAGAGTAAACATATGATTACAAGGATTACTGCACAGTTTTATGTGTTTTTAAACGACATAGTCAGTCAGCTTGTGTCAAATGAAAAACCACACAGATTACCTACTAAGCCCTCATTTCTAACAACCTACTTCGTACCCCTACTTTTACCCTTTGTGTCACTATACCCCACTCCCTCTAGAATGTAAGCTCATTGAGCAGGGCCCTCCACCTCTCTGTTCCTGTACGTCCAGTTGTCTGGTTACAATTACATGTCTGTTAGTCCACCCATTGTACAGTGCTACAGAATCTGATGGCGCTATATAAATAATAAAATAATAATAATAATAATAATTAAGATTAATTGAGCTAAGTTTGTGACAACATGGGCAAAAGCTTGCGAGGAGATGCCCACTGGCTGGGTATCCGAATCTGAAAGAGTGGGTCAGGTCGGTTACACTGGCAGGCATTGAGAAGAAAATACATAAAAATAAGAAAAACCATTACAGAATAAACAACATTGAGTGGGCGCACCCTCCCCTTCCAGACGAATCGTGAGCTACGTGTGGGGCTAACTTAGGTGGGAGAGTGAATGGTAAAAGGTAGTATGAACTTTTTTAAAGATACATTTATTTACGGCGATGAAACAAAATAGAAAGAAAAATTGCAGAGTGATAAAATTCTATACAAGCCATATATTCGATAAGTAAAAAGGTCAATAAGTAATAAGTTTAAACAATGACCCAGAGTAAATCAGCAGTAAGAATCATTAGTTGTACCTTATATATCTTATAGTTATACATCGCTGCTGCAACACCATATAGTGTCTTATCTTGCACTTCCATTAGTGTGTGTTAAAGGACCACCATAGGCACCCAGACCATTTCAGCTTAATGAAGTGGTTTGGGTGCCAGGTCCATCTAGGATTAACTCTGCCTGCTGTAAACATAGCAGTTCCAGAGAAACTGCTATGTTTATAATAGGGTTAATCCAGCCTCTAGTGGCTGTCTCATTGACAGTCGCTAGAGGCGCTTCCGCGCTTCTCACTGTGATTTTCACAGTGAGAAGACGCCAGCGTCCATAGGAAAGCATGCGCATTCAGCCGATGATGTCGGAAGGAGGAGGAGAGTCCCCAGCGCCGGAAAAGGTAGGAATTTAACCCCTTCCTCCCCCTAGAGCCGGCGGGAGGGGAGCCCAGAGGGTGAGGGGGACCCAAGGACCCTAAAGAGCCAGGAAAACTAGTATGTTTTCCTGGCACTATAGTGGTCCTTTAAATACATATACAAATATTATTTCACAATAGTGACGCTGCATGAGACATACACTTTCCAGTCTCTGTTAGCATTTGTTATTTCACAACAGTGTTGCTGTAAGATAAAATACTGCTTCATCTAGCACTTCAAATCAAGGACAACACTTGTTATATTGCAACATTGTCGCTGTTAGACAATATAGGAGTGCTTGATCTTGCACCTTTATTTAAGGTAGTCTGTACACACATTTTTTAATCACCTTTTTTCAAATTACTGAATTTTTAAAAAAAATGTATGATTAAAAGTAAATTTTTATACTTGTTTTCAACAATCTAGGATCTGGGCAAATTTCTCTCTCTTTTTTTCCCCTAGCACTATAGTTTCCCTTTAATTATATGACTGACCTCAAAAGCATGGGAACTATATTGTGTATTGAATGAAAATTAATATTTATTATTAATATTCTTTCTTTTTGTTTAACAGCAATTCCCCTCTTTCTATGTTCCCCCCTTTCACTATCTCCAAAAATTGGTTCTCATAACCCGTATCCAAAAAGTCTTTCTTTAAACTACCTGCCTGTTTAAAATATGGATCCCTTGCTGTACAGTTCCTTTGGAGCCTATTGGCTTTTGGGGACACTGGATAGTCATTTAGGATGATGGCTATTTTTAATATCAATAAAGCGGTTTGTATCTGTTGGTTTGACGAATGTCATAGTTTTAATTTCCGAATTTTCAATGTGTAGTGTAAGGTCAAGAAAAAACGTTTAATGACAAGAGATTGTTAATGAGATATTTAATTTAGTAATTTAGAGTCTTAACCGATCCCTTCCAAATCACCAAAATGTCACCCGTACCACATCTATTTTTTATTTAATTTTTTTATATTTCATTTTTAATATGATTATTTTTTTTTTGTTTGATCCAATAAGTCGTTTGGTCAATAAATAGTTATAGAAGGTTTAGAGACTTAAATTTGTATTTAGAATCCATATTCCCTCTCCCCCCCCTTTACTTGTACTACACTGAGAACTTTGATGTGCCTCTATTCACTGGTTATCCTGTAAGTGTAATTTATATTAAAGAGTATTTCGTTCCTGGCAATTCTGCACTACGTGTTTGCCCTGTTTATTGCTATATATACTCTTTATTGGGAGAAGACTGAATAATTTGTGTACCCAGTTTTTACTTTTTGTGAGTGAAATAATCCACAATGTATATATTGGTGTATATGCAATACTACTCTATGCTCTATTTGTCTTATATTTGTATTTCTGTTTTGTAAATGTATAAGAACTGTATTAGTTTAATTTTCTGTTAATAACTTGGATATCGGCAATAAAATATACTGTAAATTGCAGTTGCATTGTTGTGGGGCTAGAGCAAACCGTCCTAAAATAACAACATCCCTCTGCATCTATCATGGACTGCTCAGTGAAAGCATCACTGAAAGGTCATTGTGTAGTGTGTGATTATAGCGAGCGCCAGGGCTGTTATATTCCGTTATAACCGATGAGTAAGGTATCCTTAACCCCTTCTCTTAAAAACTTCTACATTCAAGGGCTAAACTTCATTGTTTATCTCAAAAGCAATGTAAAACAAAATTTAGCCCTAACCATTCTTATTGCTCCAGTTAAAGGACCACTATAGTGCCAGGAAAACATACTCGTTTTCCTGGCACTATAGTGCCCTGAGGGTGCCCCCACCCTCAGGGACCCCCTCCCGACCGGCTCTGGAAGGGGGAAAGGGGTTTAAACTTACCTTTTTCCAGCGCTGGGCAGAGAGCTCTCCTCCTCCGATCCTCCTCTTCTCCTCCCCGTCGGCTGAATGCGTACGCGCGGCAAGAGTTGCGCGCATTCAGCCGGTCACATGGGAAAGCATTCATAATGCTTTCCTATGGACGCTGGCGTGCTCTTACTGTGAAAATCACAGTGAGAAGCACGCAAGCGCCTCTAGTGGCTGTCAATGAGACAGCCGCTAGAGGAAATAGGGGAAGGCTTAACCAATTCATAAACATAGTAGTTTCTCTGAAACTGCTATGTTTATGAAAAAATGGGTTAACCCTAGCTGGACCTGGCACCCAGACCACTTCATTAAGCTGAAGTGGTCTGGGTGCCTAGAGTGGTCCTTTAAGCTTTTCACCCTAATGAGAAACAAATGTTTCCAATTGTGCTCTGGTCAGTCCCCCTGTCTTATGCCAATGTAGTTTGTAAAATACTTTGGCTGCCTTCTCGCAGGTAGGGAGGAGAAGAGTGTGTATATTTTAGTTGGTATACATTTTGTTTTTTATTTTTTCGAGAATTGTATGCCATTAGACATTTAGACCTGCAATATGACAATCTTTTACACCGACGCTTACAGACAGTCACAGAGTCACATTCTGAATATTGCTGCAGTGGAACGTTTATACAGGATGTTGTCTCTGCTATAAATGTAATAAATAGAGAAGCGAGATCTCATCCTTATTGTGATCTAATCCAGTCTATTAATAGGATACTCTTATATCAGACATATTGGATATCTAAAAGCTGTAGTCATACCAGTCTCACAATCGTCCTAGACACAGATTAAGTGCACTACATAAGGCAGTATTTAACCTCTCCTGTACGGGATAAACGTATCATATTACACGTGCTTCAATTTTAATTATGGGGAAAAATCCACAGAACATTGTATTAAGCATTAATTAGAAACAATATGATTTCCCAAAAAAAAAAAAAAAAAAGACAAAAGAAAATATAAATGTTTGCGTAACAAACACCAATAAACATGACAAAAAAAGGAAATAATGCAAACTGTGACTCGACTTATGAAATATAGTTCAGAAGCATTTAGGGTGTAAGTATTAACAGCTCTCAGCCCATGACATTAGCTAGTGCCGGGCTGGCTGATGGCACCCCTATTATGCTGGCGGAGGTGGGTTTACACCACCAGCAGCTAAAGGGGTTAATCTCTTCAAAGCAAAATGCTGCACATACAGACCCAAGGCACCATGACCACTTCAAATCACATGATGTGGTCATGCATGGTGTTTGGACTAACCCTTTAAGAAATTAGTAAAACTTGAGGTTATGCTGTGGGCTAAGAAGGTGTCAGTGAAACAGTTTCAATCTCTATAGGTTCTTTAGCATTTGCAGGCAGGATTATGCCAGTATGCAGAACCTTTTTGTCACTTGAAAAAAAGGTGCCCCACTTGCATGTCAGGGTGGCGAAAGAAATTAAGAGAGATTTATTAGTGTGGTATAAGTTTTTGAGACAGTGCAATAGAATTTTAATTTTTCAGGACAATTTACAAATAAATGAGGATCTGCAGTTCTCTGCAGGTGTGGCTGGTGCTGAAGGGTTTGGCATCTTTTGGAATAAAAATCGGGTGTACAAAGATGACCTGAGCTATTTTGTCAAGGTTTGACAAGAACATGACACATCTCAAATTATTTCCAATTGTGGTTCCATTCTCGAATGGTCTCCTGCTTCTGGGTACTGCCCTGGTATGTGACGCAAACACGTTTCGCTCCTCCTGTTGAAGCTTCTTCAAGCGCATGCCATTCGCATCACACATGTTTGCGTCATACGCCATGGCGGAACCCAGAAGCAGAAGATTTGGCGGGCGAAAGGACAAGTGGACCCTGAGCAAATTTGGAGGAATTTTGGAGCTAACAGAGACTATGTACTTCGCTTGAGGAAGCCGTGAATGTCTGTATTTCTAATAGTTTTTTAACAAATATAAAACTAAAAGTTGTAAAGTGGTAACCCAGGCTGGCGGTGACTCCTTACAATCAATATAGATTTGGATCCCGTGCACACAAGGGGCTGATCAGAATTCTAGTAACAAAGCTTGTCGGATTCACTAAGCTTTCTTTCTCGTAACACTTCTCCATGAAGAAGAGCCGTCCATGATGGGCATCGCTGTGTCATGCTGCTAGCAATTCCCTTAAACACAGTAACTCAAATCCCTCATACATATATTGAGAGACGGACAGAGAGAATTTAGCATGTGTTTGTACACCTTGCAGCAAAGTGGACATACATTATTAATATGTATTTATCCCCGTCCTCCACATGTTATAATGTCTTTTAGCAAACCCCAAAACCTAAGATATTAAGGTAATTACGAAGACAAGAATTAAATCAGGACGGCTTACTCGGAGTATAATAATTATTAGCCAACCCCTGACTTGTTTTAACCCTTACATTCAATTTACAGAATTCAGATTTTTGTAACAGCTTGATTCTGGAACAGAAGACAAAGTATGAATTTATCTGGATTTCAGCAATTTCAGAATTGCAGAGATCTAATTACAGCAGCATGCTTTATACTAGCTAGTTTAAGATTATTTAAAGATAACACTCAATATAAATAGGACGCTAAAAAGAAGCAATCATGATCCCTCAAAACCACGTCAGCTTAGTGAAGTTATTTTTAGGAAGTCTGTGGGCGCCATCTGATCTCAAGATGTCAATCCATTTTTGAACGGTTCTACTCCAGAGACTGGGCCCTAGGGGCCATACGCCATGCCTCCTGGGCTCCCCGCCCGGCTACCACAATTCCTCCTATTATTGTGCTTGAGTTCCCTTTGAGATTTACAGTAAATATCGTGATTCTCAATGCCAAGCCAGTGATTGACTGACAGCGTCAGATCACGCTCTCAGCCAATCAATGCTGCCCAAGCAGAACAGGAAAAAGTGGAGCAGCTATGGCAAGGACCACCACAGGCACAGCAGCACGGCCCCAGGGACCCAACTTTCGGATTAAACTGTTGAAAGATGTTTTAATTCCCTAAGGTAAAGTGGTACCAGGGACTCCTCACTTCAAAACAACTTCTCTTTAAAACATTTTGTGCCATTGAGTGAGTGCTACATCAGCACAGATTTTTTTGCATGTTTAAGACTTTATAGGTTTTCCACAAAAAATATAAATGCTTTGCAAAATTCCACACCACAATACTGCTGCCCTAGCCACACCCATCATGCCATAAAGACCTCCCCATCAAAAGCGTCCTCAGAGTCTCAGATCCAACAGTATTGAGCAGCTTTTAATTCACATCCCGACTGCAGACAGTCAGAGACACTATAAACATCTAGTGATATCCTTACTATATGTATCCCTGGGTGTCCTCTCCTTCTAATGAAGGTTACTTAGTAGTCAACATCATTCAGTGGTTTCTGTGGCTGAGCTGTGTACATACATTTGATAAGGAAGTATTTTCTGAAGCTAGAGGGCGTGGCCAAAAAGGCAGGCCTATGGTGCAAAACATTGATTTATTCTTCTATGCAAAAACCACAAAGATTTGAGCATGCAAAAAAATACAGGATAATAATGAGGCCAAAACCTATCAAATGCATTAAAGTAGTATTAAAGTAGTACTGCTGCCCAGATTGTCCCTTTAAACTTGTTTTAGGGTTAACCATTTCTAAACCATGTGCTGGTTGCCTGAACTTAGAACTGTGTTTGTTTGTTTTATATTTTTAAATGAGATATTTTCCTGGTAAGGTCTCTACCAGGAAAGTCCCTATTTCCAGAATGCAAAGAGTTAATCCGTGAAATCCGTTTCTCGTCTCGTATTATTAGCCGTCACAAAGTACAGCAACATACAATGCACCTGTGAAATATTTGAGAAGAGGTCCAGGGATTCAGTTAATTAACCACATCAGTTTCTTAACGAGATCAATTTTAATTAAACTGAATTCTAATAGAGATCTGTGTAGACTACAGAGAGCTGTTGCTAATTCTACCAAGCATGTGCTCCTTTTCACTTCTGATTTGCTTCCATCTAATTAATATGGATAGGGCATTAAGCCGTTTGGACTCTGGAGGCTTTCATTTCATGACTATTAATGTTTTTAATGAACTGGACTAATTCTTCTAGTTTTCGTCTCAGTATGTGTGGGTGTTGCGCACCACATATTCCGCACGTTTATAACTGGTTTGGGGTCTTTCATTCATTCGTTTCCTTTTTCCAGTTTGGTATGGAAATGGAGGAGGTATTGAGCTGTTAAATCAAATAAAACAGATATTCTTTAGCAATGCATGATAAGACTCAGAATTCCCACGTGACACCATATATGGACCTAAACTACATCATCATTCATCGTATATATTGTCATAACAGATCCATGAGCTCCTGGAATTCTCGGCTATAATTGGTGTTTTTGGACTAAATTGTTTATGGGTTTAAACACCCATTTTAAAATAGAATAATTAATAAAAAAAATAATAATAATATATGAAGGGGTATCCTTGGTATCTCTAATTGTGAGCATGATATTAAAAAAAGGCATTTTTATTGTATAGTGTTGCGCTTTTACCTTCTAATAATCCATTATGTTTATAATTGCATTACTACACTGATTTCCTGATCATATTCTATTTATTAGTAGTGTCTGTAGGTTGTAACATTAATTTCATCCTAACTATAAGATAAAGCCAGGGACTAATGAAAGTATTTAGAAAATTGGGCAGACTAGATGGGCCGAATGGTTCTTATCTGCCGTCACATTCTATGTTTCTATGTACATTTTCTAATAAGTGAAGTCTTTAGTTGCACTTTTTTTGAAATTATCTATAACGATTAAAGGGACACTATAGGCAACAGAACTAATACAGCTTAATATAGCAGTTCTGGGCCATAGTGACTGTCCCTGCAGGGTGAGTAAAGGAAACGAAAACGTTGCCTTTTGTGCCAATCTTCTTTTTAAACACACTCTTATTTATTTTATTTTTTTACCTGACATTCTATTATTCTTCACTCCAAGATATCCTAGGTGGGGATCATACCACCAACGCTGACATCAAAGAGCAGTTAGCCTGCTCTACACTTGTGAGTACTATTTTATGTGTTTACTACTGATATTTTAATACAGTGAGCATAATCAATTGTTTTTGTTTTTTTTACCCCTCTCCCGAGTGGTGGACATTACCCTGACGGGGGTCCGGTGGCTGGGGGAGCAGGGTATGGTGATTTCAACTTACCTGAACTGTCCCTCTGGCAGGTTTTCTTCAGCTTCATGCATGCGCAAGAATGCAACATTGTGGTCTATGGAGTATCCTGCAAGACCACCAATTCCCTGCGGCGGTCACTGGTGTCGGCTGTCGGGATTGACACTGTAGATCCGCCCAGTGTCTAAGAAAGTCAGGCAGAGGAAAAGTAAATAAGACAAAGTTGTATCTACTTTGTCTTACATTTTTAGTTACAAATAGATGAAAAATGGAAACAAGAAAGGCAGATTAGAAAAAAGGAAGAGAAGAGGAATGTTAAAATCTGCTGGAAAACAAAGCATAGTGCAAGTGTGGATTATAGCATAGCAGACACTATTTCTCATTTTTAGTTTCACAGATTTAAGACGTTGGTGCAGAGGGTCAAAGCGTGGACCAGCCAGACTGCCTGGGGCAATGGATTTGGGAGCAGGATGGTCAGTCTTGATGAGAGCATTAGCAAAAGGAGCTCTTAGAGGATCCTTTTGGTGGAACTTTAGGGTCACTATTATTATTTATTGTGCATTTGTTCTTGAATAGGGGCTATAGCAAGCTAGCAGTAGATAGTAGGTAGATTGCTGGTATGTCTTACTTTCTCTGATTGCTGTGAAACACACTTGCGGTTAAAGAATTTCTAATTAAGCAGTTACGTTGCAGTTGTTTTTAATAAAATTGCTGTTCCAGTCTGCCAAGATCACTTATTTGTCAATTAGCAGCATCTTTGCAGAAGGTGAGCATTCCCTGATATTAAGTGCTCTTGTAATGTTTAATGACGCATTTGTTTGGGCATTTTTTTTTGCAGTGGTGAGGTTGAGTGAAATGGTGTCAAGCAGCAAATTTTGCAAATTAGGTCTACAGATGAAAGATATTATCTTAGAAAAGGATAGTTTATTCGTTTTATTGGGTCTTTAAGACGGATCAGATGGGTAAGGGGAAATGGATTCAACTGTGTACTATTCCTGGAGGTGCCAATTTTCCTGTAAGGATTACTAGAGAACATTTGGTATCGAGTCCTGATGTTAAGGGCTCCTTAATAATTCACAAATCAATAGCCCCAATAACACAATGTAAATTTGTTTAGATTACTTGGGTTTTAAAAATGCTAAATTCACAAGTCACTCATTCTGTATAGGTTCAGGAACAGAGGATGCAATATTGGGAATGACAGAGGATGTTATAAAAAGAACTGGAGAGATGAGAATCTCTTCACTTTATGAGCTCTGTTCGTACACGTTATAACTGTTGTTGACGAACGTTTTTTTTCTCATTGAAGATGCTATAAAGATAGCCTGGGTGTCGGGTCATTTCTTTATTAAATGGGCATTGAAATTAGCTGAATCTAGAGTTCACAGTCCAAATCTGTGCTTTTCCAAATCTCGTCTTCCAAACGAATAACGTCTTGTATTTTGAAGTCAGTGGTTTGAGACTACATGAAATTTGGCCTGGCCTCCACTGGATGTATTGAGTATACATGTTTGAGGCAATGATGTCGCTTGTGTTAAATCAGTCAATTTAATTCAGTGTTTTAAAGAAAATGCTTTCTACTAATTAATAAAATGTCCGCATACATATCTCCATTGATTTACCTCTTCTTAGGGCTGCCTTCAAAGGGGTATAGCCACTACAGTTGTACAGGGCCTGTGGGGCCTGGGCCTTATATTCCCACTGACTGTGCATATCATGCAGGTTAATTTTTGGCTTAGAAAGCCACGGCTGTCAGAGTGTTGCCACGGGTTACTGAGGCAATGCTCCAATGCAGCACACATGCAGTGGCTCACGAGAGAGGGATAGTACATGCTGGAGAGGGAAGATGGAATTTGCTGGGCTCCCATTACCGTACACACGAAAACAAGTGGCAATGTTCCTCTGGACCACCAAAGGTAAAGGGTATTATTAAGTCATTAGTAATTAATAATGATATAATAATAAAAAATAATACATTTGGAAAAATGCTCACCCCCAACAGCCCCTTTCGTAACTCAGAAATTTCCACACACACGCACACACTGTATCCACTACACAAATACACACAAAACATCCACTTTACACACAAGCACACGCCCCGCGTCCACTGTACTCATACATACTGCATCCTCTATACACAAACACACACACTGCATCCCTTATAAATACATACATACACTTGATGCTTGTGAGTTCGACTCAGGGGTGGGTTCTGTAGGTGGACTCAGGGAGCGAGCCCCGAGGGCCAAGACACTGAACTGTGTAAGAGGCCCCAAAATATCTGATGGCAGCCCTGCCCCTTCCCTTCCCTATGGTGTCCTGTTTGTTACTCCTCTCCCTCTTGCCCTTGTTGAGCTCTGGCCTGTTCCCTGTTTGTTACTGCCTTCCCTCTGCTACCCTGTCTCCAGTTTTTTACCCGTCTTCCTTCTTGTCTTTCTTGTGGTCTTCTGTCCTCTCTCTTTCTGCCCCATCACCTGTAACCTATCCCTTTCTCCTCTGTTACCTTATCCGCACTAACTAGGTCCTTTCTGCAGTTTTGTTTCTTTCCTCCTCTGAACACAAAGCGCTTTTTATCTCTGTCCTCCATGCCAGTTAATGCCACCCAGCACCCGTCTACAATGAATCTCTTTGTCTGCTGTTGCATCGAAAACCAATCTTAAGGAGTAGGCAGAGACACCCTCTGCTTATTGAGACACACATACAAGAGGCACTGTCTTCATACACACATCATAAAACATGTTGTTATACCGTACACAGCAGTTAGAATTCTTCATTTCTGAAACATTGATTGTATTAGTTTTTTTTATACTGTTTGTTTGCTAGTGAAGTGGATGCTTTGCTTTAGTCTGCTAAAGGTCATAAATCTAAAATTAGTGCATGTTTTTAATCACTTGTTAGGGAAGAAGTCAGGGTGATACTGGCCTACTGAAAAAAAACAGGAATTGTCCTAGTGGTCCATTCCATTGTAGGGATAATGTTCTGACAGATACTGTTACCTGTAAGAGTCTGTTTCCCCGCATACCTCCTCCTCCCTTCATATCACACTGATGGTAAAGGCTGCTTACTAAATTCCTGCGGGATATCTAAAGTTAGGGTTTCAGTGAGGTTTAGTGTTAGGAAATAGACTATAGCACAGGGAGTTAGGACATCTAGGGTTAATGTCAGGGTTAAAATTAGAGATGACCACAGGGGAGAGGGGGCCAGGACAAACTCATTCATTCCTTCCTTACCCGAACTGGACTACTTGTCGTGTGGAGACTACCACACCCCGATACAACGGATTTCACCTTTTACTCCACTCCGCATGACACATACTCACGCATTGACAACCTACTACAAAAATCAACACCCTCACATGGTCAGACCATGCAGACATAGTAATGACCCTACATAAACTGAACTATAGCTCCAACTGGCACTGGAGGTTAAACACCAGTTTACTCAAAGAAAAAACAATAGTTGCAGCCACGAAACAAGCCATCTTTGACTACTTCACCGTCAACACAAATGAGGACGCAAACTCAACGACAATATGGGTGACACACTTGGCTGTCCTCCGGGGCCACTTTATAATAGCTGCCACACACAAAAAACAACACAAAACTAAAGAACTGCTGGAACTGCAACTAGCGCTTAGAAAACTAGAACAACAACATAAATCCAACTCTAGGCTAACCGAACTGATACCATTGAGACACTCCATTAAAGAACTGGCACTAGAAGATGTGGCACGATCGATACTTTGGTCCAAACGGCTTTACTACGAGAAGGCCAATAAGATGGACTCCCTGCCAGCCAGGTCTCTCTGGCCTAGACAGGAGACTAAGCCAATCACCAAGATTAGGAACACGGCCCAAGAATTGGTGACCACTCCGAAAGACATTTCAGAGGTCTTTACCAACTACTATACAGCATTATATAACCATTCCCCACAGCCCCACTGACAACAATGCAGAATACACAACGCATATAGACTCATTCTTCACAGGACTGTGCTTACAGATAGTGACAGGGGAAGAAGCAGAGACCCCCAGGGCACCCAATACAAGACGAGGTGGAAATAGCTATCTCCGCCCTTAAAGGCAACAAGGCACCAGGCCCTGACAGGTACGATATCAGCTATTACAAGCAATTTTGTGAGGGACTCGACCCACACATTACTAAATTATGCAACCACTTCATGCAGGGAGGGACACCAGATAAAGACATGGCCACGGCAAACATTATTCTCCTACTCAAACCCGACAGAGACACCACACTCGCCTTGAACTTTCGACCGATTTCGCTAATCAATTCTGACCTCAACATTTTTGATACTAGCACACAGGATGACACCGTTACTACCGAGACTGATTCATGCAGATCAAGTGGGATTCATACCAGGCAGATAACTGTATGAGAACACCAGAAGAGGGGTGGACATGGTGTGGTTCCTAACAAATGCCAAGATGCCTTCTCTGACGCAGAGAAGGATTTCGATCGCGTACAATGGCCTACACAGATTTATGAGCTTTAAACAATGACCACAGGGGCCCCAAGTACACTATTCCCACTTACCAACAGCACACGACAGGGATGCCCACTGTCCCCACTACTCTTTGCTCTCACGCTAGAATCGTTGCTGCAAGAAATCAGGATAGACCAACACATACAGAGAGTAAGAATAGCTAGCCAGCAATTTAAGGTCTCAGCCTACGCCGACGATGTGTTACTCACCCTTACTGACCCTATATAATCCATGGCGGCATTTGCCCCACTCTTAGAGAGATACGGGAGCATCTCAGCATACAATGTTAACGACCAAATCGGTGGCAATTCCATTCCACGTAGTGGACACTGACAAACTACATATTCAACAACAATACAAAATCAAAATAGGAACGGCCTTTACTTACTTAGGGATCCAATTGACAGCAGACCCCACCCGACTATTCTCTCACAACTAAATGCCACTGTTCCTCACAATTTCAGAGGACCTGGAGAAATGCGCGGATAAACCCATCTCCTGGTTGGGCCGGGTACACATCATAAAAATGTACGTTCTGCCCAGACTGCGGTTTCTCTTCCAAGCTCTGCCATTAAGTTACCCGAGGTGCTTAAGCCAACATACAAAAAGCCATAGACACCTTCATCTGGCAGAAAAAAATGGCCCACGATTATCCAGACAACTCCTATACCTACCTAAAACCAGGGGGGACCGTGACTGCCAAACCTATATCACTACTATTTAGCTGCACAATTGACCTAAATTTTTCACTGGCACTCCCCACCGGAGAAACGACAGTGGGTAGAAATAGAGTCACTACTAACAGGGGCAGACATCTCCCAATTCTACATCTGGACAAAAAAACAAATAGAGCCCTCCTACGGACTACCTGCCTAGTCATCCTGAATTCAATCCACATATGGGACAAGATGGGACCCAATGGATCCCTGTCACCAATGACCCCAATACTAAGAAACAGACAATTCCCCCCCGGTATGAGATCAGCAGACTTCAAGGCACTGGAACGCATGGGCTTACAATGACTCATTTACCTGTGCGTAGACAACAAGATAGTCACATTTGAATGCCTAAAATCACTAGCGCTGTTAACAGGGACTGCTTTCGATACAATTAGATTAGGGACTATGCGAATACTAAGGAGGTTAGAACAGCTGCAAAGTCCCCAATGACATTATTTGAGAAAACTTTGTTTCACTGAAACCTCACAAACACACTACTATACCAACACCTCTGCTCACTCACAGAAAAGAGGGGACAGCTTCGATACACAAAGTTATGGGAAGCCAACCTGGGGGAGACACTGGAGGGCACTGACTGGCAGGACATTTGGGAGGCGAGCACTAAGTCTTCAATATGCATAACAATACAGGAGCAATCCTACAAGACACTATTTAGATGCTACATGACGCCAGTTAAACAGTATCATATGAAAATAAGCACTAACGATTTATGCTGGCGCCGCGGCTATGTGGACAAAATGGAAACTATAACCACATGTGCTGGCAGTGCACCAGGGTGCAGGAGTTCTGGCATAGGGTTGGGACCCTGAGTTGTGACATCCTCCAAGACAGGGGACCCATGGGCATACCTACTATCCAAACCAACTGACAGCCTCCACAAACACGAGCAGAAACTGCTCAACATGATTTACCTAGCAGCACGCAGAGCCCTGGCCCAACACTGGGCCAACCCTAACAGTCCCCCAACAGCGCTGGTAGTCAACAAACTACGTGACAATCATCTCATGGGCAAGTTGACTGCACAAGTCAGGAACACCACCAACACTTTTCAAAATGTGTGGGACTTGTGGGAGCAACAGGACAATTAACCCTAGAAACAGAACCGAACAGGTTAGGGAGGCCGCGCACCTACAGACTGAGAGTACACAATCTCCCACCGGTGTTAAGGTTGGGACCACATGACAACCTGGTTTGACAGGCAATGAGGCCCCAACAGCACTATACTACCTCACTACCGGTACACCGTACACAAACACCGTAACACGAAACTAACCGAATAGGAAGCCGCAACTAAGCAGGCAAGAGATGCAGGAACACTATTCCTGACACTCAAGGACACTGAGATAGGGTAGAGAAATCTCACAAAGATTTAGTTCACAAGATTATTACCTTTTGTTATACTATGTTACTGTTAAAAAGCACAGTTATGTTTAACGGAAACTACTACACAGAAACCATGACGGAACACTAACAGGCGAGGAGAGGTTGTTTTGATAACATGCATTACCTAATAAGTTTATTTGGGCTTTCTGTATTAATGTATTGTTGTTAAATTAAACCTTTACTGCTTTTGCACAAGCCACGACCTCACTAACTTACCATAACTTTCAGTCATGACAAAAATAAAGTTTAAAACATTTTTTTTTTTAAATTAGGGATGACTTTAGCCTGACTACAAATCCTTTTCTAATCCTAAACCTAGATACTAAAATTATAGGAGAGTTAGAGAGGAGTGTGCTGTGTGCGTGTAAAGTGTCACTGACTCTGTGTGTTCCAAAGACTTTATTTAAAATATTTGTGTGTCAGGAGAAGAAAGAATGAGATGCAATTAGTTTTACATTTATCATCTGCAGTACATGATGCAGATTACAAATTATTTAATGAAACACTCCAGACAGTACAGCCTGTTGTAGTGGTTATGGTTCCATCGCGCAGTAAGTTGCTTAACCTTTGTAACACAGTTTGACAAGTTACCTTGGCATCCATTGCATCTGGTTTTCTCCAGCCAGAGACGTCATGTGTCATTTGCATGCACAGCAAGACCGCAATCACTGGCTGAGAGAGCTCAGCTGACTATAGTGGGCTGTAAACGTTATAGTACTTGGAATGTGCCTGTAACGGGCATAAAAGGGTTAAACCGCCATTTAGTAGATCTTCCCCTTCCAAAGATACAGGCACAGCTACTGCAGAACACCAAACTCCCGAACCGTATATAAAAGGGAATGCTCCAAACTCCTGAACTGCATACAAAATAGCACTCCAAACTCCTGAACTGGAACCTCACGAATAGCTGCTAGCAGTCGAATAGGAAAAGCACCCAAGTGGCTTACACTCCTAGCAATCAGTCTCTATCAGCATACAGTAAATCACCCCAAGAACGAGACAGAGCTCCGTG